GTGTTCCCTCAGCCTCCTTCCCCCTCTCCTTGGGAGTCCTCTTGGCAGCTGCTGCTGCTGCCCCTGGTCTTTGGGTGCCCCCCTGCCCCAAAGAGAGACACCATTCGCCTGGGGAGCTTATAGCCAGGGCTGCTGCAATAAACAGCTGTGCAAGCCTTTGAGAATCAGAGACGCGAGAGGGCATCAGAGGAGGGAGGGACGGAAAGAGGGACAGAGGGCAGGCTCTACCTCTCCTTCAAATCAGAATCAGTGAGGCGGTGAAGGTCCTGTGTGAGTGTCTGGAGGCAGCTGGTGGATGGAAGGTGGCTAACAGATTGAGGTTGAATCCTGACAAGACAGAAGTCCTGTTTTGGGGGGACAGGAGGCGGGCGGGTGTGGAGGACTCCCTGGTCCTGAATGGGGTAACTGTGCCCCTGAAGGACCAGGTGCGCAGTCTGGGAGTCATTTTGGACTCACAGCTGTCCATGGAGGCACAGGTTAATTCTGTGTCCAGGGCAGCTGTCTACCAGCTCCACCTGGTACGCAGGATGAGACCCTACCTGCCCACAGACTCTCTCACCAGAGTGGTGCATGACTCTACCTTTGAAGGTGACCTGGAAACTACAACTACAGTAATCCAGAATGTGGCAGCTAGACTGGTGACTGGGAGCGGCCGCTGGGACCATATAACACTGGTCCTGAAAGACCTACATTGGCTTCCCAGTACATTTCCGAGCACAATTCAAAGTGTTGGTTCTGACCTTTAAAGCCCTAAATGGCCTCAGCCCAGTATACCTGAAGGAGCGTCTCCACCTGGATCGTACTGCCTGGACACTGAGGTCCAGCTCTGAGGGCCTTCTGGTGGTTCCCTCACTGCAAGAAGTGAGGTTACAGGGAACCAGGCAGAGGGCCTTCTCGGTAGTGGCGCCTGCCCTGTGCAACGCCCCCCCCACCAGATGTCAAGGAAATAAAAAACTATGACTTTTAGAAGACATCTGAAGGCAACCATGTATCAAGACGTTTTTAATGCTTGATGTTTTAGTATGTTCTTATATATTGCTGTGAGCTGCCAAAAGTGGCTGGGGAAATTTATATTATATTATATTATATTATATTATATTATATTATATTATATTATATTATATTATATTATATTATATTATATTATATTATAATTTTAAAGGCACCCCAGGGTGCCATGGCATACTGGTTGAAAACCACTGTCTTAGCATGATGTAGGATTCCACACTTTAATTTAAGCTTCAATCCACTGTTACTTATTATTTCTATTTCTATTTCTGAATATTTATAAACTGCCCTCTCATGAAAATAACATCACTAAAACATCGTAACACTATAAGATTATAAAACAAAGAGAAATGACCAACATTGAATCAAATTAATTATCCTAAAATGCTTGGTGGAAAAAGAACATTTTCAGCAGGTGACAAAACGTTAGAATGGCAGCTTCCTGTTTGGCTTCCAGAGGAAGTCTTCCAAAGGTGCCACCACCTGACCCGCCTGTTGGTGTAGAAACGAAGGGCTCGTCCACACTTCCCTTTCTCCAAGGAAAACCCATGGCATAGCGCTGAATTGGAACAAACGGCCAGGGGTTTTTCCGCAGATAGCTGTTGGTTCCAAATGAGTGCTGAAGAGTGGGTTTTCAGGGGAAAGAGGCCGGGCCAAGACCACAGGGCTGGGACAAGTGGGAAACCGCTCAGACATTTGCTGCTTTCTAGGCACAGGGCAGCAGAAGATGAGCCCTAATAGAAGTCAGGAGGCCTTCTCTCAAGGATCCCAGGGATCCGATACACCATTCTGGATGGTGCATAAGGGACATGGGAGTCCTTCAGGTTAAGACTTTTAAAAGCAACCCTTTAATGAGGCAGTTTCACTCCTTTGCTTGTCTGTCATTTTTCTTTCCTCCCCTTCTATATTGCCAATGGAAGGGATCCCCCCCCCCAGTGGAGTAGAAATGAAATTGAAGAAGAATAGGAGGAAGGAATCCTTTGTTTAGAAAGACTTCCCCCTTTGTCTCACTGCAGCTCTAAGGGAAAGGGTCTACTTCTTGAAACTCCTAGGATGTCGGGTCACATCCACAACATACATTTTAATCACATTTAAAGCAAAAGGCTAAAGAATCAAGGAAACCAAGCTATGATTTCCAGTAACCTTAGCAAACTGTGGTTCCAAGGATTGTTTAGGGGAAGTCAAGTGTGTCCAGAATATATCTAAATGATGTATCAAAATGTCCACAAACTTTTGAATATATTTGCTACCAAACTAATTCAGATGGTGAGTCTAATATCAGTTTAATGGTAGCAGGGAATTAAGAAGATTCACTTATTCATATATTTTTTCAAAACAACAACAAAAACAATTTTAAACTGTGTGAAGCATAGCAAGATAAGATTTTGTTTATTATAGCATCTGGAATTCCAACCTTCAGGTTTCCACAGAGTTAATGAAACTCACCATGTTTCTCATATGGTTTTTAAATGCTGTTATCCATGGCACTTAGCTTTTCTACATAAGCATGCAAAACTGAGCATATGACGCCATGCCTGTGAAAAGAATACTCTCCATATTTACATTTCTCAGAAACCTGGAGCTTCATTATGATGGATATAACTCAGTGGGTTTGTTTTCTCTGGACAAGTCTGAAAGCTCAGTGGCTGTTCATCCAACTTCCATATTCTAAGGATGTGGCATGAAGATTTTCCTCCTGAGTGGAAAAGCTGTTTTAAAGGATAACAGTTGTCAGGAGCTGGACTGAGGAGGAATGATGGGAGCCCATCCCCCTTTTTCTGAACCTTCCCAAGGGCAGGAGGACAGTATTGATTTAGAACAGTGGTTTGCAGAGGGACATAGTCCAGAGGGAAAAGCTGGAAAATGCTGAGGGAGGAACAGCTAGAAGAGGAAACGCCAAGAGAGCTGGCAGATTCAGTGTCCTTGGACAGCATTCCTGACCCCCCTTCGCCTAAGACCAGACGGGCTCTGAGAGTGATAGAACAGAGAGCTCAGCAGCGACAAGCTCAGATTACCCAACGTAGGAGTGACGCAAATTAATGGGGACGGAGGGGTGAAACTTTACTGGGAGTGACACCATTTTTTAGAGAGATATGCATTCCTTTGTCTCTTGCTGTGATCATTAAAGAACTTATTTGGTAAGACCGCTCCTTTCGTTTTATCTGCTTATTTGCTGCCACAGGGGGAGGGATCCGATCACCCAAAGTCTGACAACAGTCCATTGTTGCAGTTTTCTAAATTTTGGGCATTGGCACAACCATTAATTGCGTTGCTCGTACTTGGAAGTCAAACTATAATTGGAGACACTTGGATTTAGAAAATAAAATATGGGCTGTTACAGCAATCTACATGTTTCTTGCAAAGCTATAGAAATTGCACAAAGGTGGTCTGATTCTGGACCTGCTTTACAAACTCTAACCATGTCAATAATCCAGTGCTATACTCTGGTTTTTCGTTGTTCTGACCTCCGATTTGCTGTTTGCTTGAGCATTTCCACAGTGGGAAGGTTTGCAAACTTCAGTCCCTTCCTTTACATTCACCTCCTGGATTCTTTATCTCTGATCACCAGCATCTCTTTCTTCAGTGTGATTTATCCAGCAATGTGTTATCTCCTGTTGCTATAATTCTAAGGTCCCAAATATAAAATAAATGTTCATAAATGTACATGGCAAACACATACATAAGTATATAAACCTTGTGTCTGAAGCATCACCACCACAGGCACCAACCTCTTGGCATCCTGCACCAGCCGCTCCGGTTTCACCTCTAATTTTTACTAGATATGCCCAGTAAATGGTTTGCATCGAACCAAAAGATGCTGTAAGCGCTGCTCAAAAAGGAAGGTCATAGAAGTCATAGAATCATAGAGTTGGAAGAGACCACAAGGGCCATCGAGTCCAACCCCCTGCCGAGCAGGAAACACCATCAGAGCACTCCTGACATATGGTTGTCAAGCCATAAAGACCTCCAAAGAAGGAGACTCCACCACACTCCTTGGCAGCAAATTCCACTGTTGAACAGCTCTTACTGTCAGGAAGTTCTTCCTAATGTTTAGGTGGAATCTTCTTTCTTGTAGTTTGGATCTATTGCTCCGTGTCCGCTTCTCTGGAGCAGCAGAAAACAACCTTTCTCCCTCCTCTATGTGACATCCTTTTATATATTTGAACATGGATATCATATCACCCCTTAACCTCCTCTTCTCCAGGCTAAACATGCCCAGCTCCCTTAGCCGTTCCTCATAAGGCATCCTTTCCAGACCTTTGACCATTTTGGTTGCCCTCCTCTGGACACGTTCCAGTTTGTCAGTGTCCTTCTTGAATTGTGGTGCCCAGAACTGGACACAGTACTCCAGGTGAGGTCTGACCAGAGCAGAATACAGTGGCACTATTACTTCCCTTGATCTAGATGCTATACTCCTATTGATGAGGCCCAGAATTGCATTGGCTTTTTTAGCTGCCGCGTCACACTGTTGGCTCATGTCAAGTTTGTGGTCAACCAAGACTCCTAGATCCTTTTCACATGTACTGCTCTCAAGCCAGGTGTCACCCATCTTGTATTTGTGCCTCTCATTTTTTTTGCCCAAGTGCAATACTTTACATTTCTCCCTGTTAAAATTCATCTTGTTTGTTTTGGCCCAGTTCTCTAATCTGTCAAGGTCGTTTTGAAGTGTGATCCTGTCCTCTGGGGTGTTAGCCACCCCTCCCAGTTTGGTGTCATCTGCAAATTTGATCAGGATGCCCTTGAGTCCATCATCCAAGTCGTTGATAAAGATGTTGAATAAGACCGGGCCCAAGACAGAACCCTGTGGCACCCCACTAGTCACTCTTCTCCAGGATGAAGAGGAACCATTGATGAGCACCCTTTGGGTTCGGTCAGTCAGCCAGTTACAAATCCACTGAGTGGTAGCATAGGCAAGACCGCATTTTACCAGCTTCTTTACAAGAATATCATGGGGCACCTTGTCGAATGCCTTGCTGAAATCAAGGTAGACTACATCCACTGCGTTCCCTTCATCTACCAGGCTTGTAATTCTGTCAAAAAACGAGACCAGGTTAGTCTGACATGACTTATTTTTCAGAAATCCATGCTGACTATTGGTGATCACAGCATTCCTTTCTAGGTGCTCACAGACTGTTTGCTTAATGATCTGCTCCAGAATCTTCCCTGGTATTGATGTCAGACTGACTGGGCGGTAATTATTTGGGTCCTCTCTTTTCCCCTTTTTGAAAATAGGGACAACATTTGCCCTCCTCCAGTCTGCCGGGACTTCGCCTGTTCTCCAGGAATTCTCCTCCTTCAGCTGCTGCCCTGCTAGCTCTGATAAGCTCCTCCCACAGCTAATCACCTGCCTCAACAGAAGCCCTGCCCCCTCTGACCTTTGCACAGGGAGAACAGCTAATCAGCCACAAAGAAACACACACACAAGAAAACCCCTTCGCTTGTCCGTGTCACTTAGCTAAGGCAGCTGGGCTGCATCTATAGAGCTCTGCTCATTACTTACTCTAGGAGTTGGATCGTCGTCTTTCCCCACATGCTTTTTTGTGGGTTTCTTTTGTGTGTAGGCTTTATTTTTCAAAGTTTCTGCCTTTTTGCACTCCCAATCTTCGTCCTCCAGGTCCAGCTGAGTCCCCTTTAATTTTGCTCTCTGACAGAACTCCCTACACTCTACCTCTGCCCTAGATGAAAGAGAAAGGACGGTCATCTTCACCAAATTCAACAAAACCTCTCAAGCCATCTGGAATTGATATGGCATATTTATTTAATAGTGGACGTGTGTAGCGCTGTGGGTTAAACCACAGAGCCTAGGACTTGCCAATCAGAAGGTCAGTGGTTCGAATCCCTGCGACGGGGTGAGCTCCCGTTGCTCAGTCCCTGCTCCTGCCAACCTAGCAGTTCGAAAGCACGTCAAAGTGCAAGTAGATAAATAGGTACCGCTCCGGCGGGAAGGTAAACGGCGTTTCCGTGCGTTGCTCTGGTTCGCCAGAAGCGGCTTAGTCATGCTGGCCACATGACCCGGAAGCTGTACGCCGGCTCCCTCGGCCAGTAAAGCGAGATGAGCGCCGCAACCCCAGAGTCGGTCACGATTGGACCTAATGGTCAGGGGTCCCTTTACCTTTACCTTTTATTTATTCAATAAAATATAATATTCTTAGTGTGCTGATTGGTTCTTTTCAATCAGTAACCCAAACCACTTATTTCTATGTTACATTTTGTTTGTCCAGGACAACAATGGGTTGGGATCTACTTTTTGCTCTGGTGTGGACAAGCCCCTGGTTGGAGTGGGGGTGGACTGAAAATCCTTGGTTCAGATCTAGGATGCCAGGAAGGGGAGGCAGGCCATTGCAGAGCTTATGTGAGGCCGGGGTGCGAGTCTTGCTCTTCGCATGACAGCAGAGGTCCGGCAGGCCTGGAGGGGGGGGGGCGCTGAAAGGAGTCCTGGCCAGGTTAGCTCTCCAAGGCCTGGGGCAAGCGTACCTGGCTGCCTCCCCCCCCCCCCCCCGCAGGCCAGAGAGGCATAGTGGAGCCCACCAGGACAGCTGTGTGGATCAACAGCTGCCTTAACTATGGGCCAACCAGCCCTCATGGCAATGCACCCCCCCCATAAGTTGCCTGGTCAGTCCGTCCTCCTGGCTGGCACCCCCCCCCCAGGACTCCTTGACACTCGCCTTCAGCCTTGCACAGCCAGGACAGCGTCACTGAACTCCCTTCGGGGTCCTGAGGTACCTGCACAGGTAGTGGTACTGGAGCTTTGGAATATCCCTCCAGGGGGGATTTGGCTGCCTCTTTATTGTCACTCAAACACTGTTATTTTTAGAGCCTCGTCTTCTTAATCTGATTTTTATACTAATCCCTGCTTTAAATTGCATTCTTTTAACTTGATTTTTTAAAATAACAACTTTTTAATTCTATTTTGAATGATGTAGTTTCTCTGCTCTACCAGCTGAGGAGTGGGATATAAATCTAGCTAATAATAATTGATTTATCTGTTAACAATTTGTTGATACTCACACCTCTAAGAACGTGACACAATCTTTGTGTCCGTAGATCTCTGCGATCCTCTTTGGTGTGTCCCCATAGAGATCTGTAGCATCAATAGGCGCATGCAGAGAATGAAGGGTTCTCAACACTCCTAGTTTCCCTGATTCAGCCCCAAAATGAGCTGCAGTCCATCCTGCTTCAGTTCTCAAGCACAGGCGAGCACCATGATCCACAAGCAGTTTTATTATCTTTGAGTGCCCTGTAGAAATACAAGTATGGGAGCAAAGTGGGTGAAATGGATCACAGTGGAATTTCTTCATTATAGACAAGTTCCAGTTGCAGCCACCTGCTACCTGAGGCAAATCACAAAATAGTGTCCCCCTCCCTGCCAGGTAAGAAGGGTGAGGGAAGATGTACAACAGGAACAAGGGTGGAGGAGAAAATAAAGATCTCTATCAGGACCTGCTGCCCCATGGATGCTGCCACCCTTGCCTCATGAGTGGGCCAGTCTCGGTTGCTGCAAATATACCCAAGTCTCTGTGGCAGGGGTCTCTCTCTCTCTCTCTCTCTGTGTGTGTGTGTGTCTATAGTGTTAAATGGTGGCTCCCCACATGCTGGCTCTCATCCACCATTCCTGGCCCTCAACCAGGCTGGCTGGGGCTGATGGGAGTTGGAGTCAAAGACCTGGAGGGCCACACGTTCCCCCCACCAGCCTTTAAAACGAACCAATTTATTGTAAGCTAAGCTTTCATGGCTCAAAACCATTTCATCAAATGAACAAAGTGTAATGCTGTGTTGATGTGTAGACATGCGCATGAAAAGACAAGAATTGCAAGCAGTGCTGTTAAATGGCCAAGACAGGCAACAGATGAGATTTGGGGCAATTCAGTAAATACAGTGACCATTTACAAAAGCAGTAATTGGTCATAGTGGAGTCATCTTAACACTGTTATGTTATTTCCTACCCCTAGTGGAAAAGGAAACCAACAACTCACATAAGGCCTATGTGAACAGAAACTAACCTCTCAATGAGCTGTCATTCAGACATTTCATGCTGCAGCCTCCCTTTGGAATTTCTTTCTTTGAAGAATGTCGCTTTTCAGGTCAGGTCAGCAGCAGAGAATCTTAGGAGACTGAAATGCTCTATTTGTTTCTGAATTCTGCTGTTTTCTTCTGTGAGATTAGTACCCGCTTTGTGAATGCAGTAGAATAGATTTATTACTTACCTTTTGCTGCAGCCCAGTGCAGTGGTGTTCTGTCACTCCAATAAATATCTTTGCAATTTGGGTCACACAGCCCTGTCTTGAGAATCTCACCCACCAAGTCACAATTGCCCAATGCTACAGCTTCGTGCAGCTCTGTCATGCTGTTACATTAAGCTCTGTGCAAGACAAAACAAAAACAAAAAACTGAAAACCCAAATCCTGCATGATTTTGTACTTTTTTATCCAAATGAGACACAGTTATTAGTGGTACAGTGGTACCTCGGGTTACATATGCTTCAGGTTACAGACTCCGCTAACCCAGAAATAGTGCTTCAGGTTAAGAACTTTGCTTCAGGATGAGAACAGAAATCGTGCTCTGGCGGCGTGGCAGCAGCAGGAGGCCCCATTAGCTAAAGTGGTGCTTCAGGTTAAGAACAGTTTCAGGTTAAGTGCGGACCTCTGGAACGAATTAAATACTTAACCCGAGGTACCACTGTAGTAAGAAAGAAAATATTTACAGGCAGTCTTTGCTGAAAATGAATCACATGCCTACCGCCTGTGCTCATGCTCCAATCCTATGTCCCCTTGTTTGGGCTTAAGTCCCACTGACATTAGGAGAGAAAGACAACATGAGATTTTGCCCCTGCAATAAAGAAAGCAAAGTCTGTCTGCTGATGACAAAATCCCCCAGTCTGTTGTTACTTTCTCTCTATGGGAACTGGCTCCTCCCTTGTTAAAGCTGCAGAGCTTTAAAGGAGAAATCTTTACAGGAATGTTTTCAGCAGATGCATGTCACACAGGCTTAGGCATTGAATTTTAGACAGCCTGTGCAAATAAGGTAAAGGGTCAATATTGCACGATAAGAGAATTGGGTTGTAAGGTTTTGTGATGCTGCAGATTTATTAAATATTTTAAGGAAGGCATCTTTTCCAACTGCTCTTCCCTATCTGAAAAAAGGATGGCCTGAACTCTTTTGAGGGATGCTTCCAGATGGGGAGCACCTGAGGCTTCCCAATTGTTGCTCTTCTCTTGCAAGCGGCAAGCGGAATTGCAAGCAACTCTCCATACTAATGAGCATATTGTGCTTTTTAAAATGTGTACAATCTGCTATGTTCAGTCCTACGCACCAGCAGGCTTGACACGGCTGCTGTCTATGTCAAAGGGAAGGTCCCAGTTGACCTGAGCTGCCCTTGACTCTAAGCCCACATTTGCCACAGTGGCTGTTGTTTTATCAGACATTGGGGTTTTTAATCAATCTTTTAATTAACACAAAATGCTTTGTTTAGTTATAATTTTAAGAATGTTTTAAAATATGGAAATGCCATTTAAATGAAAGTATAGAGCTGTAACACTATAATGCTAATTCTGAAAAGAAGGGGGGACTTTCTGGTCACCACCACCTTACAAAGGTAATAAATGACGATGAGAGAAATGGCTTTTTAACAAACATTTTTATAATAGCATAACATCATCATACTTTAATACTGTAACACTTTCATTTAAGTGGTATTTAACTAATTTTTTAATATTAAAAATTATAACCAGTAATGCACCAGTAATGAAAAGATAGATTAAAATGAACAATACAGTATAAAATGGCGCCCACTGGAAATATTATGGTGAGTGTGCTCTGTGATCATTCACCTGCCTGATACATTATTGCGCTTCTTCAAACCATGGACTTCAAAAAACACACCTGTGCAGTTAGTGCTGCTCTTCTGAAAAAAGGGAGGACTTTTTGTTGCCAGAGGAAAGACAGGAAAAAGTCCAGGATTGCAATGATTGGATGTTGTGTGAGTATCCCATAACAACTGAGCAAATTCTGCACTAAATGCCTAGTGTACAAGATCTGCTTAACTATTGTTGACTGTTGGCTGTTATGTTTTTATGGTGTGCTGCTACTATAAGTTGTCATTTTATTACAGTATTTGTTTTTAATATTAGTTTCAAATAAAGTATGACTATATTTCTGAAATTTGAAACTGTTGCTTGATCTAATAAAATAAAAGACAACTTCCCTGGATGTCTAGATGCAGGTTTGGGGCAAGTATTTGATGATGATTTAAAATCACAAAACATGCAGCAAAGCATGAGAATATAGGCTGTTAGACCTCTAAAACAGACTATTCTAAATTAATCCCGAAGCCCTCCAGTTCCCTTACCATAGAAAGAAACCACACATTTAGTAAGGAACCAGGAGAACAAAAACTTTTAAAAAGAATGGGAAAAATTATAAGTTATCTAGGAGACCACTGTAAGCAGATGGAAACATTAGCAGGATTTTAATTCCACTTATTCTACAAGGAAGGCTCAAGCAGTATGTGGACCGAGAACTCCCAGAAGGGCAAGCTGGATTTAGAAGAGGCAGAGGAACCAGAGACCAAATTGCAAACATGCGCTGGATTATGGAGAAAGCTAGAGAGTTCCAGAAAGACATCTACTTCTGCTTCATTGACTATGCAAAAGCCTTGGACTGTGTCGACCACAGCAAACTATGGCAAGTTCTTAAAGAAATGGGAGTGCCTGATCACCTCATCTGTCTCCTGAGAAATCTCTATGTGGGACAAGAAGCTACAGTTAGAACTGGATATGGAACAACTGATTGGTTCAAAATTGGGAAAGGAGTACGACAAGGCTGTATATTGTCTCTCTGCTTATTTAATTTATATGCAGAATTCATCATGCGAAAGGCTGGGCTGGATGAATCCCTAGCCGGAATTAAGATTGCCGGAAGAAATATCAACAACCTCAGATATGCAGATGACACAACCTTGATGGCAGAAAGTGAGGAGGAATTAAAGAACCTTTTAATGAGGGTGAAAGAGGAGAGCGCAAAATATGGCCTGAAGCTCAACATCAAAAAAACGAAGATCATGGCCACTGGGCCCATCACCTCCTGGCAAATAGAAGGGGAAGAAATGGAGGCAGTGAGAGTTTTTACTTTCTTGGGTTCCATGATCACTGCAGATGGTGACAGCAGTCATGAAATTAAAAGATGCCTGCTTCTTGGGAGAAAGGCAATGACAAATCTAGACAGCATCTTAAAAAGCAGAGACATCAACCTTGCCAACAAAGGTCCGTATAGTTAAAAGCCATGGTTTTCCCAGTAGTGATGTATGGAAGTGAGCGCTGGACCATAAAGAAGGCTGATCGCAGTCCCATGGATTGCAAGAAGATCCAAACCTCTCCATTCTTAAGGAAATCAGCCCTGAGTGCTCACTGGAAGGACAGATCGTGAAGCTGAGGCTCCAATACTTTGGCCACCTCATGAGAAGAGAAGACTCCCTGGAAAACACCCTGATGTTGGGAAGGATGGAGGGCCCAAGGAGAAGGGGACGAGAGAGGACGAGATGGTTGGACAGTGTTCTCGAAGCTACCAGCATGAGTTTGACCAAACTGCGGGAGGCAGTGGAAGACAGGAGTGCCTGGCGTGCTCTGGTCCGTGGGGTCATGAACAGTCGGACACGACTAAACAACTAAACAACAACAATTCCACTTGTAATGTAACAAATACTATGGATAATATGGATTAATATAAAATTTAGAGTATGGAAGAATATGCAGTTGTAAGTGTTGAAAATAGGACCCCATGGGAGTGGGTCGTGAGATTGAGAGTAATCTCAATATATAGATATGTATGTGGATTGTTGCCTTTGTCTGTTCAAGATCTGTTCAAGAAAATTGGAGATATGAAAGGAACATTTCGTACAAAGATTACCATAATAAAAGACAAAAGTGGAAAGGACCTAAAAGAAGCAGAAGACATCATGAGAAGAGACGACTCCCTGGAAAAGACTCTGATGTTGGGAAAGATGGAGGGCAGAAGGAGAAGGGGACGACAGAGGACAAGATGGTGGGACAGTGTTCTTTTTTTAAAAAAAATGATATTTATTACTTTTCCAACATTTTCAACACAACACTACAAACAAAAAAAAAGAAAAAAGCAATACAAATACAATATAAAAACACTACCCAACACCAACACACCAAACTAACAAAACAAAGCAAAAACAAACAAAAACAGTTTAAAAACACCTCAAACATTTTCAATATCCCATCCTTCATTCACTTATTTCCAGCGACCTCCTCACACCTCCCTTTTTGTATTCCACTTCTATTAATTGTTTCAGCAATTCCTTTCCATCTTCCTCTGTTTCCTATCCTATAATTATCTTAACACATTCTTACCTTATTTTTCCCTTTAAATTTCTATTAATCTGTTTGTACTTAATTCCTTATAACATTTCTACTAAAGCCATATAACTTCATTCCAACATTCTTCTAACATTCCTTAATTTTACAATATTTCTATAAATAGTCTTTAAACTTTTTCCAGTCTTCTTCCACCGACTCTTCTCCCTGGTCTCGGATCTTGCCAGTCATTTCCGCCAATTCCATATAGTCCATCAACTTCGTCTGCTATTATCCAACACTTCAGTGCTTTCAAGAGCAGCCATTCTCCCAGCCAGCAAAAAGCAGATGGTTCACAACAAAGTTTAGGGGTCTGGCAGGGCAAATCCACCTCCTTCTTTGGCATCCGTCAATATCTTAAATTTTACTCAAGGCTTCCTGCCCTGCCAGACAAATTTAAAAACATCCCTCTGCCACCTCCTGAAACAATCTGTCCCATCCAAAGCTTGCAATGTTTGAAACAAAAGCAACATCCCCAGCAACCCAGCAGCCCTCATCCCCACCACAGCAACTCGGCCCAACAATAACAACTTCAGATTTGTCCATATTTCCAAATCCCCCTTCTCTTCGATCCAACATCCTTCACAGTTATCCTTGAATAGATTCACATTTTTGGCGGTCATAAAAGGTAAAGGTAAAGGTACCCCTGCCCGTACGGGCCAGTCTTGACAGACTCTGGGGTTGTGTGCCCATCTCACTCAAGAGGCCAGGGGCCAGCGCTGTCCGGAGACACTTCCGGGTCACGTGGCTAGTGTGACATCGCTGCTCTGGCGAGCCAGAGCCGCACACGGAATGCCGTTTACCTTCCCGCTAGTAAGCGGTCCCTATTTATCTACTTGCACCCGGGAGTGCTTTCGAACTGCTAGGTTGGCAGGCGCTAGGACCGAACAATGGGAGCACACCCCGCCGCGGGGATTCGAACCGCCGACCTTTCGATCGGCAAGCCCAAGGCGCTGAGGCTTTTACCCACAGCGCCACCCGCGTCCCTTTTGGCGGTCATACTAACCCCCAAATACCTCTCTTTCTCAACCGATGTTAGTCCTTTCTCCTCCTGAAACTCTATCAAGCTTTCCTTTTCCAATTCAAGTAGGGCTCTGGTCCTCAAATTCGTCTGTTTTTCTTTAAGTTCAATCATAACGAATGTCAGCTTATGTTCATCAAATTGTCTTTGTATGAATGGGGCTCTCTCTCTCTCCAGTTGCATTGCTTTACATTCAGCAGCAAGGGTTTTCTCCCTGACTTCATCTGCAGTTTGCCGTATCAGAGTAGATTCCTGTATCAATTTCTGGGTGGTTTCTGCAGTAGTATTCACCTTTTGTCCCAGATTGTTTAAACTTTCTACAATTAAGTCAATTTTAATATTTGCAGCATCCACTTTCACATTCATCACGTCTGTTTTCTTGTGAAGTTGTTCCAGCGAATCGTTTATTTTCACTAATGCAGCCACTAAGGCCTCTTCTGTCAACATTCAGTCTGTTTTTTTCCTTTCCATTTGCCATAACACTTGAGAGATTCAAGGTCAATTCCAGAGTCTCACAATTTTTTATCTTGCAGCTGGAAATTCCCCTAGCCCAGCTCCTGTAAAGCAACCAATTTCAAAAGCTTCCACTAGGGGAAAACCATTTCTATTTGTATTAGTCAGTAAAATCCTCTTTTAAACACAGTTCCAATAATCCAAAGTTAGTTTCAATTTTCAGTTACACTTACTCCTTTTTTTTTGAAAACAACTGGAGACAGTAGAAACAATGTATTCTCTTGTTTAGCTACCTGTCAATGAACGTTCTAAACGCTGTCAATGAACATTCCAAAAGACATCAATCCTGCTAGCAGCCCGTTTCCAGGGTCAGAGCGGCGGTATTTTAACTCTCTTAACTCTCTCCTGCAGGCATTATTCAGTCCACCACTTCCCCCCCTCTTCTCCTGTCTCCGAAAGGGGGGGGGGTTAGTTCTTTACTGATGGAAATTTAGTATTTTACAAAAGGCTTTCCAAGACTTCAGCTTGCAGCCTTATTGCTTCAGTTTATATATAAAAAGGGGAGCCAGACTTCCTGTATTGAACCTCCCCGTTTCGATGCCAAATTAAACGTTTAAAAATCCAATTCTCCCACTTCAGCTCTACTCACGGATAGTTACTTTAGAGTCAAATTGTCCACAGGAAAAAGTCAGTGCTCTCCGGCAACAGCTATGCGGCTTCGCTCCGTGGAAGTAGCAGACGATTCGAAGCACCGCACCACTCACCCCACGTCGCTCCGGATCCCCGAAACCGGGTTTCCCTGCGAGTAGGGGAGGCGCAAAAGGTGCCTGCCGAATCCCACGTTCACAGGCTTCTCCCGCCTGTGATTTTTACGGGTCTCCGCCTTCGCCGTGGCGGTACAGACCCAAATTCCCACGGGGCAAGTTCCTCCCGATCAGAGGAACTCCGCCATTGCCGGAGGCACCAACCCGGAAGTCCCGAGATGGTGGGACAGTGTTCTTGAAGCTACCAACATGAGTTTGACCAAACTGCGGGAGGCAGTAGAAGACAGGAGTGCCTGGTGTGCTCTGGTCCATGGGGTCATGAAGAGTCGGACACGACTAAACGACTAAACAACAATGTGGATTGTTATAATTTCATAATTGTAAAATCAAATAAAAATGTTCTGGGTTTTTTTTAAAAAAGGTTTTCAACTCTTCAAAGGTCAAACTCTTCAAAGGTCAAATTTATGTGCTTTTCCATACAGCAGTCTGAAAATGCAGGCAGTAAAACTTAGGTTCCAAAGTGGTGAATGTTTCTAGATTATTTGTATAGAAACACAAGATGGCTTGCTTAAGCCACACAGTCTAAGCTTGGAGCACCCTGCTTAAACCTCCTTACTGGTGGAATCACATGGTGGAATGGCTTGATAACCTTTCCTCCCAAGGTGAGGGGCAGTGACTTAGCTAAGGCTGGCAGGACAGCTTACTTTATGGTCTTAACCCCTTCATGCATTAATTAGTGTTAAGCATGTTGGTTATATGAGGCTGATTTATCCCACAGAAAGGATAACAGTCCATAAAAGTTTTTAAAAAATATGTTGACCATTTAACTAGGGTTGGACAATTTCATCTATTTCACTATTTCATCTCGGGGCTACTAGATTCTCCTGCTTTTGACGTGTACTTTAGCAATCCTTGCATCTGTTGTCAGGACCACTAGGTTTTCACATAAAATATAAGCGAGGGAGGGGGGAACAACCCTGGGAAATAAGTGTGGACTGCTGTTTACGCCAAGGTTGTTAGTGGCTACATCAGGATGACATCACAATGCTTATGTAAGGGCTTGACTTCCTTCTGTTGAACTGACACCCACAAGGTATTTATAAGAATGATGTGCACATAGGGATAGGGAGCTACTCTTAGCTTACGTATATTTAAATGTAGCAACTTACTGCAGTAAAGTTAGTAGACAAAACAGCTGCAAATATGACACAGGATAAACGGGGGAAGCTTGGTGCCAGAACAAATTATACCTCAGCAAAGTCAAAAACCTGTGATCAAAGGGCCAAGAAGAAACTTTCTGCCACTCTGCTGTAAGTCCAGCATCTTTACTTCTAAGCTGAGGGCACCGATGGGCCCCGCGGCTCTCAGTCCTCGTTGTGTTTCATCTGACCCAAGAACACGGCCTGATCAGAAGCTTGCCACTCTTTCTTTTGGCTCTGACAGCTGTTTCAGTCTCATTGTCCAACCCTAGTTAAATGGTCAACATATTTTTTTAAAACATACGGTATATATGACTTTTATAACAGAAGCTGCATGAAAAGTCCAAAATCCACACTTGGACAATACTTTTATTGGGACCAACAAGTAAGATGTTACACAAATTGGGAGGGGAGAAAGAAAAACACTAATCCCCCAACCAAAATACATAAATTAGGCTGGATGTAGGAGCTATGAGGTCCTCAGATTGTAATCATCATCTTAAATAAGAACTGCAGATCATTGGCATTATTCCTTTTATCAATCTCCAAACACAGATTAGATATCAATAGAAAATGTCAAAAATTGTGTGCTGATTACCCCAATCCCCATCCATTGCCATTTTGTTATGGCTGCACCCTGGCACCTCCATCTTCTGTTGTGTTTTGCTCTCTCAAGTGAGTCCTAGGGATAGAAGTTTGAGAACCCCTGAACTAGGACACCTGGGGAATGGCAAGTAAAAGAGAATTTCCCTAACCCAGGAGATCTAGGCCAAAGGGGGGCAAGATGTGGCCCTTCAAACGTTGCTGTGCTCCAGCTCCCATCAGCCTCAGCCAGCATGGCCCATATGGTCAGGGATGATGGAGGGCCACAAGGGCCCCGACCCTAATGTATCCCATCTATAGAATAGTGTGACCAGAAAATAAAAAAATAAACATGTTAAACCAGGCCACTAATATCATTCTGGTGGCGGTGGTAAACAGGATGATAGCATTTATTTATTTATTGGAAGGCATTTTATAATTGATTTTGATGTTTTAAGTTGGTTTTGCTGGTATTTCTGTTGGGCATTTTATATTTGACTTTTAGAATTGCTTTTTAAATTGTTGCTATATTTTAATCTTTCTTTTAGCTACTTAACTTATTTGAAAACTGGGGTATATATTATTTAAATACATATCTCTGTTCCTTGCAGGAGCCTTTTGGACACTGAGGATGACCTGTCTAATATCCAGTGGGGATCAGTGCCTTTAGAAGTACAGGACTGGCTGACTGTTACCTTCGCAAGGAAAAAAGAGGCGTACAGTATCAAACCTGAGGATCAGCCAAGCATTCGAACTATTTCATATGCAGTCCAGGCTAGTGTTTTGGTAAAAAGGTAAGCATGGGCCATAGAACAAGTAATGAGCCTAAACTCTGTAGCTCATGACTGGTGGAATTAAAGGTGCATCTAACGCAGTCCCTTCAGGAAATGTGACATCCGGAATCTCATTCACCAATTTACACGTGTTCATTAGAAGACCATAAACACAGGGAGTCTGGGGGCCCCAGGAGACCCAGGACCAGCAAGCTCACCCAGCGGGGGCTGGAGTGGTCCTCTGCTTCCTGCTCACTCCAGCAGTGGCACAACCAGGGTGGTCTGAGCTGGGGCTGCGGGGAAAGGCACTGCTTCTTCCCATTAAACAAAGGATTCGCAGAGGGAATTACGGCAGGTGTCACTGTGACTGAGAAGATGTTCTCTGTGGCACACTTAATGGAATATGCAAAATAAGGTCAGATCGAGAGCTGGTTGTTAACGGCATAATGCAGGGGTGGGGAACATCCCCTCCCACACCAAGAGCCACCAGCACCCACACATCCGCTGGCATCAGAATCATCACAACCCTAAACCCGTTCTCTATGAAGAGAGAGCACGGGAGATGGGAGATTTAGGTGAGGCAAGGTGAGGCGACTGCCTCAGGCAGCAGGATCCAGCAGGGCAGCAGATCCCCATGTCTCTCTTTCTTCCTCACTTGCCTCTGATGCAGGACAAGGAGTTGGGGCTTTTGTCTCCATCTCACTGCTCACCTTTCCTGAAGGCAAAGGCTCCAATGCAGCACATTCGCCCCACTTTCCCAGCCCAGTGAGAACAAGGAGCCTTGAAGTCACAACACACACCAGCATTAGGCTGGGGGGAAAGCTTCTGTTGCCTCAAGGCTTCTTGCCAGACCCATTTCACTGGGAGGAGGGGCGGCAGGACCATGCAAGCTTCTCAGCAGCCTGAGAAATGGCCCAGGGGCAATTAGCTGTCTATAACTCTTGACGGAGCAGCCCTGTCCAGTTGTGGGGGGGGGGGCAACATTTAGAGATCATCCAGTGAACTTCATGGCCATGTGGGGATTTCCACCAGGGTTGCCTCATCAGCCCTAGTCCAACCCTCTTCCTGCTTTGCCACATAGAGTCTTCCCCACTACTTGACTTGACCTACTCTAAGGGTCTTCTTAGAAAATAATCTATAGCTTACATATATTTCATTTGTTCTCCTAGGATGTTCCGTACACCCACCAGTGCAAGTGGTTTGGCTTATCCAGAGAAAGTAATTGCAGCTTTTAAGGTGAAAGTGGTTTTTTAAAAATAATAAAATAAAACGGGAGGTGGTGGACTCTCCTTCCTTGGAGGTTTTTAAGCAGAGGTTGGATGACCACCTGTCAGAGTTGCTTCATTTCTTAAATCAAAGAAAGAAAGAAAGAAAGAAAGAAAGAAAGAAGCCATTTGTATTGATGGCAGAAGTCATTGGCCAAGAGAGCCTTGTTGGAAGGATGTGAGGATCTTCTCAAGGGAGCCAGGGGGCCTGCTGTGGCTGGGTGTCTAGAGAAGGAGGAGGTCATTTGGTTGAGGGAGTTCCTCTCTCTGCATCTCTGGCTTGTAGGTCTGAGGCCCTTCCTGCTCTGAAATAGGGGTTTCATTTCTTGTGTGCCTTGAATCCCGTGAGTCTCCTCGGCATAGTTAGTGGTGGTGGATCTGAGAACTTTGCAGCCATAAAATGAAGATCTGTAATAAACTATTATGACCAGCCATAAGAACACCTAATAAATTGCTCTTTTGATCTCTGTAAACCCCCATATCTATAAGCCAAATGTGGCAAACAGGTTGACTTTATTTAATGGAAACTGCAGTTGGAGGAAGAGCAGTTTATTATCTACACGCTTTCAATAATCTGTCATAACTACATTCATTGGTATTACATTTTTTACTCACGTGACTTGGGAAACAAAAATGTTTGCATTTATATTTTTACATTTTACATTTTATATGTTGTCCAGGAACCTAGATTAAGAAATAAAAGTGCTTTTTTGTGTGTTTTCAATTACCAACAGGACATTGATAAATGGGATTTTGATGTATTTGCCTTAAATGAAACTTGTGAAGGGCACAGCTTAAAATACCTGATGTGTGATCTGTTCAACAAGTATGATCTTCTGAGACAATTCAAGGTCAGGAACTTACCTAGTTAAATCTTAATATGTTAACAATTCAGTGTTTCCAGACTTTCTTTTAACAGAGCAAATTCCATGTTCTTGAAGGGCAAATTATAATACGGCAGTATCTAAGCAAATGAGAAAAAATTATGATAGGTGTGAAATAAAGCACATAGTGAAGCAAAGGGGTGTGTTCACAGAGTGAGTGTGTGGCTGTACTGGGAGAACGGGGGGGGGGGTTGTTGCCCTTTCCAGATTACCCCAGTTTTGTGTTGGAAAGCTGTGGGCTGCCAGTTGGATGGATGACACCTAAAACATCAATGCACATGGAGCTTCCAATCTACATTACACTCCCATGTGGACGAGCCCTAATTCTTGCCTTCATCTGTCCATTCCATGCCATGGTGCCACCATGGATGTTTCACTTGCTTCTGTGCATCTGCGCCGTCCCCAAATCTGCTCTGGAGGGTTGCTGGAAAGCTAGAAGAGGGGGGGGCAGGGGGGGAGAGGGGAAGTCCTATTGTGAGTGTGGTTGTTGCTTTCCATGCACAATGGTTTGGTTGGAAACAACCCAGGAACATCTCATTTGACCCCTGAATGTCTGGACCTAAACCTTAAGTCTCCTCTGTCACGTCCGAATGATAATTTCAGAAGGGTGTTTGTTATACAACTGGTCTTGCCAACGGTTGCAATAAAAATGTTTATTTCCAGTTCTAAGCATGTCCTAATTCTTGCCTTGCATAGATCCCAATTACCTGCCTGATTTCATTTGCAAGTGCTCTGGAAGTTGGCTACAGCAAGCACCAAAATCCATATCACAATGTGATGCATGCTACAGATGTTACCCAAACTGTGCATTGCATAATGCTTCACACTGGTATGATGGTAAGAAATGCCCTACAGTGAAGGAAAAGAGCATTTGGGATTCTTAGGTCCTCCTTTTCTTGACCTAGGAAAGCCTTTTGTTAGAATAATTTTAGAAACTCACATATTATAGTTCTTTACTAAGGTCTATATTCATTATTTACTAACACATCAGTAGCCATTTCACTCATAGGATATAGCTGACCCAGAATCATAGAATCACAGAAGTGTAGAGCTAGACAGGGACCCCGAGTGTCATCTAGTCCAACCCCCTGCAAGGCAGGAAATTGGGAACCAGTGAATTATACATGGTGTTGCCATGCTATTAAAAAAATGCATTGACTCATGAGATCAATGGAAAAGCTAAGGCAGATGAACTTGTGTTAGTGCACAGGATTCAGAAAGGCTGGCATAAGATTTAGGAGGAACCCTAAGTATACATTACTCAGGAGCGTCAGGCATAGACTCCACCATTGACCCCAGTATTGTGAGAGGAAGCGGAAGCTGCTTGGCCCACAGGACAAAATGTGCACCGTGATCCCAAATAACCCCCCACCCTGGCAGCTGCTATTACCACTTAAAAAAGAAAAACTACTAGAGGAGATTGTAGTCATAGATCATTCTGCATCATGTCTAATTGTTAGTTGCATGCAGGACATGACTGACTTTTAATTCTTCTCACTAGCATTGGTTCACTGACCTGGAGATATTAGCAATTCTTTTCAGCACGTCAATCCATGATTATGAACATACTGGAACCACAAACCATTTCCATGTTAGGACAAGGTAAGTCTCTTTTGTCATTTTCCAGTGTGACCATTGCAGCTCCACCTAAACTGAAATGGTAGAACTACCGTAAGTGGCTGAAATAGAAGCAGCTCGGGAGAGCTAGCATTGCCCATCTCTCCCTCTGCTGGAACCAGTGGAGTGCTTGCTAATAGATGTCAGATCCCCAGAGCACAGTGTGAAAACCAGTACTCTAAAAAGTCAACATTTCCCCCCTAAAAATGGTATATTTTCATCTCTGGGGATGACCTGGCACCAGGAAAAAGAAATGTTCAATCTGTGACTGTGCAGCCCTTCCTAGGTCTGTTCTGGGTAATATGGCTAGTTTTTTGTTTTATTCTAGGTCAGAAATGGCACTTTTGTACAATGATAAATCAGTTCTTGAAAACCATCATGTGAGTGCTGTTTACCAACTCATGCAAAATGAAGATATGAACATCTTGGTCAATTTAACCAACGAGGAATGGAGGTGAGATAATATAGGGGTGCTACATAAGGTGTAGTGATGCTTGTGCAGTTACAGGCCTTTCAAGAGTCACTCAACAATGCTATGATTCTATAAGTAAGGATTGCCTTTACAAGCACTCCAGAGTTAACAGGGAGACTTTACTAATTTCCACCTTTGCAGCTATGGCTTGTAGGCCACAAATGACAAATACAGTTTTGTATGTGGGTGGCTTTCCTTCTCAGGGTAGCAGACAGCTTAATTCAGATAACTTTGGGCTCTGAAGGAGGGCAGAATGCATGGAAACCCTTGTTTTAGAGAACTCACAGAACTCACTGTTAAGTTGTGGGTGAACATATCAGACGACACAGCGATTCTTCAAACAGCTCTTCTTTATTCTGAGGCCAGAACTGAATTGAACTGAAGGGCTCAGTCAGCCTGCTTATATAGCGCTCCAGTACCTTGTTACTGTAACAACTTTCTAAAACTATCCAATCACTGAATGTCGCTTTCGATCCTTCATTTGCATAACTATCTACAGTATCCCCCTGCTGGCCCAGGGTGAGAACTTCAGTACATAACACTCACCATGAACAAATTATTTATTTGCCTTCAGGGAACTGCGCCGGCTGGTCATTGAGATGGTTTTAGCTACGGACATGTCAAATCATTTCCAGCAAATGAAATATCTGAAACACGTTCTGAAATGCCTTCAGCATGTAAAAAGGTTGGTTGTATTGGGAAGGGGGTGTGCGTGTTGGAAATCTGAATTTTTGTTGGTGGTATGAATTCTTTAAATCATCTCTCATTTAATATGAGAAACAATCCTACTCTTCTGCTGAAGTAATTCAATAATGCCCTACATTTGACAGGACAGATAGAGATAAACTCATGTCCATGATTGTCCATGCAGCTGACATAAGTCATCCATCAAAGCCCTGGAAATTGCATCAGCAATGGGCAAATGCACTAATGGATGAATTCTTCAAGCAGGTACCATTTTCAAAAGTTCATTGGTAGGCTAGATTCCTTTGCATGTTTGAGATAGATATTAAATTCATATCTTACCTGCCCAGAAAATCCCAAATGGCCTAAAACCTTTATAAAAAATATGCAAGCAAACATGCATAAGATAACACTTGGCATTTATTGTTGTATGTAATGTAACATAACCTACCCTTGTTGCTTGCACCCATCGTCACAAGAAACCACTGTGAAGCGCTGTCTCAATTCACATGTAGTACTAAACCAAATCATGGCTAAGTGGGAACAAGGCAGCGCACACAGAGCGGACATGGAAGCCTCTTCCCTCTCCCAGAGCTGCTGCCGCTACCTCATTACTCAGGATGCACCATGGTTTGGCTTAGCATTACATCTGAATCCAGGCTTGTGGTTTGTCTCATGCCAAATAAATTACAAGCTGTTTGCTTTAGGCTTACTGAGCATGGTTTCTCTGAGGAGGGACAAACCCGTTTATGTAATGCCAAGCCAACTCATGCCTTAGCAGTGGGTAGCAGCAGGACTAGGGAGGAGTGTTTTTTCTTCTGTGCATGCTTCCTCGGTCATGCTAAACCATAGTTGAGTTTAGGGTTCTGTGCAAACCAGGCCAGTGAGTAGCTCCGGCTTCTCAGTCCAAGCCATTGAATGTCAGGCCTGAACGGGAATTAGAGTTGCAGTCTCTCTGGTCCAACATGTTATCTGATTCTCCACACTGCTTCCCAAAAACCTTTCCTAAGGAAAAAGGGGCACTTCTCTCCAAATTGGGACACACACATCCTCAAGAGCTTTATACATACAGTGGTACCTCTGGTTACGAATGCTTCTGGTTACGAATGCTTCTGGTTATGAACACTTCTGGTTACGAACGTTTCAGGTTATGACCTCTGCTAACCTGGAAGTAGCTGCTGGTTGAGAACTTTGCCCCAGGATGCAAATGGAAATTGCGCGCTGGAAGGCCCCATTAGCGAAAGTGCGCCTCAGGATAAGATCAGTTTCAGCTTAAGAATGGACCTCCGGAACAAATTAAGTTCGTAACCAGAGGTACCACTGTATTACAAAGCTGAATAATCTGGCTAATTATAGTTGCTCTAAAGCTTCTTCTGCCAACAGCAGAAGCAGCATCCACTGTACAGCAAGCAGGACAGGTCTCTCCTGCTGTGCTGCATACTAGCAGCAACCCCATTGGAATGCATTGCTCCCAAATAGCAGGCTCTGTTGTGGCAAAAATATCTTCAGGAGGACTGATAGGTGTGCCTCTCCCTGTGCCCCCATCCCTGTATCTGTACACTTGAGGATCCCTTCTGTTGTATTTTAAGGATAAATAGGTGTGATTAACAGCTTGGTATGAAAGATTAACACCCACATGTTTCAAACTCTGTGTCAGAATTTGAAAGTGTTGCTTTTCAAGATGATTGGAGGAGCAGAAGTTTCAACTCTTAGGTATTTGCTTCACACACTTGCAGGTTGACAATAGGAAGGCACAAACTGTCCCACATTGTGCTTCATATTAAGAATTTTGGGCATGTTCAGCCCAAGGTCAAGTAACAGCTGCAGTGATTCCATTCTGGCAGTGAAGCCAACAATAGACAATTGCAATGATTTATGAGATTCATGTGATTCACTTGCATTCCCCACCCCTGCTATATGTGGGGACTGGAGGTTATTTTACTGATATTGTGACTGGAGAGAAAAGGCTTAAGCAGCACACACTGCGCTCCTGAGGACAATCGTCCTGTGCCTGGTATTTAACTTTATCAAATTCATGGCGTGGTTGCTGATTGTGTCATTTATATTATGTTTCATTTGGCCCTATGTCTCTGGAAACAGGAGTATCTGTTATGTTAGAGGTTCTCAGACTGTGATCTGCAGAACATCGCTGGTCTGTTGAGCTTCATTCAGGTGGTCCATGATTTGTCTGTAGAAAAATAACTAAAAATAATGTGTCATCTAGTGCAGCGCATGACAATTGCTACGGCAAGCAGAAAAAAATATTAAGTGGTCAACCAAGACCCTCAGCAATTTTCAGGTGGCTTTGTGGCAAGGAAAGTTTGGGATCCATTGCATTATGTTATACCAAATACTGTAATGTGTTTAAATAAGGAAAACACCTTGAAATAAAGGTTGTTATTTATTTCTTATTGGGACTTGGTAGAATCTTTGAAATTCCAAGTGGAGGGCTCACACTGCACTCTCACAAATAGTGTCTCTTTTTACACAATTATAAATAAACACACACTTATCTTTTCATATTACATACATTCTCAGAGTGTAAGGGCTGATTCAGATGCAACAATCTTGTATAGCCCATGGTTTCATTAAGTCAGAAATGACTATTGAGCCTACACTCTCCCCTCTCATTTCTCCCTCCCATGTACGAGCTTTAAAGCTTTTGTGTTGGTATCTTTAAGCCACAGTTGCCCATTATGTCTGAAACAAGAAACTGTGGTTTAATGCTGGTTTTCTAAGCAGTAGGAAACCTGTGGGCCTCCAGCTGCTGCTAAACTGCAATACCCATCAGGTTCAGCAACATCTGGAGGGGAATCAGTTCCCCACACCTGTTCTAAGCTGCTTCATAGAATCATAGATTTGGAAGGGACCCCAGGGGTCATCTAGTCCAACCCCCTGCAATGCAGGAATCTCAGCTAAAGCATCCATGACAAATGGCCATCCAACCTCTGCTTTAAAACCTCCAAGGGGGGAGAGTTCACCGCCTCGCGGGAGTCTGTTCCACTGTTGAACAGCTCTGTCAGAAACTTTTTCCGAATGTTTAGTCGGAACCTCCTTTCTTGCTCCTTGAAGCCATAGGTTCGAGTCCTACCCTCCAGAACAGGAGAAAACAAGCATGTTCCCTCTCTTCCATGTGACAGCCCTTCAGATACAGTATTTGAAGATGGCTCTCATATCTCCTCTCAGCCTGCTCTTTTCCAGGCTTAATATACCCAGCTCCTTCAAGCGCTCCTCGCAAGCCTTAGTTTCAAGAGTTTCATATCAAAATAGAAGTGAATTTATTGGATATCGTTCACGCTGTCTTATATCTCTGTGCATTCTTTCCCCTCCAACTCAGGGAGACAAGGAGGCTGAATTAGGATTGCCTATTTCTCCACTCTGTGATCGTGGGACTACCAATATTGCTGAAACTCAAATAGGTAATGTGAGGGAGGGAGCCAATCTTTAGTCCTTCCTCTCAATCCTTTTCTTTTTGAAAATCAGATGTATGCTTTTCTCCACCCAACCCCTTTTTAAAAAATATTTTTTATTAAGTTTTCCATTTAACAATACAATCATATCACATTAGTTAATCCGAATTATGCCAATACATATCATAAAATCCAAATATTTTGCCGAATTTTTTAAATTTTTGTTGGGGGTACCCATGCTTCGAGTTCAGTAAGGGTCCAGTCATCTCATATTTCTGCTGCTTTAAAGATGTATGCTTTTCTTTGTCACCACAGCAAAACAAAAAACAAAAACAAACAAATATGCCCCAGGTGCTAGAAAATGTCCTGGCTGGATCCCCATTTCCTGAAGCTCAAAAGCAGATCCAGAAATCACATTCATCATATTATTATTATTATTGTTGTTGTTGTTATTATTCAGTGCTATGTCCCTTTCACCACCAAACCACCTGACTCATTGTCAAATTCCCCCACTGGACTGCTTTGTGGCGTTTTTATAATCCCTTGCAAGCCATGGGTCCCCTACAACATCCCAGTCCTGAATGCCTTTGAGCTCCATTTGGGTCTTGCCTTTCTTTCAGTTCTAAGCAGTGCAGATTACTCAGCAGTTTCCAAGCCTACACTACTTCACCATTTTAAAAAATAATAAATTTTGGCTACTGGTAAACTATTTCTTGAGGGAGTTAATTCCATAGTTAAATTATGCACTGTGTGAAAAAGTATTTTCTTTTGTCTGTCCTAATCTTCCAACATTCAGCTTTTTTGATGTCCACAAGCTCTCGTGTTATGAAAGGAGAAACTTAGGTATCTCTGCCCACTTTTTCCACTGTTTTCATGTATGTGCTCTTTGAATTCTTTAAGGCATCCCTTATTGCCTGGCTGTATTTATTTTGCCAAAGTTTATGTTCCTTTTGGTTCTCCTCATTTGCACAAGTTTCTAAAGGAAACTTCCTTGCCTCTGATGAGTTCTTTGACTCTGCAGTGGTACCTCGGGTTAAGAACTTAATTCGTTCTGGAGGGCCGTACTTCTGTTCTTAACCTGAAGCACCACTTTAGCTAATGAGGCCTCTTGCTGCTGCTCATCCTGAAGCAAAGTTCTTAACCCGAGGTAATATTTTGGGTTAGCGGAATCTGTAATCTGAAGCGTCTGTAACCCGAGGTACCACTGTACTCATTACAGCACCCTCTTGGCGGTGATGGTACCTTTCTTAATCTGTGGTATAAATGCTTATGAGATAAATGCTTAAATGATATGCACTTACTGTTTATCCTTTTATTACAACTGTTGTTGATTTTTTTACATCATCAGATACGGGGTTGCACATTTCATCTTGTTTGCTCTGGTGCCTGCTTGGTCTAATATATGCTCACTGGGCTGTGCTTCTCTCCAAATGACAAACCTGTTCTGGCAGAGCTGCACTTCTACCAATTTTCTGCGCCTCATCCACCAGGTCCCCTGCTTGTGGCCTTCATGCTGGCCTTCGCCACCAAGCCCAACATTTCCGCTTGAGGCCTGAGCACCCCATGCCTTTTCCTGTGCTGACTACTGCAGGGCGACTTGGCCGGCCTCTAAAGTGAACTGGGAGCTACCACTGGGGTTGCAAGCTGCAGGCTGAGCTTTGCCATGTCTGAATCCTATTAATAGGTATTGGTGCTTCAAGGAGACTTGGATATGCTGAGGGTTTATGCAAGACATTCTCACCACTCTCTCATTACTTTGGGAGACCAGGCCTCCGCCAGGAGAAAACTGGAATGGCTGTGGCAAGACCAGCTGAACTTACCATATTGCCCTGGTGCTGACATGCTAAGCCAAACTTTGACTGAGTGAGCTTGTGGAGAGGAGCTCACATCCACTTTGCTGCTCCCAGGATCCCCAAGCTAAGCTAACATTTGGCTTAGGGTGCTGTCCAAACCGGAACTTGTGGTTAAGCTCCATCCTTATTAGCCATGATGTCTTAGGTCAGTATGGAAGCAAAAAAGAAATGGGAGGAGGCAGGCAGCTGCAAGCTCCTCCCCAGGAACCTGCATGTTCACATGGACTCAGGGCCTGATTCACACATGACCCTAAACCATGTTTATTAAACCATAGCTTAGTGTACTACCACTAGAAATAATAATAGTACAGTGTTGCCCCGCAAGACGAATGCCTCGCAAGACGGAAAACCCGCTAGACGAAAGGGTTTTCCGTTTTGGAGGTGCTTCACAAAACGAATTTCCTATGGGCTTGCTTCGCAAGACGAAAATGTCTTGCGAGTTCCTGCAGGGTTTTTTTCCTCCCCCCCCTTTTTCCCAAGCCGCTAAGCTGCTTATCAGCTGATCCGCTAAGCCCGCTAAGCCACTAATAGCGCTAATCTGCTAATGGGCTTGCTTCGCAAGACGAAAAAACCGCAAGACGAAGAGACTCGCAAAACGGATTCTTTTCGTCTTGCGAGGCACCACTGTAATAATAATATTAATAATTTAACTTTTTTGGGGGGGGGAAACTTGCCTCTTTAGAATCCTTTCCAGATATATCATAGTTTTAGCCAAAATATCTGCACTCATCTCAGACCAGGGCTGGATCTACACAGCTATAAAAATGCTATGGGGAAAAAACATTTTAAAGCTCACAATGGAAATGATCATTGACTTTGTATTTCAGCTCTACAGAGCTATCTGATGTCACATTGTTATAACACATTTATAACGTTATAAGTACACTAATGTAGCTGAGTCCTAGACCCATAAGCTCTGTACTGAAGAATGTTTCTTCATCTAGGACAAGAAATTGAAGAATTATGTCTGGATGTTTTCTTCTTTTCAGGCTTTATTGATGTCATAGTGAAACCAATTTTTTCTCTGATAATTGAAGCAGCTGAGAAAATTGTTGAGCCTCTTATTTATGAAGCTTTTGAAACTGGATGTTCCTCTAGCAGAGATTCTGGGTATTTTTCTGGGTATGACTGTTCTTCTTGCTTTTTTTGTTAATGTTATCCTTATTTTTTTACAAATTGCTCTTGTCACCATGGTCTTTGATACTGGCAAGATATTAACTCATTTTCAGTTTTGTTTCAATAATTGTTCTTCATTTAACTCCCCAACCTTTCATTTTTTAAATTTTTGGTGGTTTTTTTTGTTCTGTTAAGAGCCCCGTACTTCATCTCTGCATTTCTTCTCTTTTCTCCTCCAGGGCTTCCTGATAGCCCAATGAGGAATTTTAAGTTAACACTGTGAGTTTACTGCATTCCAGTAACTTTCATGTTTTTGTAATGTGAGATTAGTTTTTAAAATGTTGAAGTGGAGTAAAATTTTGATATCAATATTTCACTTTTATTTCCAGTGAAAGGGTGAATTGGACTCCACTAGCAGATTGATAGGTCTTTAAAAAGTCCCGCAGTAGCTGCATTTGATTGTCCCAGTGTTCATTTCTGTTCCTGAAAAAGAGGGCATTGATTTTCTCTCATTATTATACTATATATATTTTCTGGTGTTTTAAAATATATGCTGGTATACGTTTGAGGAAAGACGCAAACCCCCAAACCCAAGAAATTAATGCATGCCAGATTCTAACTAATATTTGGGATAGGAAGGGGAAATGCAAGCTGCCAAATTCATGCAAGTGTAGCTCCATTAAGAACCATTGGCAATGCAAGAGCAGCATCTTTTCCAGCAGGAGAAATGGCAGGAACATAAGGTTAGGGTTTTTGGTGAGAGATTTACTGGGGGGAAAGAGGACAAGGGCAGAATGATCTTGGCTGCTGACTAGAGAGCTTGCAACCCAGACCCTGTGGAGCCTGGCGGCGGAGCTGGAGCCGCAGCATTAAGCTGCTAAACACGCCCCCCGGAGACACCTGGTTGGGTGCCTGCCGAGGGGCGTGGGCGCCAGCCAGGTGAGGAGGGGCGGGGCTAAGGCCCCCGGCCAGGGGCGGAGCTCGGTCTCCCGCCCACAACCACTCCCCTCTCTTCCAGGGAGGAGAGTCTTTGCTTCTCCAGAACTCTAAAAACCTTAAAAATTACTTCAACAATTTCAGCCTGACTCATTACTTATGGTTTTCTTTCCTTTTGTAAAGATCAGGGTCAATTGAAGATGAAAATAAACCAAAACTTAGTGGGAACAGTTTTGAAGAGGAAGAAAACGTTAGTCTGGGAAGCGTCAAAAGTGAAAGTGGGACTTGCACAGAGAGAAATCTCTTAATTTCATTGGATATAGCAAGCTTTGAAGAACACTTGGTGCATAATATTGAAGCAAACAGAAAAAAGTGGAAAGAGAGCCAGGAGCCCAAGAGCAAAGGTAGGAGGATCCATTTCTGCAGACTCTGCAATAACCATTTCCCACATTTGTGTCCACGCCATTCTTGCTGCTCTCAACAAAGTCCTTTTCAGAAGGAAGAGACTGTTTTCTGGAGCAGAACAGATTGCAATTTATATTTTCCTTCAATAAAAATGTCTTACTATTATTAAAAACAACGACAAGGTCTTAATTTGGCATTTCAATTCTCCTAGACTAGCCCTAACCCTCTGTCCAATTAAACAGAATCAATACTGGGAACAATCTCAGCTCATTGCTATTCTTCTATGTATAACTATGGGCTGCACCCAAGCTCCCTCCCCTCACCCCCCCATCCCATAGTGCTCCCCCTTCCCACCCCATTCAGCTAACTACTAACCCTACTTTTTACCTTCCCGGCCCCATTTCTGAAGTCACTTCTTTCTCCTCTTCTGCAGCACTGCTTTGCACCCAGTTTCACCTTCACCACGTTTAGGGAAGTTTTTAATGTTTGATGTTTTATCGTTTCTTAATATTCTGTTGGGAGCCGCCCAGTTAGATGGGAGGCATACAAATATTATTCTTATTCTGATGTCTGTGCCTCCTCCCTCTCTTTTTGTGCAAGTTGCCTTCACAAGCCACACCTCGGTGACCTCCCACATCTTCCTCCTCCCACACATTGCAACTCCTCGGCACACTTGTCACCATTCTTTCTTATTCTTCAGACCCTGCCATGCTCTTGCTCTCATCTCCAGCCCCACTCCCATGTCTCATACACCCTTGTTTTTTGCAACCGTCTTTGGACCCCTTTTTTCACCTTCACTTTCCTTTTTCCTTCATCTTCCTCCTCTTCTCAGTTCTCCCTTGCCCACGCATCACCCCCATTCCCATGCCTTTTCCTCTTCTTTTGTGCAGCCCTCTCTGCAGAGGCACACAGTTAATCACCTTCCCTTCCTTTTTCCAACTCTCTTGCATACAAACTGACCCTATCTCCATGCTGCCTCCTCTCTTATTCTGCAGCTCTCTTTGCAGGAACACCCCCCCCCCATGCTGACACATGCAAATTTATCTTTCAGATGCATTTGCATTAAGAGCAAGCCTGTCAGTTGACCTGTTCAGTTAGAGAAGGTTCGGTTCCCACTGTATCCAAACAACAAGTGTTTGAGTAAAGCAGGGGTAGAGACACCAAGATGAATATATTTATGAGTTTGGGTGGGCGGATTCCCCTTAAAGTCTTGGGTACCAGTTTCTCTCCCATAATTTGAGTTAGCAGATGTAGGAGATGACTAAAAGCTTGAAGTCTTCACCCATGTGCGAGACAGCTTAGCAGTGTACAAAGGCTGATTCTGATACTTTTGTACATGTAAAAAACAAGAATGAAAGCCTAAAATGAGTGGTCCACAAAGTGGTTGTGCATAAACCACATTTTTAAAAAAATGAATATTGGGAAATGTTTCATAAATATTTATCTGTCTTTCTACAGATGAAATTATTTTAAGGGGAATATCTTACATTTCCTTTGTTTTTAGAATCACCAATGAAAGAAAGTAACAAGGCCAAAGACAAAGTAAGTAAAGATAAAAAAGAGGGGGGGAAACCCCAGAAAACATCAAAGCCCAAACACCATCCTTCAAAGTCCAATAAACTTTGTATTGCACCACAAAGTCCTACCCTTTGCGATTGTGAGCTTTGCCACAACAGAGCATTTGAACCAATGGATGTCAGCTTCATCGTTTACAACGCAGGTGCATCAGAACTGTTTCAGCCACAGCCAGATGATGAGGTCATGGATGTCACAGAATCATATGGTATTCAAAATAACTTTTCTATCCAGATTGTTGTCTCCATAGATCCATTATTTTTATTTTGCCCAAAAATGCATTCAATCTATCTTTAGGTAGTGCGCTCTCTCTCTCTCTCTCTCTCTCTCTCCTGTATATCACTCCCCAACCAATTTTCCTTGCATCCTTTCCCCACATTTAACAAATTCCAGTTCTGCAAAACCTCAGATTTTGCAGCACCAAATTAAGAGTTTTGTAATTTGCATTCATTCACTCATTAATAGAGATAAAAGGATTTGTCAGTTTTGGTCCTCTTAGGTTTTGATTTTTCTGATCTTTTGCCACATTTCTGCAGCAATTTGAAAATGAATCAGCATTCTAGTGCAAGTGTTATCTAATAAACACATTTTTGTAATCTATTTTATTAATATACATATTTTTGCAAGCAATGTCTCCTAATATAATGCATTTTCATTAATATATGTATTTTTAATGCACACTTTTACCTAAATATGCATTTTTGTAAACATTGGTTGATTGGAGAACTGCATTTCAGTATTCAGAAAAATACAAATTTTTAAGGATGGTTATGTTTTGATTAAAAGGGACGCGGGTGGCGCTGTGGGTTAAAGCCTCAGCACCTAGGACTTGCCGATCGAAAGGTCGGCGGTTTGAATCCCTGCAGCGGGGTGCGCTCCCGTCGTTCGGTCCCAGCGCCTGCCAACCTAGCAGTTCGAAAGCACCCCCGGGTGCAAGTAGATAAATAGGGACCGCTTACCAGCGGGAAGGTAAACGGCGTTCCGTGTGGCTCGCCAGATGCAGCTTGTCACGCTGGCCACGTGACCCGGAAGTGTCTGCGGACAGCGCTGGCTCCCGGCCTATAGAGTGAGATGAGCGCACAACCCTAGAGTCTGGCAAGACTGGCCCGTACGGGCAGGGGTACCTTTACCTTTACCTTTATTCTCATATTGTTTCAGAAAAGGTAAATTTGAGAAATTCGGCTTTAAATGCAAACTGAATTTAACTTCTCCCCCATCTCTATTCATTTCAGTAACAGAACCTGTTATTTTCTGTTTACAAAAGTATAGCAGGAACTGATGTAGAAATCTAGACATACCGTCTGTAGCTTCCAGATGAGTGTTGCTTCCTTGAAAAATTGAGTTCCTGAATTGGATTCATATTTTCATGCAGGTAGTCTACAAAGGCACTTGAGATAAGGGAGGGTAGATCTGCATTGATTGAGCCTCAAATAAGCCAAAATTGCAGGCAGTTCCAACCAATGTTCATATGCTTCACAAGTAATTACAAGAACCCAGTACTTTTGATCAAAGACGACAGTGCATGAATGTAATACCTTATTTTTAACACATCACAGTAATTTAGGAGACAAATATTTTATGGGAGTGGAGTATTAGGATCAAGTTCCTAGCACATGAACAAGAAGCTGATTAAATATTTCCAGTTATGTTTCTACTTTAATATTTTTGCTGGTCTCTTCTAAGGAACTAGTTTAAGGAGTTCCTAGTAATGCAAATCCTAAGTTTTTAATTTTTATCAAAAGTTGTCTAGATTACAAGAATGTAAGCAGAAGTGGCATTTCATTTGAGAAATAGAATTTTTCATTTGAGAAGATTTAGCTGACTGTCCCTCTTTTTGCATATTTGTTTTGTAGAGGAATTGGTGGATAATAAAAGTTCATGGAGGAAAGCTGCTGGCCAGGATACAGATAAAAACATATACGAGATGAGAGGCATGGTTCCAAAAACAAAACCTCTGCGTCCTAATGAAAGCGATGATGTGATCATTGAGGAATTCATACCAGACGATCCTGAGCCCCCAAAAGAAAGTGAACCTCCTGCCGTCCCTGATCACAATGGTGCCCAGATGTCACCTGGTCTTGGCTTTATGTCAGAGCTAACCAAAAGTGAAGTCGAATTCTTTTCCCTGTGGAACGGTAATTGGCCATTTCTGCTCAGGCTTCAGTGATGATTAATAGGTAGTTTTAGCACAAACCTCAATGAACCTTCAAGATTTCACAGATGAAAATGGTCACTTATTGGCTGGTGCCATCGGTGAACTGTGACAAGCCAACATCATACGGGTGGTGGAGGAAATAGCGGTGCCAACACAACCCAGGCACTGTGTGCCACAAATAGAGATGGCAAAAGCAGTACATTGCACTTATACAGTGGTACCTCAACCTTAATCCGTTCTGGAAGTCTGTTCTTAACCTGAAACTTTTTAACCTGAGGTACCACTTTAGCTAATGGGCCTACCGCTGCTGCTGCCGCCGCATGATTTCTGTTCTCATCCTGAAGCAAAGTTCTTAACCCGAGGTACTACTTCTGGGTTAGCAGAGTCTGTAACCCAAGGTACCACTGTAATCTCATTTTACAGTCAAGGAAGACCATCTGGTGACACAGAATTCTTAGGAGAAACAATAATAGAGTACTGTACCTCCCAGCCTATACAGAGTTCCTTCCACTTGCCAAAATGACGACAGCTTCTCCCTCCCCTATGCATTCCTTCCTGGTTTAAGGTATGCCCTCATCAGGACTCAGCCTAGAGTTTCAGTGCCAAGACTGAGTCCTGGAAAATGGCAGTCCAATTATCTGATTATGTGGCTTTCATCACCACTGAATAACTACAGTTTCTTGCTTCCCCTCAGAATTCAGAAGGATGTTGCCTTTCAGCACATGCATGGCAACAAAATTAGAATTTTTGATCATTTTTGACATTCCTTTCCCTCCACAAATTCTACAACTGGTTCCCCCTTTTCCCATCCCTTCTTCTATCAGTACAACAGACACGTTGACAAAATAAAGGTGTGTTTTAATGACTTCTAAACATGCTGGAAAAGTGCGTTTTTTAAATTTTTTATGTTCAACTTAATGTTTTATCAATGAGCTAAAAAGCAAAATTTGGAAATTGAATAACTCATTATTGTATGAAAAAGAATAACGGAGAAAGTTAAAAAAAACCTGAACTGAAATCCTTTCTTCAAAGTAGCAAAACAAAGGAAGTACCAATCTTAACCATGTGGGATACATGTAAAGCTTGAGGATGTTCATAAGTATTTATGGATTATTCATACTTTCAGTAATTTAGTAAGTCAAGACAACAACAGAAAAATACAAGGACAAAATGAATGTGATTTTGAAATGAAACGTAAGGAAACAGAATCTAAGGAACTTTTTTGCAAGTTTTTAAGAGCAAAACAAAAACTGCAAACAGTAGATACTTATAAAACGTGTAAAAACATGTGCATACTAAACAGAAATGCTTTGAAATAGTAGTAAAAACAGCCAGACTACATGACCTACAATATATATATATATACACACACACCAGATATTGGCACTCAATAGAAACAATGGTGGCGTACACCCTCAGATCAGGACCGGCCCACCCATGAGGCAAGATCCACTGGGGCAGCAGATCCTGACATCGATCTTTCTTCCCTCTTGTTCCTGTTGTTGATCTTCCCTCGCCCCTTTTTCTCTGGCGAAGAGAGGGGTACCATTTGACGTCCGTCTCGGGTGCCATAATGCCTTGGCCCAGCCCTCCCTCAGGTTCACTATATCATTATACCTCTCAGGCCCCAGAACTAGGACAAATAACATATTTTTTTAGAAAAGTCTGAAATTCTGAAATTAATATATGACGATGGAATGTTTATTGATGACCCTGACTTGAAACAAGTGATATTAGAGACTAATAATTTCCTAAAAGTCAGTTGCGTGTCGAGGTCCCCAGGGCCACCCCAATAACTCACACATCACACTGAATTTTTTGTTTAAGGTTTTTGGCATAATTTTGGCCACAACTTTATTAAAATACAAAAATGTGAGTGGTTGCTTAGGCATTGGTTGCGACTATCTGCCCCCACCATGGGGGACAGACTGACATTCCGCACGATGCGAAAGTCAGAAAAGGGGAATACACTTGGGGGTAGCGACGGAGCAGGGAACCTGCCCTCAGCCCTCCCCAAATGCAACCAGGAGCTCATTGCTATGGCCCGAGCCCCCTTGACAGAGTGGACAAGCAATAGTTAGCCCCCGATTTCTTTAACGGAATCCCTTGCAGCAGCAGCATTAGAGGGGCAGGCACAGCCAATCCATGCCCCTCAACCAACCAAACCATAAACCAATGCCTAACCGCAACCTTACAAGTTGTGACGATTTGCTACGCAGTAGGCAAAAACCAAATGGACCCTGGCCAATCAGCCAGATGGACAAAATTCCTACCGGGCCCCTGCCCCAAGAGCAGACGACCCCATGACAAGCATAGCAAGGTCAAAGCGAACAACCCTAATTCTAGGGAGGGGGGATGGGCAATCCGATGCACGGGCGAAAAGAGGAAGCCCTAGCCTCGTGCAAGGAGTTTTAGCATTTCTGGCTGTCAATCAACAAATGGCAACATTAACTTCTTCCAACAACAAGGGAAGCCCCAATCGCATCAGTGGCCAACGATCAATTAGCCCGCCCCCAACTTTGGAGTGTCCTGGTGGCCCCCACCGCAACACGTGCTCTCCATGAAGGAGAACACGCTTTGCCACAATTCAACACACAGAAGGATGAGCAGATCTCAGCCTTTAAAGCAGAGCTCAAACATTGAGTTGGGTGAGGATAAAAAATGATGGCATTGCTAAATAGTATGAAAAAACAAAATTAAACTTTAATCCCACATAAAAATGTTGAAAAGTAACAATAAATTTCTTAAAATGTAACATTAAATGGACTCATCTCTCCAGCTCAATGCCTGGTCAACAAACTAATGTGATAAATCCCGGTAATTAATAAATTATGTGTATGAGAAGAGAGAAAAAGCTACATGTGGATCATCTTTTTAAATGGCATATACAGAACCTTCATCAGCACATGTACATGCAATGAAATATGTTTATGTGGACTTGTCAAACATGGATGCTTTCACACATTTCCAATATGATGTGATTCACAAACTCTAAGCATGGTTTTCCCACTATGTTTTACTCAGAATAGACCTAATTTAAATCATGTTTATTAATGTTAATAGATCTACTGTGAGTAACACTTAGTTAAATACCACCCTCAATCAGGCAAAATGCATGCAAACATAGTAATATATTCTCTAACGATATACTTTTTTCTCCCTCTCTGCAGAAGAAACTATGAGACGTGCTGCGGAGCAGCAGAAACAAGACCAAAGCAGAATGGCTGCTGACGCTGCGTTACAGGTGGCAACATCAGCAAAACAAAATGAGGGTTGTCAAGCAAACTCAGCTGATCAAAACTTTGTTCTACAAGTAATCTCTATTGACACCCCTATTGTAACAAACAGGACAGAATCAGGACAACATTGTGACCCATCCCAGAAGGAAGTTGCCAGTACTTCTGCCCTAAAGCAAGATATCACCACGCCATCAAATGCATGCCAACAAAATGAAACAACCCCACGTGGAGCTGGAGCTGCAGCTGTATCTGTCACATCCTTGAGCTATGGGGTATTTAAAATTCCCCAGTAGATTATTGATCTAACTGGTAGGCTAAGATTGCACTGTCTTCAAGCTTAACAGAAACCAAGAGCTGATCAAATACAAGGCACCTGACTCAAACATAGAACTTCTGACTGCTGAATGTTCAAAAGTTAAGGGGGAAATGCTTATTGTGAAATCAGTTGACAGAAATCTGAAACACGCATTGGTCGCTACAGAATAGGTAGAGGTAATTCTTAATAAACCTTCTTATTGGTGGAAATGAAACCCACCTCTTCCCCTTCCCCTGAAGATTTTGAGTCTGTGGGACTTTTCAGGAGGCTGAAATAGAAGTGTGAGAGAAAATATACAAGGAGAAGAAAGGCATGTCTATGGGATGGAATTAGTAGCAGTATTGTGTGCTAAAGAAACAGACGTTAAATATTTATCTTGATACCATTTTTAGTCAGACTACAGAGTTTGTGTTTGGGATAGAAGAATGGTGAAGGGGCAGAGAAGGAGTATAAAGATTGCACATATGGTCTTGAAGAGGAAAAAAACAACCTTTTCAGGAGCACTTTGAGACTTCCTAGCCATCATGCACACTAGGGACCCATCTCAGGATCTGGCAAAATGCACGTGGCAGAGCACACTCTCAATCCAGTGTTTTGTTAGGGGATGTGATATGTTGGGGGAGCTCTTTCTTGTTCCTTTGAGATGGACAGATCATTGCCTGGTCATTCCCAGTGCTGGTGAGAAACATAGAATCATAGAATCATAGAGTTGGAAGAGACCACAAGGGCCATCGAGTCCAACCCCCTGCCAAGCAGGAAACACCATCAGAGCACTCCTGACATATGGCTGTCAAGCCTCTGCTTAAAGACCTCCAAAGAAGGAGACTCCACCACACTCCTTGGCAGCAAATTCCACTGTCGAACAGCTCTTACTGTCAGGAAGTTCTTCCTAATGTTTAGGTGGAATCTTCTTTCTTGTAGTTTGGATCCATTGCTCCGTGTCCGCTTCTCTGGAGCAGCAGAAAACAACCTTTCTCCCTCCTCTATATGACATCCTTTTATATGGAAGAACATGGAAGAACTCTCCCAGATCAATTGACTTACAACTTTTCTAATTTCCTGTGACTCTCAAATGGTGGCTGTTTCTGTTCCTCTTACACAGCAAAAAACAAACAAACACAAATATCTATTTTCAGACACTGAGATGTAGGGTGCGGACTTTGTAAGCCTAGCCTATCAGTGCAGTAAAATCCTGCATCCTTAAAAAAAGTCCTCTTAGGGTTTAAATGTTATGTTAACTTTGCAGGAAGGGTGTGGTATACTATTTTTGTCCATAGTAATTTACTATGGAATTGCTATGTTCCTACATCACAAAGCATCAAACTATGTAAAATATGAAACATAAAAGTCAACATTCTGCTATGCTCATCTAGAACGACTATTGTTACATCCTAGAGGAATCAGTCTTGAGTAGACAGTTTTCAAATTCATGTGTTCTTTTGAACAGCAATGCCTGGCCATAGTAACTTTCTCAAGTTGCAGTGTCCTCCAAACTAACAAGGACAACTTCATAAATATTTTTCCTACATGGAAAACATATCAATCAGCCTAAGAAAATCTGTGCAACCTGCATGTAATCAGCCATGTGTGGCAATCAGTCGGGATTCGCTTTTACTTAGTGTCCAATGCAGTCGGGATTCAGGCCTCATCATGGGACTGAAACTGCCTTGGTCGCGCTGGTTGATGATCTCCGGCGGGCTAGGGACAAGGGTGAGAGCTGTTTCCTAGTTGGATCTCTCAGCTGGATCTCTCAGCGGCATTTGATACATCAACCATAACATCCTTCTGGACCGTCTTGAGGAGCTGGGAGCACAGTGGTTCCGCTCCTTCCTCCTGGGCCGTGTCCAGAAAGTGGTGTTGGGGGATGAGTGTTCAGACCCCTGGGCTCTCACTTGTGGGGTGCCTCAGGGTTCTGTCCTCTCCCCCATGCTTTTTAACATCTACAGGAAGCCGCTGGGAGGGATCATCAGGGGGTTTGGGCTGGGTGTTTACCAGTATGCGGATGACACCCAGCTCTACCTCTCTTTTAAATCAGAACCAGTGAAGGCGGTGAAGGTCCTGTGTGAGTGTCTGGAGGCTGTTGGAGGATGGTTAATGGATTGAGGTTGAATCTTGACAAGACAGAAGTACTGTTTTTGGGGGACAGGAGGCGGGCAGGTGTGGGGGATTCCCTTGTCCTGAATGGAGTAACTGTGCCCCTGAAGGACCAGATACGCAGCCTGGGAGTCATTTTGGACTCAGTTACCCATGGAGGCCTGTGTCCAGGGCTGCTACTAGCTCCACCTGGTACACAGGCTGAGACCCTACCTCCCCGCAGACTGTCTCGCCAGAGTGGTGCATGCTCTGGTTATCTCCCGCTTAGACTACTGCAATGAGCTCTACGTGGGGCTACCTTTGAAGGTGACTCGGAAACTGTAGAATCCAGAATGCAGCAGCCAGACTGGTGACTGGGAGCGGCTGCTGAGACCACATAACACTGGTTCTGAGAGATCTGCATTGGCTCCCAGTACGTTTCCGAGCACAATTCAAAGTGTTGGTGCTGACCTTTCAAGCCCTAAACGGCCTCAATCCTGTATACCTGAAGGAGCGTCTCCACCTCCATCATTCAGCCCAGACACTGAGATCCAGCTCTGAGGGTCTTCTGGCGGCCCCCTCTTTGCGAGAAGTGAGGTTACAGGGAACCAGACATAGGGCCTTCTCAGTAGTGGCGCCTGCCCTGTGGAACGCCCTCCCTTCAGATGTGAAGGAAATAAGCAGCTATCTTCTCTTTAAAAGACATCTGAAGGCAGCCCTGTTTAGGGAAGCTTTTAATGTTTGATGTATTACAGTATCTTAATATTTTTGGGGGGGAAGCCACCCAGAGTGGCTGGGGAAGCCCAGCCAGGTGGGTGGGGTATAAATAAATTATTATTATTATTATTATTATTATTATTATTATTATTATTATTATTATTATTATTATTATTATTCATTCTTTTGAAGAAGAGAAAATTGCCTTTTTATTACATATCCTCAGTTCTCCCTTTTTCATAGTGGCGTTTTTTGTTATAAAGAAAATAATACTACACAATATGACGGGTGGGGGAGGCAGCCCAGGCTGACGACCCCCCCCCCCCTCGCGGCCACTTCAGTCCTTCCTTGGCGGCCTTTCCTGTCAGGGAAAAAGGTGGGGCAGAAACCGAGGGATAAAAGAGGATCCCGCGTGTCCTCTCTGGCGACCAGACCCGGAGCGGCGCCTCCCTCCGACAGGCCCAGGGCGGCCGGGCTGCGCGGCTTCTCCTCGCTCGAGCCCCGGCGAGAGACCCCTCGGAGGAAGGAGGAGGAGGAGGAAAGGTCGCTGCTCCCCATTGGTATTCTTCCTTTTCCTTTTTATTCTGCGCCTCTGCCGAGGGGGAAGGCGGCAGCAGAAGCAGCAGCCGGTGTCCCCCTTCCCCCGGGGAGAGGAGGAGAGGCGGGTCGGGGCCTCAGCGCCGTCCCGGGCGGCGGAGAGGGAGGCCGAGGAGGCCAGGCCGGCGGGCGGCTGGGCCGGGAGTCCCTCGGGAGCCGGCCGCCCTCCCGCGGGAATCGAGAGGGTCTCCGGGGGAGGAGGAGCCCCTTTCTGGGTCCCTCGCAGGCCCCGAGGCGCCCCAGGCCAGTGGAAGATGCCCAAAGGGCTCCGGGACCCGGTCCCTCTTCCCTCCGGGCAGGCAGAGCAGAGAAGCGCCTTTGCCCGGACTGGAAGGAGGGCACTTTTCACAATCCTGTCGTAATTTCAAAACTTAACAGTCAACGTTTGTGATTTAAAAGAAAAAATTAGCCTTGTGAAATGAAAGGGTAGGGTGATAAAGATCATAGTTAAAAGTTATCTAAAATATCTAAAAGTTAAAATAATTTATTTCTTTGTGACTAGCACACTTAATACAAGAGACAATTGGGCAAATAAAGCATAATGCCCTTTTGGCACAGAAGGTATTTAGGATTTTTTTTTTTTAAGTACTGAGGACATTAATAGAAATGTTAAATCTCTTTATTATTTGAGATGATGCTCACTTTAAAAAATTAATATGTAGAACAGTGAGTGCATTGTCTTGTATAAAACATGGTACATGTATTCAAGATTCCGCTTAAAAATATGTAAATGTGAGTGACTTTTCTATTTGTTATAATCTTGTCTCATTTGTCTCTGTATGTAGTCAAATGTAGTCAAATTTCTCACAAAGGAAACAGTAGTGCTGCTACTTATGCAACCAAGCTTAGGTCAGGACACAGCCTAGTTTAGGGAGGGCCATCACTTATTAGCAGAAAAGCACCAGTATACTGAGTTTATTGGTGGGGTTTATTCTGATATGGCTGTGTGCTGTTTGTTATATTGTTATTCTTAGAAGGAAAGGGAATCTGGTCTAGTATCGCTTCCAAGGTCCTGTGTACATTATTCATCCATGTATACATGAAAAAGCAAATATCAGACCCAGAGGCATTCCTAGACACCCCCACATCTCCTCCCCTCAAAAAAACACCACACACCCCAGGATGTAATTCATAATCACAAATGACTCTTAAACTGGGTGTTTAAAAGCACACACCTGTAAATGTCTACACATAAGTAAAGCCCACCAAGTTCAATGGGGCTTACCATATTTTTCGCTCCGTAAGACGCACCTGACCATAAGACGCACCTAGTTTTTAGAGGAGGAAAACAGGGGGGGAAATATTCTGAACGAAACAGTGGATGTATGATTTTTGTGGTTCATGCTGTAGCCATGGACATGCTATGTGATCTGCTGTGCTGGAGAAGACTCTTGAGAGTCCCATGGACTGCAAGAAGATCAAACGCATCCATTCTTAAGGAAATCAGCCCTGAGTGCTCACTGGAAGGACAGATCATGAAGCTGAGGCTCCAAGACTTTGGCCACCTCATGAGAAGAGAAGACTCCCTGGAAAAGACCCTGATATTGGGAAAGATGGAGGGCAGAAGGAGAAGGGGACGACAGAGGACAAGATGGTTGGATAGTGTTCTCAAAGCTACCAGCATGAGTTTGAACAAACTGTGGGAGGCAGTGGAGGACAGAGGTGCCTGGTGTGCTCTGGTCCATGGGGTCACGAAGAGTCGGACAGGACTAAACGACTAAACAACAACAACAATGCAAAAATCCTGAGGATCCATGTGGATCCGTGCTTTGTAACCATGTTTTTGCGCCATTGTGGTCCCAAGAAACAGTGGATGCATGATTTTTTTGGTGCAGGCTTTAGCCATGGACGTGCTATGTGATCTGATGGTGAATTTGGGGTGACCCAATGCAAAAATCCTGAGGATCCATGTGCTTTTACCTTCCCCCTCCCAGGCAGCCTCCTTTATCGCTAGCCTCCCTTATCTCCCTCATGTTGCTTGCCGCTCAGCAGCTTAGCAGCTTCCTTTCAACACCCCCTTCCCTCTTGTTTGCCTTAGCATCTTTTCCTTAGCTAGAGCAGTTTTTTGCTCCCCCTTTTCTTCTAATTTCTCTCCTCATTGCTTGTTTTAGTATTCCTGTCTCCTCTCCTTGCAGGTTCGCTGTCTTTACCTGCCCCCCTCCCCTGGCAGCCTCCTTTACTCGCAGCCTTATCTCCCTCCCGATCGCTTGCCAATCACAGCTTTGTTTCAATACCCCCTTCCCTCTTTCTAAAAAAAAGGGGGGGAAAGCACGATCTGTTTTTTGCCCCTGGGCAATTCGGCTCCAGGGACCACGCATTCGTTCCATAAGACACACAGACATAGAACTAGTCTAAATCTGGCAGGAACTTTTGACAGTACCCTGCTTGTCTGTGCATGACTTTCAACAAGGCGCCAGCAGAAAGGCACTAACTGGAAGGTTGCGCCCCAGAGTTCACTTTACTTAGAAGTAAGCCCTGCTTCAGTCAGTGGCCCTTGCTCTCTGGGGTAAGCATGCAGCGGCATGTGTGCTGAACATTGGTTGAGGCAGGAGAGAAACCAGGGGAAAGCTTGGCTGTCTAGATTAAGAAGTGCCTTGCCTGACACATCAGCTGAAAGGCTGCTGTGGGGCAAGCAGGGGGAGCAGAGGGTGGGGCGTTAAAAAGCTGTGATGTGCACAGGCTGGGTTGTGTGTTGCCCTCTGAATCCTAGCCAAAATGCTCGAGTTCTAAAGTTTCAAGAATTCTAAGCAGAATCAGACTGCTTCACACAGGTTTGCTGCATGTCATGCAAAGCCATACTAAATGTGTGGTTTTCCAGAAATGTATTGAATTGGAAAATGAGCCATGAAAGTAAATGTCATTCTTGAATTGAGCATCTTGATCTTCACCTATGAAGAATGTTAAGGACAGTGTTCTCAACACTTTAAATTCTCATATTTCAAAGAATTGGTCAGAATAACAATTTGTGGAGTTAATAATCTCATGAGCTTCCTGTGGAATTTGTTTGGCATAACTTCATTTTCTTTGTGACAGGTTATGATGGATTTTGGAACTGTTGGTGGCTAAAAAATTGTCTTTATTTTTATCAATTCAACATTTGCAGACCTAAGGGGAGATGTAGGGAGATGCTTCCCTGCTGACTTGCTGTAGCCAGGTTGGGAGGTGAAACAAGTTTTTCTTCTTCTAATGTGTGGAGGGTTTTTTTTAAGTCCCAGGAAATTTATCCAGGGATTTTTGGGAGAGTGAGCAGGCTTTGGAACAAGCAGATCCAAGTCCATGCCAACACCCAGAGAGGAGGAGAAATAAGCATTCTGTTTTGTTCCTTTCCCATCTCTCCTGGTCTCGTCTCCCTTTTCTTTCTTTCTGCTTCCCTGCCTTCCTTTCCAATCACAGTGTTTTCTGAATTTTGCCTGGAAAATGAGAGAACTGAAAGAGGAAGGGAGAAGGAGCAGCAGGCCTCCTGACAAAGGAGACAGTGAGGGGGAAGGAATGCAGATGCTCCGTGGGTGCCACATTGGGGGGCACTAGGCCTAGAGGCATGCCTTAAGCGATGGGCACTAAGGAAGTGTATGTATTTGAGGGGTTCCCCGTGCCTTGTCTTTTATTTAGGCCATTGTCGTGGGTTGTTTCCCCCTTGCAGAGATGCTTGTTTGTGTTTTTGTTCGTGTTCTGGCCCAGCCCCAAGGTCACCAAAGCAGCAACAGTAGTCCCCTGGAGAAGGAGCTGAAGAACTGTTGGCAGTCACCCAAGGAGCTGGTTTCCAAAGCACAGAGGGCAAAGTTTCAAGAGTACGCCATTCCTAACTCTACAAAAACTAGTAGTGTTGCTGTGGGAAGAGCATGAGGGATGCAGTGCATATTCAAAATGTCTCCCAAAACCAAATCATGGGTGTTGCACATTCACCTCTGAAGTAAGACCCTTGGCTGCAGGCGAGAGAGGCCAGAATTCTTTAAAAATGGTGTCTTTCCCCAACCAGTTCTCAGTGTGACAAAGACAATGAACATTAGGAATAATCTACGTTGTTAATGTTGTTGTTATTTTAGACCAACTTTCAATTTGAAGTTCCCAGAACACTAGAATAATTCCAGTAAAATATCAGAGCCACATTAAATTTGTAAGATTATCAAGACGCACAAAACTTCAACAAGATTTAAGCAAAACAAAAAAATTCCTTCCAGTAGCACCTTAAAGACCAACTAAGTTAGTTCTTGGTTTGAGCTTTCGTGTGCATGCACACTTCTTCAGATAAAGATAACTTTGTTATCTGAAGAAGTGTGCATGCACACGAAAGCTCATACCAAGAACTAACTTAGTTGGTCTTTAAGGTGCTACTGGAAGGAATTTTTTTGTTTTGACTATGGCAGACCAACACGGCTACCTATCTGTAACAAGATTTAAGCAGTGCATAATGCACAGCACATAGAACTGCTCAGCCATCTTGATGGTCAACTGAGGGCAAATGGAGGAAGTAGGTCAGGGGTCAGCAACCTAAGGCCCATGGGCTGGAAGTGGCCCACAGAGGTCGTTTCCCTGAGCTGCCCTCAAACTAAGTTGCCCCCACACACCACACACACACACTGCGCTAAACTGGCACAGCATGGTGTGGGGACTCGCTTCTGCTCCCCGGAAATCATGTCTGTACACGCAGACGCTGCAAATTGCATCTGTGCAGACGCAGACACAGGAAATCGCAGGTGCGCACGCAGTCCGATGTGTCCCAGGCAAGTTAAACCTTCCAACCCCTGAAGTCTTCAGCAGCTCCTGACTAGAGTAGATATTCTGTGGGCTATATCAGTGTTTCCCAACCGGTGTTCCGCGGCACACTAGTGTGCCGCGAGACGTTGCCTGGTGTGCCGCGAGATGTTGCCTGGAGGGAGGCGGGCGAGTCGGGCGGTGAGAGGCGGGGCGGCGAGGAGAGGCCGCCCAGCGCGGGGCTCTCGCCGTCTGCCTGCCTGGCTGCCTGCGTGGCGCTGACGTCACGGGGCTGTAACGTGCCCCACATAGGCACACGCGGGACGGCGAGCGAGCTCCCTCCCACATCCCATCGCCGCTCGCTTCGGCCGGCCTACTGGGCTGTCGCAGGCGGAAGGCCTCGCATGCGCGAGGTTTTCGCGCCTTCGGGATTCCCTTCACGCCTTCCTCCTCCCGGGTCCTTGAGAGCGCGGGAAGCGGCAGCGCGAGACCGGCGTTGAGCCTGGTAGGTATTGCGCTTGCCAAGGCAGTCATTTGGGAAATGAAAACTTGCAAAGCAAGCAACCAGTTCAATCTGAAGTACGTGTATGCTTAATATCCTGTATCTGAAACCTGTTCTGCCCCCTCCCCCACACTTGGTGCCATTTTCATCTACACATGCAGCAGAGTAAGTTGACCCAGAATAGTACCAATTCAGATGGCAGATGGGAGAATGACAGTGCTGAATGCTTTCCCATGTAGAACAGTCCCTGCAAATAAAAACCTAGCATATTTGGAAGAGGGATGCTAGCCTAACCATTACCTTCTATGCTGTTACTATTTTTTTTTTTTTTTTTTACATAAGTAAAAAGTGACCTTTCCCCATCTGGCATGGTGGTGTGCCTCGAGATTTTTTTCATGAAACAAGTGTGCCTTTGCCCAAAAAAGGTTGGGAAACACTGGGCTATATTATCGCTTTGAAGTCCTTTTCAGTTTCAGTAGCACTTTATATTGTTTTGGAGAATCTTTACTGATTTTAAATGTTCAGTTCAGCATAATTAGTTATTAATATTTACTAGCTGCATGGCCTATTTCTTTCAATTGAATGGAAGACAGCATATTTAGACTATGTCCAGACACTGACTGACCAAGCCTCTTTAGTTTCCACATGGTTGACAATTTTCTTGTAAACTGCTTTGAGGTGGTTGGTTTTTTATAATCAAGTGGTATATAGATTTTATGAAATAAATCAATAATATGCCTTTGCAGCATACCCATAGTTATACCCACACGCTCGTAAGATGATCTTGCTTTTCAGACTTGCCTGTCAAAGTGCCAAGGAAATGGGGAGCAACTTTGAGAGGATTCCTGAAGGGAAAGGCCCTTACTCAGTTGGATGCACAGATCTTATGACCGGCCACAGCATTCAGGTATCTGCAGCTGTTAAATCATCAGATTTTCTTTTAGCACCCAAAGCAGCTTACGCTAAACAAAATGAAGGTGATCCAAAGTACAAGTTAATAGATTTAACAGCTATATATGTAGAATTATGTATAGTGCCCCCTTGTGGTCCATAGACAAAACATCCAGTCACATTTCAAAGGTAACCTCTCAGTTAACAATGTATACTTGGGGCCCCTCAGCTGAAGGGCCCCTTAAGTCTGCACATATTATGCATACCTATATATCTGCCACTGCATTCTTCTCTTTTAATACTTTTGAAAGCAGCTTTGAATAACTTGATTTTCTTATTCATTGCTAGGGAAGTTTTTTGCGTCTCTATTACCCATCCCAAATTGGTACAAGTGATGAAGAAACAATATGGATTCCCAATAAAGAATATTATTATGGACTATCTGATTTTCTGAACATAAATCGGACATTAGGAGGGTTCTTTTTCACATGCAACTTTGGTAAGTTTTGAAGGACATTTTTAATACAGTTGGAGTCAATGAAGAGCATGTTTTACTGCATCCCTTGTGTTTCAGTTCCTTTATTTCAAGTGAATGCATACCAGGGATTGAAACTGGGACATTCTACATGGCTTTACCCCTGAACTATGGTCCCTTCTTGGGTCTTCTTCTGAAAAAATCATGTCATGCATTCATTATCATATATAAGGCCCGAGTTATAATTTCATTTATTTTGATGACATTGTTCTGAAAATTCATATAAGAGTATTCTTGTGATCACCATATCTCCTATCAGACGAGTTTGCTTATTTCACTTAATATTTCGAACTTAACTGTAGGGCAGATTCTTTTATCTTTAATTCCTTTCAGTGACTCCTGTCCTAGATGCTAAACTCCAGACACAACAGGTTCAGTTGATTTTCCCCCGTCTGAAACGAATTTGTGCAAGATGTTACAGCACCTATCAGTCTTCTTACTTGAAGTAAACATACTGTAAATAACTGCGGTGATAGCTTCATGTCAGGCTCCTTACTCCACAAACAAATGCAGCTCTTCAACATTTATGATAACAGCTAGCAACCCATATCTGAAAAACGCAGAAGTCTAGTGTCCAGATCAAGGGAAGTCATAGTACCATTCTATTCTACCTTGGTCAAACCGCACCTGGAATATTGTTTTATTTAGGTAGGAATAGAGGCAAACCCATTTACATAAACCGATATATATTATAACTCTAGCCAAAGATCCCAAACCTCTTGCAGCTTTGTGTATATGAATACGTGAGTTCTGGACATGCATGTGGCTTCAGATACATACTGTAACAACTGCTGCTACAGGCTCAAACATGTATGAGCTACTGTTTGGGGTGGTTGAGGAAGAGCAATTTCAGGTGTGAAGTACTATTTGCATGAGAGCAACAAATTGACATTTCCCAAATTCATAATACAAACACATACTCTATTCAATTTAGGCTCAGTGACATGTCCTGCAAAATGGAACGCTGCATTCAAGCTTGGAGAAAAATACCCCCTAATTATTTTCTCCCACGGACTTGGAGCTTTCAGGTAGTGTTGCATTTTGGTAGTAGAGTGTTTCCTAATACAGTGGTACCTCAGGTTACATACGCTTCAGGTTACATACGCTTCAGGTTACAGACTCCGCTAACCCAGAAATAGTGCTTCAGGTTAAGAACTTTGCTTCAGGATGAGAACAGAAATCGTGCTTCGGCAGCGGGAGGCCCCATTAGCTTAAGTGGTGCTTCAGGTTAAGAACAGTTTCAGGTTAAGTACGGACCTCCGGAACGAATTAAGTACTTAACCCGAGGTACCACTGTATAGATGATTGCATTTAAGCAACATAATATATCAGAACTAGACAAACTAACGGGAGAATTCGGAACCAGCAAGACCAAAGATTTACCGAAGACTGGAATAATTTTACAGAGTATATCAAAAATATATGTGAAGGACAATTAATGTTTGTAGGCTTTCAAGAAGCTCTGTGATAATAATGGAAGGAAATATTGTTTTATAATAATTGTTAAGATTAATATGGTTAAAAAAAACACAATACAGATGGAAGAAATGTGAATAATTGTGATAATATGGAAATTTCCAGATAGACTGAAGGAAGTCTGAAGTGGAAGGATTAGAATTGGATGTATATTTTGAACGGAATGTTTTTCCTTTATTGTTATATTTGAAAAATTTTAAAGATAAAAAATTAAAACAAAAAAACAAAATATGTGGTTCATGAAGTTGACAGTCCTCAATAATGGTTTCAGCCTACAAAGATTATTACTACCTGACTGGGGATGTGAGTACGAATTGCTGCCATCCAACCCCACCCCAGTTGGAGAGCGCAGCCTGAAGTGCAGAGCCCACTTTGCCCATGGAGGCTCCCGACATGCAGTGACTAGATCCCTGCAGAACTGGGGTTCTAAAGCATGTGGGGAGCCTCCGTGAATGAAACAGGGGCTCTCTTTCAGGCTTTACCTTAAGTTCATTTGTCCCCTGCTCACTGTGCTCACATGTAGGATTTACCTGCAAGTGGAACAATTGGGTTTTTAAAATCTGTGTACAGCATCTAAAAAACTTCATCATCATCAAGATGTAGTATGCACATGAATTATAAATTCTGTCAGGACTGAACTAATCTGTATAACTAATTTGTCGTGTTTTTATTTACAGAACTCTGTATTCAGCAATTTGCACTGAAATGGCATCTCGGGGTTTTGTTGTTGCTGCTGTTGAGCATAGGTATGCTGACTACACATCTTGAGTTTTGTATTAGCTGAAGAAGAAGCATGTACACAAATATCTGATTAAGTACTAACTAGAAACACAGTAAATAAAGAAGACGTATGGACTAGATTTAGAAAGTAGAAAATAGGCACTTTAGAATTAGATTTTAGAAAGCTTAATTTTACTGCACAGACTTTCTTTTTCTTTGGGGGTGTTGAATGATACTCAGAGGTGTGGACAGTATGACATCAGAACTGAACATCTTCATGGATCTTTTAGGAATGTGTGGCACTCTAGTTATTTGAGTATTATTCTCCAAAACGGTTGGCCTAATAACTCCTGGTCAACAGCAGCATGGGCATGCATGTTTGCTTCAAGTGTGATGAGTTGACTTATGGCCTATAAGATCTAATTTGTTTGTTTTTTAACTGGAACCTCAGGATCTACCAGTGAGAGCCAGGTGCAAAGCACATACATTTAGGAACCAAGATTAAGGTGCCTTTGAGCATATTCTGAGCCTGGGATTTGTATTCAGTAGCAAGACTGAACTGAGCTCACTGTCATTTCACATAGATGTCCACTCCTTGGTAGCTTTCCTTATTTCAGAAGCCAAATTTAGGTGGGGAAAGTTGCTTGGGAGTCAAAACTCCATCCCTATATCCTCCAGAGGTCTACCAGTGTGTCCCAATCTATCCTCTGACCACCACCGTTCTACACTGGCTGGCAGCAGCTCTCCAATGTTTCAGAGAGAAGCCTTTCCCAGCCCTGCCTGGAGTTGCCAGAGATTGAACAGGGGACCTTCTGCATGCAAAGTAGAATAACAACCATTTTTAATAGAAGTTTCCTTCAGTACTATCATTCTTCAAGGTAAATTGTAAATTGGTTTTTCAGTATTTCTACTTGAACATAGAGGCAGAATATGGTGCTTGAGAGGAAAGGAGTGCAGCTATCTCAAAAGGGAGGTCCAGAGGCTTCAGAACAGCATTTTTCTTTTTATTAGAGACCAGTCATCTTCAGCTACATATTACCTTAATGAGAAACCTGCTTTAGGAGCAAAGGGAGAAGCCTCAGAACTGCACAAGGAGTGGATCTATTACAGGAAATTAAAAGCAGGTGAAGATGAAGTTGCTTTACGTCAACAACAGGTATTTGAAGAAGTCCTCTATCTTGGAGCAGTGTGCTTTTGTGGTAGTAGAGAGTTCTCAAGAAGGTTGAAGATGACATGAGAGAATCATTGGCTGTGGTGATTATGTTTGCTTCCCTTGTCCTGGAAAAGGACAAGCTCCTTTTCCAGGTGTTTTTTTTTAGCATTTTAAAAAGGGAAATGTGAACTTACGTTAAATGGGGTCTCTGGGGTTTGGGATAGAGCAGTCTTGGAAGCACTTCCTTTTGGTTGACAGGCAGGGCTCTCTGGTAATAATTTACCCCAGAGGAGGAACCTTTCCACAGATCCCAGAGCAAATCCAGGGCTTTGGGGGGGGGCACTCATTAGTCCTAGAAAGTGAAAATCATGTAAGAAAAACAAGAACAAAAACCAGCCGTGCTAAGTGCAGTAAGTGGTGCACACTGGATAGAAGGAAACAGGAGGAGGTTCTTCTGGATTCAGAATATCTGAGTTGGATGCTGAGAAATTCATATATCCAAGAACAAGTCAGAGGCCGTGGACTCTTGCTTCTGCCTCTGAATGTCAGGTTTTCTTTTCTTATAAAATAGGGTGGTGGGAAAAGTGTCCCACTCGAGACCCCATGAGAAGAGAAATTTAAATCAAGCTCAAGGGTTCATTTCTGCAGCAGTTCTAGAAGGGTGACAGTCATTATTTCTGGGATTTTTTTTAAAAAAACACCCCACATCCATACACCCAGTGAGACTATAATCTTTCATTTGCTAGATATAACCTTTTGGAGGATGTGGAGAATCCTGTGAACTGTAGTTTGTTTAGGGCGTTGGGAATTGTAGCTCTGCAAGGTCAGTTCCCAGGACTCTCCATGACTGATGAAGTGGCATTATACATGAAAAAGTGTAATATTTCTTTTCATGTATGGTGTGCGTGTGACCTAATTGTGAGGTTCTGGGACTAATGGAAACTAGATTGGAAGTACTGTACCTCTGCAGAGTGATCTGACACTTGCCGTTCTAATGTCAATTAACAAAGTCTACTGTTTCTATAGATGAAGTCCAGTACTTGGTTTAAAAAAGATTTTGACCACATTTCTTAGGTTCTGTTGATGTCAGACCATAGATTCATAGGAAATTTCCTCTGCTTATCAAATCAGCGTCTTGGTGCATTGGCTATTTTAAGTCCAAAAGGATAATGATTTATGTTTGCTTTTTTGTGTAGGTGCAACAAAGAGCTGATGAGTGTGTTAGAGCTCTTGACCTCATGCTTGATATTAATTCCGGAAAACAAATAGTGAATGTGCTGCCATTGAACTTTAACTGGATGCTTTTAAAGGTAAAGAAACTTGTGGGCTCCTAATACAAATTGAGTAACTACATGGGCTAAGCTGTTTGCTACAGACTTTCCAATTTCTTTGTGCTGTTTGCTACACTTCCCAGCTGTTGAAACATGGCGGAACTGCCTTTGTACATGGCACAAATGTTCATTTTTTCAGTCTGCAATGAAGCTGGTTTTGTAGAGCTCTTCAGCAGTGTGTCAAGTAATACCCAGAAGCTGAAACTAGTGCTAGCAGTTCAGCCACCACCACAAGAGAGCTGTGTTGTGTTTTGAGCTGACTGTCAGAGGCACCTACTGGTTTTTGCTCCTTTTAAGTATGGCAATTCACTCCTCTTTTCAGTTACCAACTCTCGGTGCCCTATAAAGAGAAGTGCAGTGCTGCCTGCCTCTCACAGCAATGTCCCACCATTGAAGATTCTTTCTTGACTTTCCCTTAGGAATGAAGACTAAAAGCTGGTTATTGACTCACTATCCTCCTCACATAGGTAAAAGGTAAAGGGACCCCTGACCATTAGGTCCAGTCGTGGCTGACTCTGGGGTTGCGGCGCTTATCTCGCTTTACTGGCCGAGGGAGCTGGCGTACAGCTTCCAGGTCATGTGGCCAGCAGGACTAAGCCGCTTCTGGCGAACCAGAGCAGCGCACAGAAACGCCGTTTACCTTCCCGCCGGAGCGGTACCTATGTATCTACTTGCACTTTGACGTGCTTTCGAACTGCTAGGTTGGCAGGAGCAGGGACCGAGCAACTGGAGCTCACCCCGTCACGGGGATTCGAACTGCCGACCTTCTGATTGGCAAGTCCTAGGCTCTGTGGTTTAACCCACAGCGCCACCCGTGTCCTCCTCACATACCTTTGTACAAATACCAGGGTACTAATACCTCATGATCAGTGCCACAGCAGTTAAAGGAAACTGCTCCCATTGTTTCCCAGAAATTATAATCTGTAATCAGTGTTAATAGGGTCAGAGCCAGCTCCAGGCAGGAGTCACCATTCTGAGGCCCCATGATTTGTCAAGGGGGTGGAGGCAGAACTGAAGGGGGAACTGGATAGGTTCATCTTCTGCAGGCAAGATTCCAGATGTTGTTGGACTTCAGTTCTTCTTCTTCTTATGATGTTGTTGTTGTTGTTACTAAATTCAACACTTCATCATAAGATCTCAGGGCAGTTCACAGAATAAAATACAAGATAAAAACACAAGTAAATAATTAAAACAAAACAGTGAAACAATAACCCCCCTTCCCACAGCCACATATTAAAAAAGGCTGTGAAACATTAATCAGCCAAAGGTCTGGTTGAAAAGGAACATTGGGCATTTAAGAATTGTATGTATTAGCCTCCTGGTTTCTGTAGGTCTAAGCATGTTTAACTCTGTCTTGGACTGAGTGTGTTCAGTTATTCCCAGCCAGATGGGCGGGGTATAAGGAATAAATTATTATTATTAACCAGCTAGAAGAGCAACAGTTTCTCTTATCTTTTGTATTTTCAGGATTCTATTGATGTACAGAAGATAGCTGTGATGGGACACTCTTTTGGTGCTGCTACAACTATTGAGGCTCTTAGCAAAAATGTCCAGTTCAAGTAAGAACTGTCATCTTAAAAGCCTGTGAATGTTTTCTGATCCCCACCCCCTGCATTAACAACCGAACTCTGTTCAAAAGGTATGGCTTAACCCTGTGGCACCAAGAGCACACACCGGAAGCGCTAATGGTGACATGTGCCATAGCATCTGGTAAAATCTGTGTAAAAAGCCATTATGGAACTTAAGAACCGGTACCAGGATTTATATCGCTTTTATTATTGTGCGTCTTAAGATTATAAAATTGTGGGGAGAGGTTGTCTTGTTTTTTATATCACTTCAGTGCCTAGAAGATTGAAGGCAGTTTATAAAATAAAAACACAACTACTAATACTGGGAGGAATTCAGTGATGCGCTCTTCTGATGGTTCTGTAGTGCAAGCATTTCAGTTCGCCAGACAGAACAATCCCTTTCTCTCCCCGCCCTCCCCCCACATATTGTTCCCAGGATTCTTCTGACTGCCCCCCACCCACCCTGGATGCAGAGCCAATTTCGAGGGGCACACAGAGGGAGGAGGAAGCCCTGTTGCATAAGCAGAAGCCCCTGTACAGAGTTTTCACTGATAGGACTCCTGAGTTGAATCCCACTCATTGGAACAAGATGTGGCTTTGAACAGAATATCTTCCTAAAGCTTGTATTTGTAACATCTCTGAGAAACCTGTGGGAAGGCTGAATGATGTGCAGTATATATAGAACTAGTGTCCCACGTCCTCTGCAGATCTCAGAATATAGTCTCACCAAAAGTATAGACCTTGTGCAACTAATACCAACATGCCCACACACTTGCACTTTCCCCCCCGTACAGGTGTGGCATTGCCCTTGATGCATGGATGCTACCCCTTTGTGAAGAAGTGTATCCTAGAGTTCGTCAACCATTGCTGTTTATTAATTCAGAAAAATTCCAATGGGCTTTAAATATTCTAGAAATAAAGAAACTTAACTACAAAGACAGAGAGAGAAAAATGATCACTATCAAGTAAGTGCTAAATTGCAACAGTATTAGTTTATTTTCAGGGGAATTGGAATTGTCTGTGCATGTTGTGAAGGCAGCAAGCTATTGCAGGAAGAAAACAGCACTTTGCTAGATCACATAGCTGTTTCATCTTCAAATTCTATTTCAGTCCTACCTGTCCTGTGGCAAAATGGTTATATCAGACTAACCCATGCGACAATGCAGCCTGTGACTATCCAAGTTCTAGCATGGCCTCCAAAAGAGGAGGAAGAATCAAGGTGCATCTTCTTAGGGCAAAACTACATGTGATGTTAAATGTATATTTGCATTTATAATGTGCAGGTTCTTAAAAATGTGAATAGTTCTTAGCCCCCACCCAAAGGGACACTATCAAGATTTAAGCAGTTAGCTGGAAAGAAATCAATTATTTATTTCCCTGCTGCAGCCCCAAGCAAAACTCTGAAGCTGCATTGAGAGGAAATTTTCACCCATGGAGCATTTCCTCCTCTCTGTATAAATAAATGCTTCAGATGATGGGTTTTCATCAGGACCACAAGGGCAGAGGAGAGGGAGAGAATGACTTAAAGTCTCCCTATTTTTGCTTCTTTCCTAATAATGGTCAGTCCCCTGCTCCAGGTGTTACTATTTGCTTTTTAAAAACCTGCATGTTTCAAAAAACAGAACCAGCAAACTGGAGGGAAAGGGAAACTTTCTTCTGAATGCAAAATTTTGCAAGTTCTGAAGATTCTCAGCATGACAGCAAAACCTAAATAGTGGGCTCACCCTTCTCCTGTCCCTAGAAAATGTTCATGAAAAAGCTCCCATCCACTTCATTCTGTATCCCAGTTTCCGTTGTGTCAGTCTGCAGCGACTTACAGAAAAGAAAGAGTAAAGATTTTAAAGCAAATCCTTTTCAGTATCTGCCTGTCTCTAAAAAGGGCTACATTGATGAGCAACACATAAGGGCAAAAAGATACAGCAAATTACTAAACTGTAATTTGGGACGCATATTCGCTTGAATAAAATGTTTTGATTGGTGGGGCAAAGATGTCAGGTGACCTGCTTTTGCACAGCACTGTGCATTGCAACCCTAACTATCATCTGTATGCAGCTGTTATTGATTAAAATTTACCTTATTAGCCTACTTAGATTTATTTGGGTGAGAATCACATGCAGTTGTGATAAGAGGTGCTCCTTTGCCATCCTAAGGAAAAAACCATTATGCTTTACTTTTAACAAAAAACTTAATTTTTAAAGATGTTGCTTATAACTGTACAATTAACCCTTTTGTGGCTGTAATGTAGTTGAGAAATATCTTTGCTATTTGCAGAGGAACGGTACATCAGAGTTTTCCAGACTTTACATTTTTGACTGGCAACATTGTTGGAAAGATTTTTGGACTGAAGGGACAATTAAATCCTAATACAGCCATTGATGTTAGCAACAAAGCTTCATTAGCCTTCTTACAGAAACATTTAGGTAAGTTACTACATTTGCTACATGATTTTTATATGTGATTTGTTGTCTACCCCATCCGAATGGTAATATCTGAAAGTCAAAAGATGGAATTCAACATCAAGCCATGATGAATGTTCCATCTGCACAAGTATATCATCTTACCAGGTGGAATGATTCCCCCCCCCTCTGTGCACTGTTCTGAGGTCTCTCTTGACCCCCAGCCCTCATAAGCCATTTGGGGTGTCTGTGCAGGAGAAGGGGGGAGCCCCATTGCAGAATCTGAAATCCTTGTGCAGGCGCTGAGGGGGCCTGTTAGCTGAACGTGTAATTCCGTTCTCCTGAAGGGGAGAATTGGGATCCATGATGTGGGTTGTCTCCACCCATCTCGCCACTGGCAGGAAGTCTTGGGGGGGAAACCTGAGGAATTCTTCAGGGGAGAGACGGGGAAAGCATGGATCTGTGCCTGGAAAGCACAGGGCAAAAAGTAAGTGTGGAGAAGCCCATTAGAAAGGTTGTTTTCTGCTGCTCCAGAGAAGCGGACACGGAGCAATGGATCCAAACTACAGTGGTGCCCCGCAAGACGAATGCCTCGCAAGACGAAAAAACCGCAAGACGAAGAGAATCGCGGAACGGATTCTTTTCGTCTTGCGAGGAACCACTGTACAAGAAAGAAGATTCCACCTAAACATTAGGAAGAACTTCCTGACAGTAAGAGCTGTTCGACAGTGGAATTTGCTGCCAAGGAGTGTGGTGGAGTCGTCTTCTTTGGAGGTCTTTAAGCAGAGGCTTGACAACCATATGTCAGGAGTGCTCTGATGGTGTTTCCTGCTTGGCAGGGGGTTGGACTCGATGGCCCTTGTGGTCTCTTCCAACTCTATGATTCTATGATTCTATGACTTCTTGCCCTTCTGGCTGTTCTAGCCATTCTATACTATTTATTAATATGCACAGCAGATTCAAAATTTAAAATAAATTTCAATCCCCAACCTAACATTGATAAATGTCCTAAAATAACTGGTAGGAGCAGAATGTCAGACATCTAAAAGAAGATCAGTTTTAATATAATGCAACTCCAACATGTCACAAAAGCTTGATATTAAAAGGCAACACTGATATGTTATTTCACCATATCTGATTTTAATCATTCTTCTGCCCTGAGATATGTTTTCATTTGATTTACGCTTCTGTTCTGTAGGTCTCAATAAAGATTTTGACCAGTGGGACTCTCTCTTAGAAGGCAAAGGTCATGATGTCATTCCAGGCACCAACATTGATCTACCTCCAATGCCACCTCAGTCCAAACAATAAAGACAGAATGGAAATTGTGGACCCTTTAACAATTGACAAGGAGCTCTTGATTGTTGACAGTGCTATTTGCAAATTGAGAGCTTGAAGAATAGTTTTGTAACATGAAGGCAACTGTGCAGCAAATTATAATTGGTTTATTGTTAACATCAGTATATGAAGGTGCCACCACTCTGCTAATTTACTTTCCAGAGCCAAGAAATATACCAAGTAAACATCAGTTAATAATGTGCCTTCTGTTGCCTGAAGATGACTTTGTGTAGAACAGATCAGATCAAGTGCTGTGTTCCTAACGTACACAAACATTGGGGTGGGGAGCTAAACATGAGATTAGGAGGCCTCCATTTCAGTTATTGATAGCACATTTTTTGCCACTCATATGTAATGCAGGTTTTGATACTGTGCAGTTTAAGTCTTTAAAGGACTTTATCTCTACTGTATGAAAAACAAAAACAGGCATCGCTATAACACCCACTTCCACACAAGTGGAATGTTTCACTAGGTGGGCTGCAGGCTTCGTCCAGCCTCATCATCTTAGGCTCTCTTTATGTTAGCATGTTAGGGGTCCCAGTGGAAGAATCAGGTCTATTACGTGAAGTTCAGTGTCACTGTGGAGTACACTACCATGGGCTCTCTTTCTTCCCACTGCCATCAAGCTGGATCTGCCCAGGAAGGCCTGTATTCCCAGCCAATAAAATTGCATTCCTAGCCAATGAAGCCTCCTGGGCTTCAAGGAGTAGCCCCAAGCAACAAGCCTCCTCTTTGCAGAGGAAAGTCATGACATCCAGAACAGGTGCACTCACTTCCCAAACTCAACTACCCACAGTGGCTCGCATGAAGCTCATTGCTTCCCCCAGGTAGTGGTCCAACACCTCAACAGCATCTCCTGATTCAGATGGCACAGGTAGAGTTGCATGCCAGCAACATACTGGCGTAACACTCTAAAACCCCAGTGGCTTCATACAGATGTTGAACAGCATGAGGGACAAGATTGACTTCTGGGAGACACAACTCCCATGATGTAGCAGTCCCCCACTACTACTCTATGGAAATGATTCCTAAGGTAAGAGAGACATCACTGCAGCACATTGTCTTCCCATTTCCAACCCTCAGCTGCTCCAAGAAGCTACTATGGTTCATGGTATCAAAAGCCACTGAGAGATCAAGGAGAATCCTTGGTGTTACTTGTGCTTGAACTCATCACTGGTATCATGAGTGCTGAGGTGGGACCAGGCTCAGGCATGGAATAGGAGGTTGAGAAGAATGAGGGAAGGGCTGAGATAGGGCAACAGAGCCTGGAGATAGTGGGTGCTTCTCCCTTGCAGAAGATGGCTGTCTCAGCTGGGGAAAAGAGCATGGGAATGGAATCTGAGGGGCGGGGGAGAACCAGAGTCAGAAAGGGAACTCACACGTAGCCTCAACACATGCTCAAGCATCTCACAAGTGAGCCAGCCTTGCCTCTTCTTAAAAGTGAGTGCAGCTACCAACCCTCTGGAATGGCACCACTGCTTCTGTGCAGTTGTGAGCTCCTTGCCCTAATCTTGGGACTCCATAAACTTGGACCGCTGCTTCTAGTCTGGCTAGCCTTGCCTTTCCTATTGCCAAACTTGATCATGGTGGCTGCTGGGACACATTACCTGTTGCTAAGCCTCTCTCTTGTCATGGTGGCCTGGACAAGAGCCAAGAAAAATCACTTCCCTTGCTGGTGGCAGAGGTGCTGGGCCTGGTGTGGGATAAGCATCCTGCTTCCTACTGGGAGATCCCTTTGAGAAAGAGTGGGCCAGATCCTGATTACCTCCAACCCCAAGGACCACTTCAACAGATGGGAAAGAGCCGCACACCTGCCAATTACCTAATGTTAGCTGAAGTGTTTTCCTTTGCCTGTGTTGTGGCACAAGCTTGGCTGCAAACTTTGTTTCCTTTGGCCACAAAGTCTGAAATCAAACCATGTGGGCAGAGGAAGCGCAGCCAGCCATCACCAAAAATGAGCTAATCGAGCTGCCTAGTGATTGGTGTCACATAGGGCAGGGAACCAGACTTGGCGAGCTGTAACTAACAAAGCTGTAACTGTTATAAACCCACTGCAAACTGGGCAGACTGATCCCCACCTACCATACCCCTAACTCTGCATTGTTGTACAAAAATCCTATACAGTGGTACTTCGGGTTACATACGCTTCAGGTTACAGACCCCGCTAACCCAGAAATAGTACCTTGGGGGTTAAGAACTTTGCTTCAGGATGAGAACAGAAATCATGCTCCGGTAGCGCGGCAGCAGCAGGAGGCCCCATTAGCTAAAGTGGTGCTTCAGGTTAAGAACAGTTTCAGACCACTGTATACAGTATTATAAGTTATATTGCAAGGTTTAGCATAGTTCCACATCTCTGTGTATGGTCAATCATGCATGTAGCCGATTTATAATGGCTGAGATCACACACCATCCATGAAGCAGGAAAATGAAACGGCAAGAATGAATACTACCCACACTATAAACTTTATTCTTGTTTCATTAAACAAAACAAAAAAGAAAACACAAAGCCTTTCATACAGCTAAGGCTTAAAATTTTTTTGGTTTGAATGGAAGTGCACTCAAAATACGCAAGGAAGAGTATTTCTTTTACAAAGATGCTCCAAAGCTTAAACAAACTAACATTAAAGATAATGAACACACATTTGAGGTTTGCCGAAGGGTACCATTAGAAAATGAACATACTTGAGTGGAACATATTTTAAAGACTCAGAAGTGGCATTCTCCTGGTTGGAAGAGGACATGCCCATTAAACGCTTGTCATCAATGCCAAAAACAGAAGAGCCTTGTGTGCAAGACTCCTCCATCTCTCAGGTGCAATTTAGTGCAATATCCACAAAGCAGGAAGATCAGCACTGCCATCTGAAACGCCACTCACTTCCTCCACTGTAGGATATACAGGCAAGTTAACCGTTTATACCATAGAGGGTTGTGTGTGCTCTCAAGTGTATTAAATACACATTTCCTTTACAGACGTTAATCTGCCAGTAGCAACAGCTGTAAAGAGACAATTTTTCTGATATCAGTTGTCATTCAAATCATGAGGAACTTTATTCATATGACCAGTTCCAATAAATTTAATTCTACTGATCTGAAACTCCAGCAAAATTGAGAGTGGGAGAGAACTCTCGTTCACAAGTTCCACAGCTAACAGAATAGTACCCGAGAATGACAAGGCAACAATCAAGACTGAGCAGAGATGAAAGCAAAGAAACAAAAGAACAGGGGAGACGTAGACCAACTGCTTCACAGTTCTGACAACAGCACTTCTCCCCACTCCAATTGCTGGGCGAGCAAACCAAATCCTCCCCACCCCCTGCAGAAAATTAATTTATCATGCTGAATCCCACATTCTATTTTCCTGCAACAGAGGAGGGGCTCCTTGGATGGGATATATCACTGTGGTCCCTTTATAATGGGGCAACTCATCCAGGGATCTTCTCCTCTGCTCCAGGAAAATGAGTGCCATGCCGAGGCAGGCTGCTGCTCCAAAGTTTATGCTTTGCTTCTCTTCTCTTTTTTCAGCCCCGGGAGGTGCACTGCATTGTCTCTCGAGACAGACAGCTGCCAACCATAAGCTTCCTCAGGTGTCTTTGGGTAAGGTATTTTCTCAAAAGCTTTTAGACATTCCAGGTATGCTGTGTCAACTGGATCGTCTCTATGTTCTTGTTGACACTCTCAAAGAACTCTTAATAGGTTCGTGAGGGGCAAAGCCATGCTTCACATCCCACACCTCTGGGGTGTTTGGGAGGCCCTGTGAATCTAAATACAACCAGATAGTTGAAATTATATAACAAAGGGACCATGCGCTGCCCCTCCATAGCCAGGCAGCCATCATCCCAGCCAGGACAAAACAAAACACTAGCTCCAAAGTATGTGCTACATGAATGGGGTTCAGTCCCACATGGAGGCCATGATATCCTGGGCCTCTCTCAGCCACGCGGACGCTTGCCCTCCAAAGCACGAAGGGAGGCAGGGCTGGCAGCACGAGAGGCTGCAGCTAGCTAGCAATCCTCACTCTTCCCTCACAGAATTCCAGCTGCATGAAAAGAAGACTTGCAAAAGGACTAATGAGCAGCAAGAGGGAACGGAAGTGAGGCAAGGATTAAATATACGATACACATAGAAGATTAGATATTATTTCGTACAAGTTACAAATTCAAACATTTTCTAAATATCTTACCTTCTGTGCCAACAGGTGGCTTGACAGTTGAATACACAGTATCCCTTTTGTTGTCTAATATCTGTAGTGAAAGGAAGGGGAAAGAATTATCTCAAGAACAAAATAATATTTTGATAGCTGTTTCCAATGTATTGCTTAATGGTATTGTAAGATAGTACTGAACTACAATTCACTGACAAGTGCAAAATATAGAGAGTGCTCCTCATTTTACTCATTTATGCAAGGGCTTCTGTTACAGGAGAGAACTGGCAGTAAGCCTTTATTAGAAACCAGCATTCAGCAACAAAAATGTTCTTCCTAAACTCTGAATCAGTTTCCTAAACAAAACTTGCTTCAAAAGAACTTTACTGAAATAACAAGGCATAAGCTCAAGTCTTTTCAATTAACAAATAATGTACATTATTGAATAAGGTTCTAGTTTTTCACACAACAAGCAGTTATATTACAACACCAACACACTTCACAATTCTAAAAACACTTACAGAGAAGCAATATCCTATTTATTATTGCAGAAGCCATGTTGATTCTTCATCAGCAAGGCTATTCCAAATGCTTAATTCCAGGATAGACATTAAGGGTATAGATTAGGGCAGAAAGAAGAGAAGCATCTGAGAAGGAAAATGGGATAAAATATAGATAGAAACAAGTTTTTACCCTCAGCATTCAATGCCCAGGTCATGTTTTCCTTACACCACTGTGCAAGATAGTGAGAAAGGAAGAAAAAGTGTTCTGCTACTTTCACGTCATATAATGCCTCTATAATGAACTCTCTTAGCCTCACCCCTGCTAGCACAGAAAAAAGGAGGAATTATTGCTGGACATGAGTGAGAGGAGAAATGAGTATGAGGTGTGAGCAACTTCGTTGGTTAAAATTATATTAATGCAAGGACTTCTGCTTGCACAACTGAGCATCCCCGTCCTCTCTCTGCACCCCCCCCCCATCTGCTGCAGAGGATTGGGGAGCTCCCAAAACAAATCTGGTGGCACACGGAGGAGGGAAAGGGAAAATTAGGTTACACAAGCAGAGGTCCTTGTGCTAATGAAACAATTTTGTTGGCTACAACCCATCATTCTGCTTGGTCTAGGCAGTGGAGCATTCTTACTGCAAAAGACAGCCACTAGTTTGAGGGAGGAAGAGCAAAAGGATTTGAAATGGAAATATGGGGCAGAGGACATTCAGGCTGAGAGCCAGAGTGCAAAGCCAACACTTGTACATGGTGCTCTTTGTTGGCTCTAACAGTGTCCTATGCTCTAATAGGTTCACTGCATGCTTCAGAAGCATAGCACACTTGCACCTTCCTGCTCCCTGGTGGAGTCAGAAGTCGAAAAAAGAGCCTGCAGGAGGGCCTGCCTATTTCTAGCCCAATGCACATCACAACGGGGAAGACCAATTCTATGCCCCAAACACAAGCGGTCAAGATACCTGGGATTATCTCAGGCTACCAATAAATAATAATAATAATTATTTATACCCCACCCAGCCACTCTGGGAGGCTCCCAATCAAATATTAAAAACAATACAGTATTAAATATTAAAAACTTCCCTAAACAGGGCTGCCTTCAGATGTCTTTTAAAAATAGGATAGTTGCTTATTTCCTTGACATCTGATAGGAGGGCGTACCACAGGGCGGGCGCCGCTACCGAGAAGGCCCTCTGCCTGGTTCCCTGTACCGCCAGAAGGCCCTCAGAGTTGGACCTCAGTGTCAAGGCTTGAACGATGAGGGTGGAGACGCTCCTTCAGGTATACAGGACTGAGGCCATTTAGGGCTTTAAAGGTCAGCACCAACACTTTGAATTGTGCTCAGAAATGTACTGGGAGGCAATGCAGATCTCTCAGGACCGATGTTATGTGGTCCCAGTGGCCACTCCCAGTCACCAGTCTAGCTGCCGCATTCTGGATTCTACAGTTTCTGAGTCACCTTCAAAGGTAGCCCCACGTAGAGCTCATTGCAGTAGTCTAAGCGGGAAATAACTAGAGCATGCACCACTCTGGCAAGACAGTCTGCGGGGAGGTAGGGTCTCATCCTGCGTACTAGATGGAGCTGGTAGACAGCTGCCCTGGACACAGAATTAACCTGCGCCTCCATGGACAGCGGTGAGTCCAAAATTAATCCCAGGCTGCGCACCTGGTCCGTCAGGGGCACAGTTACCCCATTCAGGACCAAGGAATCTCCCACACCCGCCCGCCCCCTGTCCCCCCTAAACAGTACTTCTGTCTTGCCAGGATTCAACCTCAATCTGTTTGCCGCCATCCTTAAAGGCTGAATGGTGGACTTACAAGCATTTGTGGCAGGACTGTAACTATGTTCATAAATTTGGGGTTTCAATAGTGCAGGTAATTTGACAGTTTATGGGAGAAAGGTTAATGATGGACTCCAGTTTATATTTACTTTCTACGTTTGTCAATGAAAATGTTAATGCAATTTGTAATCTTCTAATGTTCCATATTTTGGTTGCCGCCATCTGGTAATGGCTCAGGGTTAGAAGGATGTCTCAACTTTTTCTCTGGACATCTGGCTCAAAAATCTTTCTATATTGCCATATCTTGTCATCTGTGAGGCATTGGGGGGGAGAGGCTGACCCACAAGACTTTGCAGCCACTTGGTGGCTTTTTGAGACTTAGATGACAAGACCAACATATGGTTGCACAAAATAGGATTTTATTTGGAGAGATGTGTAACTTTATTTATTATGTACTACTGTCTTTTTCAACAATGATATTCATTTTGCACAACCCCAGTAGTAGGTCTGGATTTTCTCTATTATTATTATTATTATTATTGACTACCTTTGGATTTAAGAATTCCATTGTTTTGGTTTCTATATACCGTACAATTCTTTCTGGGTTTTGTGTCTTACTGCTCTTGGGTTCTAATGAAAATGTTTTTAAATAATTAAAATAAAGCAACTTAGCACTTTAGAAAATACTTTACCTCAGTTGGACTTGCATCCTGTTCAGGAATCCGATTCCAAACATTGATAGGACTTACTACCTCTTCATTTCCACTTGAAAGATTCAAAACCTTTATGTAAAAAGAATGCAATCTTTACAGACGTAACTTTTATAGGGCACCTTAATGGACAAGTATCATTGACATAACAAGATCCAGTTACATGTGGCAAATTCATTCACCATATTCAAGCTGACTTACCTTTGTACCTTCAGCAGATACGCCTAAAATCTGAGCCTTGTACCAATGAATGCCAGACCACACCATGCATTTGGAACCAATATCAAAGCCATTTAAGTTGCAAGTAGTTTCATTTTTTTCTGAAACAGAGAATGTGCATTATTTTTCTACGATGTCACACTGCAAGGCATAAGCAATTTAAAATGAAGCTATAGGGTTACCGATTGCAGTCCAAAGCTATGACAACTCCCAAGCAGTATTGCCAGATTTCAAGGCTTCCCTCCATGTTGTCTTTTTTACAGCTGACTCAATCTATGAACAGACAATTTATTACGTTGAAGGCAGCTTGCTTTTTCAGTATTCCACTGTAACACCTGACCACTAGTCAACAGTCTGAAGTTATCTTAGTTAACAGTTGAAGTTAGGGCAATTTATAATATGCCTGTTGGGCATTTTCTTCCTAACAGAAAAATGGTCACCGCTAGACTGATCAACCACTGAAAGAAAAAGAAGCCAGCAGTGCAGGTGTGGGGCGTGTGCAAGGAAGAGTGAGAGAAGTCCTACTGCTGCATGCGTATGCAAGGAACATGTGCATTGCTCACGTTATCTCTAACTACTGTGTTTTCTACATTCTAAATGGCACTATGCAATCCATAATTTTATTTGCTTCTTAAGCATCTGCTCTGGAATCCAGGCTGTGGAGCTCCTTGTCCTGCAAGACTGGTCTACCTCCGCTTGTGTTATTGCTTTAGCCACTTATCTGTTTAGGCAGGCATTTCATGTTGGCTGGCTGGCTAGTCTCTGCAGGACTCCAGAAGTGTTTTTAAGGGGAAGGGAGACAAAAGGCAAACAGGGCATGAATAACACTGCCAGCTTTGGAGGTATATTCTTTTCTGGCATTTCATAACCCCACAGCGAAATCCTATTCTTTATTATCACTATAGATTTCAAACAGCATGCTAGGAGATGAGACAGGACTTCGCCCTCTCCTCTTCTCCCTCACCCAGAACTCCCTATCTGCTCCGGAGGCCGACTGCAGAAGGGAGGAAAGGGAAGGGAAGTCCAGTGTCTGTGAGTGGGAATCTGCTGCACAAGTGGAACACTGCAACTGGATACCATCCTATGGAGCTAGAACTGCTTGTGCAGTTACAAGCCTATTTCTCTTTGTTAAAGTTTACCAGTGCCAACCCAAAAGAGCCCTGATGATGTCGAAGTGCACAGAAATGAAGCATGCACTTCATAGGTCCAGAGAAGAGTTAAAAACAAAGAAAACATTAAACAATGCTGCTGTGGATATTGCTATGGATGGAACAGGGAGTAACTCTTGCTTCTTAGTGCACAGACAGAAGAACTTCAGTGGATGCACCTTTCCCCACCACTGTGGTAAAGCTACGGCTGCTGACCTTCTATCTACCTGTAATAATAAAAAAAGGAAAAGCCCTACACAACATTCTATTCAACAACTTTAGCTAGAGCCCACCAAGAGATGACAAATATGAATGGGCCTTTCCCTTAATGCATGTTTTGCATTGTCAAGAATTCCTGTTTTCCAGAAGGGAGCAGCACACCATGTGACTAGAAATGTTACAACAGGTGTAACTCAAAAAGCCAATTTTTTCTTTTACTTCAGTATATATCTATACAGTATTTACTAACCAGCACATTTATCTGAGCCCAGCAATTTTACAATGTTTTGTAAAAGGAAAATAATGTCATTACTCATTCTATATTCAATAATACATTTCAGTTTTGACAAATAGTACTCCTAAGTGGTGGTGATTGCAATCCTTGAAACAATTTTTACATTCATTTCCTTCTGTACAATTCCTCCTCCTAGCGACCACTTATTACAGTATTCTTACGTAACAAAACCTGCAAAGTAAGAGTAACTCTCTTCAGCGAGAGACACCATATGCACCACAGGTCACCTGCAACACTTAAAAGTAAGCAATGTAAAAACAAGCACTGTCTTACCTGTACTGTGACTTGGAATGTCAACTGCTTCTTCATCTAGCAGTGTGCTTCTCAAAAAATCCTCTCCAACCAAATTGCTCTCTTTAAATCTTTCACCCGCATCATGGCTCCTCTGTGTTTCACTGTGGTTCTTCAGCAGAGTTTGCCTTGCTAGACAACGGTAACCTTCACTTTCTTGTCCTGTTTCACACACCTCCACAATGTCCTCACGGCAAAAGAAGTCTTGCAGTTTGAATCCAGTTTCTGAAAATGGTAACTGGATTTCATTATCCGCAGGCAGCTCCAACAACATATCCTCCCTGATTTCACCAGCTTGTAAAAGATACACTTCAGGTGTAACAGGTTCCGGCAGTAAACAGTCACTTTTATCCTTTAGTGAAGAGCACTGTTCTAACTCCCCTTCTGCATGTGTCATGTCAAGCAAGTCCAATTCGGCTCTCTCTCGTGTTTCCTCACACAGGGGAGGGCTCACTTCAACTGTCTCCAGATCCAGTGTGTCTCCAAATGGGTGCACCTTCAGTTGAAAAGGCAGCTGATTTGTATCTGATAAAGTCACCACCTCAATAGGCACCAAATCTGACACACTCAGTGTTTCATCCACAGCTAAACGTACTTCACGTGTATCCAGTGTTAACATTTCCGCTTGGCCTTCAGTCTCTTTCAGAGTTTCAAACAAATCTAGTTCTAACATCTTAGATTCACCACCATTAGGAAGCTGTGTTTCAGTAACATCTGCAAAATCTGGTATATCACTTTCTTTTGCAAATGCAGAATAGTCAGTTCCCTTTTTAAATGTTCCAGACACAGTGTGTTGGTCTCCAATGTCAAGTACTTCAGAAGTGGTTTGGTGGTGCTTGGTTTGAGATTTGGGTGAAGAAGTTGGGGAAAATGCTCCAAATGAATTACCACTCCCTGTAGCAACTAAACACTTATCTGCCGGTTGGAATGCCTCTGAACAATGTAACAGATCTTCTGAAGGCATTAGTGTACAGGCAGATACTTTGGTTTCATTTATAACCACCTTTGAACTATCTGTCCCTACATCTTTAATCTGTTCTTCAGGTTTGTGAATACTATTTGTCAAAGTTAAGGCACAGTCTTCAACAAGAGGCTTCCAAAAGGGTTTCATTTGTTCATTGATGCTGATTTTTTGACATTCCAATTGAACAACAAATAAGGGGATTTCAAAAGGGTCATCATTTTGTTTTTTCATGATGGTAGTGTCTAATAGAGAGTCTGCCGTGACATCACAGAAGATCTTATTTATTCCTTCAGCCCACAAACCTTCTGCAGAGTTAAAGCCAAACAAACAACAAAGAAATGCTTGAGGTGGTATTACCAGCAGGTCATCAGGAATTTGCCTGATCATCTCTGCACTGGTAAGTTCCTCGGTTCCATGGTCAATATGAATGAGACTCAAGGTTTCCCCCTCTACACTGCTAATAACTGCCCGGTGAAAGGTATTATCTTCACTATTCTTTGCTAGACAGGGACAGCCACTTTTTATATCCTCAACATCTATGCCCATAAGCTCTCCAGCTTCCTGAAGCTTTGTTTCAATTAAACCAATATCATCTGAGTCAGCAAACTGGCACCAAAAATATCCTGGGTGCTTTGCAACTATCAAAAAGGTTTTCAAAGTTTGACCCACCTTAGGAATCTTCCAGAGGAAGGATTTGGTGTTTGACATATTGAAAGGTTTGATATACTTATCAGGAACAGCAACTTCACACAGGTTTATCAGATCAGTGTCACTCTCCATTTTGTCAGATGTTTCCCCCAAAGGAGGTTGTTTGTACTCAAGGTAATTATCAACCAAATCCACTGCTATATTACCATCTTTGTCACAGAGATGAATGTTCCATTTGCTTTCAGTTTTCTCCACAAATTCGCCATTTAGCTGAGTATCACTTGTCCTTTGGGAGAAATACAGCACTGCTTCCTGTGTCCATTCTGAAAGCTCTGTGGTCTTAACTCCATACAATGAACAATGAATGCTCATCACTGGGACTGATGAACAGTCTTCAAGGAGTCTACCTGTTTTGCAGATGCTAACCAGTGCGGTATTGCCATAATCAATATACTGCACCCTCACCAGTTTACCAGAGGGTTTTTCAATGACTGCAGCTCGATACCATAAGCCATCTTCTGAAAACAATGCACACATTATGTCTCCTATGTGAAGCTGTTGCCCATTCAGGCTCTCAATATTTTCAGATTTATTTAGTTTCTCTGAAATGCTGTCAAGCAAGGGCTCATCTTCTACTAGGTGAACATAGAAGTCGGATGGATTATTTATATGAGAAACATACACCAAAGTTTTAAGACCAAGGCTTATGATTTTTTGAGGTAAAGCACAAATATTTTTAAGTGAAAAGTGTGTATTAGTTTCAGATTGATTTCTGCTTTTCAAGTTATCAGGGGGAGTTTCTCTTCTTAGCATGGAATCTCTATGACTCCTACCTGTTACAGGATCATTTCCATTATTTTTTTCCACTGGTCCAGGAAGCTTAATTGTCACCTCTCTTTTTGTTTTCTGCTGAAATTGTCTTACTTCTCTACATACAACAGTGTGTTTGCTACTGCCTACTATGTCCAAATTTTCATTGTTCCACCTCTTGTCCTCAAAAGTTGGTTTATCCATTTCTGTCAAAGATAGCCTTTTTTCAGTGTTTTGTTCCCTGGTGAGCAGATATCTGGATGCTGAAGCTCCATTTTTTGTATATTTGGCCGTCCCTCTGCTGTACTGCAAACTCTCTTTCAGTTTTGCATTGATCTGCATCTTACCATCATAGAGTTCAATGATCAGTTTTCCATCAGGTTCTTTTGCTACAATTAAAGCCTTTAAGGGCTTATCTAGTACTGCTTTTTCAAACCATGCAGAAACTTCTTTTGGAACATCAACAACATCAGATAGAGAGCATTTTATGGCTTGCATTGGCAAAAGCAGTAACTCATAAGCATCATTTGGTACTAGGACCAAGTCTCCATTCTTTAGCAACTGCCTATTCCCAAAATCCACAAAGAAAACTTCTTTGGTATCTTTTGCTGAAGTTACTACTGCCCTGTACCAGCAGCCATCCATATACTTTGCAAGATACACATTTCCAGGGCCCTGTGATGTTTCCAAATTGTACTGCATTTTGCTGAGTTTAGCAATACTAGTAGTTAACTGCCCAATAACATTTGCATTTCTAGCAAGTTGGCAGTAAAAGTGACAGGGATCATTAACATGTGTGATATAAACCACCTCTTCACTTCCTATTTTAATGTCATGTGTAGAATAATAGTATGACAGAAGATGAACAGAAGATATTAGAGGTTTTTGAGGCTGCACACATCTGGCTAGACCCTTCTTTGTTAAAAAATGGCACACACTTTCAAAAGGGGTAATCAAGTCCACAATATTGATGAAATCTGTATTGTTTAATGCTGCAAAAGCAAATATGGTACATTTCAGTTCTAATGTGCTTGCTGACTCCACAAATTCATGAAAAGCTTCAGTGGCTTTTTCATCCCACACAAACGGATCCTGACCATTTGGCTGAATTAAGTTGTAAAGGCTACATCTGAAAGCTTGAGCTTTCAACGTCAGAAACTCTGTCTTAGTTGCACGGACATTCTTTAGTGAAACATGCTCTTTGTTCCCATAGTCAACATATGCAACTTCCACCTCTTCAGCACAACATACTTTACTAGTAATAAGAGCTCTGTACCACTTCTCATCCTCAGAATACTTAGCCAAACATACATAATTTGGCCATTCACGGGGTTGTGCTGAATGCATACAATAATCTTGAATTTTAGCCATAAGTGCTCTCAGGTCTTGGGAACTTTTAGCTAGCTGACACCAGAAGAGACTAGGACTTTCTGTATAGGATACTACCACATCTACTGTATTTCCAACTTCCAGATGCCCTTCACTAGAAAACCCTGGCTTTATTTCAGAGTAGTTTTGCATAACATAGAGTGAAGGGGTTGGGGCAATGCTAGAATCCTCTTTTGCAAATGCTTTCCATGACAAATAGCAACTACCTTCACTGGGCTGCTGCCTGACGATCAAAGTTTCAGTAGGATAAGGGGCTGAACTGTGACGTTGTGGCGAGGGTTCATTTTCATCTTTGGGGAAAAATTTTCTCACAGGCTTCTGCCCTATGCCCTCTATTCCAGACGTGCTCCTCAATGGCTCCTTGGTCACTTTCTGGAGAGTCTCTAATTCCTCACCCTTATGATGCTCAGCATACTTCTGTTGAGACATGATTTTGCCCAAGTTTTTTTCTCCTGCTAGTGAATGATCAAAAACTTCCACTATGTAAATGTCCCCTTGCATGCCTAAGACCTTGATTACCAGCTCCTTGTTTAGCACGGCTTTCCTGAAATAGTCTACAGCATCTGGGCTCCATGACTGCCCTGGTGGGAAAGGATTAGCCAATGCACATCTGAGTGCTGCAGCAGGAAGTTCTCTGAACTGGGGAAGCAATTCCTTCACCTTATGCAAGTCAATAATTTCAGTGTTTCCTCTGTCGACCAGATAAACTTCAATTCCTTTTCCCAGCACCTTGGTGACAACAGCACGGTGATAGCAGTTCTCCTTCAATGCGACACAGCACAGGGATCCTGGTTTGGGCTGAAGCAGAATACCCTCTAGTTTTTTACTCTGAGAATAGAAGTCACTTAAGTTCTGTATGAGGCAACGGAGGGGTTGGCAATGCTCCTGCAGGTGCACCCAGAAGTCTGTGGGATCCTGGAGGAAGGACACTTGAGCACTGTGGTACTCACCAGCCTTCAAACGCACAACAGGAAGTGGGTCAGCGGCAAGCATGGACTGAACTCCCAACAGAGAGGCACGTTCTTCCTTGGCTGTGGCACCTACCTTCTTTAGTTCAGCCATTGAGTCAGAGGAATGCTCTTGACTGCTGTGAAGGAGGCTCTGCTCCAGACAATGGGCCTGGACCCCATAGAGGCAGTTAAGGTTCAGGCCATCTTCTCCATAGAGAGTAACATAGTAGAGGTGCTCAAAGGGACAGTAGGCTTCAATGTGGGCTTGCACCACCTTGCTCAACAGCAATGTTTTAAGCTGACTTATCTGAGAGCGGGTCCAGCCACAGCCTCCATCGGTAATACCTTGCAATGAACAAGGATAGGTCACCACCGGCATTCGGAAACACTCAGCAGGCAAATTGCGCAGGTTTTGCTTTGTCACAAATTCCTTCCTCCCATAATCCACATAGATCACCTGCGCCACCTCTCCAAGCGGCTCCTCCGGGCCACCCAGAGGATCTACTTTCAGCAGCAGGGCCCGGTACCAGCAGCCATCGATGCCCCGCGCGGCGCAAGGGGATCCTGGGGCCGGCAGGGGTTCCTGCAAGTCTTTCCCAGCGGAGGCCTCGAAAGCCTGGCGCATGGCGTCCGAGAGCAGCTGGATCTCTCTGGAGAGGCTGCGCAGTTGACAATATATCCTGCAGGGGTCGGATACCTGGGTCACCAGCATGGGCTCCGTCACTCTCATCTGCAGCTGCGGGTAGAAGTAGTCCAGGGCTGTGGGGCCATCCTGGGTGCGGGGAGCGGCAGGGCCCCCGGGCGCCTGGGGTGGGGCGCTGCTGGGGGCCCCGAGGGAGGTGGCGAGGAGGCCGGCGAAGGTGCTGGGGGAGACGTGGCCGGCCAGCCCCAGGTGGCGCATCTGGGCCAGCAGCCAGGGCAGCTCCAGCACCACCAGGTGCTGCGCCACCAGCACGTCCCTCACCAGGCCCGACACCTCCTGGCCCTGCAGGCGGCCCAGGAACTGGGCGGCGGCCGGCGGCCAGCTGCGGCGCTGGGGCGGCGCCAGGTCGGCCAGGACGCAGCCCAGCACCTCGGAGGGCAGCTGGAAGAGCTCGGCGGGGCCGCGCGCCAGGGCCTGGGCGCCGGCGCTGAGCGTGCGGCCCTCGTCCAGCAGGAAGACGCGGTAGGCGGGCGCGGGGCCGGCGCGGAGGAGGCCCAGCACCCGGCAGCGCCGCCAGCGCCCGCCCGCCTCCGCCAGGCACAGCTCGCCCGCCGCCAGGGGCCCCGCGCCCGGCAGCGCCGCCAGCCGAGGCCCCGCCCGCGCCTGCACCTCCTCGGCCAGCCGAAGGTACTCCTCGCGCCGCTCGCCGCGGAGGCCCCACAGCCGCACCAGCGGAGCCTCCGCGTGGAGCTCCACGAAGGACACGCGCAGAGACAGGCAGCTGCCCGGGCTCGGCAGCGAAGAGCACATGGCGGAGGAAGGCGGGCGGCCGGCCGGCGGGCGGGCGGGCGGGCAGCGGGCGGACACCGGCGCCTCACGCGGCACCAACGGCGGAGGAGGGGGAGGGGGAGGAGCCCGTTCCTCGCCCCGCCCACCCGCGCGCGCGCCCGCCCCTCCCCGCGGAAACGAGCCAAGGAGGGAAGCGGGCGCGCGAGGGCAGTTACCTCACGGAATCCCTCCGGCGCTTCGGGGAGGCGGCAGAAAGCGCGGGGAAATGGGGCGCCCGCCGTGGCCGGGACAGGGAGGGTCCCGCCAGCCCAGCTGCCGAGGGCGGCCTGCCGGGGCGCTGCTTGCAGGCGGAGCAGCCGAGCTGTGGCGCCCCTTGTTTCCGCCCGCCATCCTTTCAGCCCGCGACCTGGACACAGGTGTCTCCCGCCCCCCCGGGCCGGTTTCCTCAAGGGCCGGAGCAAAAGGTGTCCGTCGTCTTCCTCCTGCCTTGCCATGCGGGAAGGAGCGAGCCTTCAATGCCCCACAGACAACACCTCAGACAAGGCTGGCAGGCGCTGAGCTGCCTTCAGAGGGAGCTGACATTTGGGCTACCAGCAGAAATCAGCATGTCAAGTTGAAGCAAGGAGAGGAGGTTTCATGGGGCCAAGTCACAGGCAGGCAAATACCCTTGACCCTAAGGGGCCTCCAGTCCAGTCTCCTGCAATGCAGGGGTCTTAGCCGAAGCATCCAGGGCAGATGGCCTTCCAACCGGGGCTTAGAAACCTCCAAGGAAACCTCCCACCTCCCGAGGGAGACCATTCCACTGTTGAGCAGCTCCTGAAGTTGAGTTGGAATCTCCTTTCCTGTGATATGAAAGCATGGGTTCAAAGCCTGCCCTCCAGAGCAGAAGAAAACAAGCCGGCCCCACCCTCCATGTGACTGCCCTTGAGATAGATAGCTATCATATCTCAATCTCCTCTTTCCCTGGCTCCTTCCATTGTTCCTCATAAAGCTTGGTTTCCAGACCCTGGATCATCTTGGCTGCCCTCCACTGCACATGTACCAGCTTGTCAATAACTTTACATTTTTGTGCCCAAAATTGGACGCAGTATTCCATGTATGGTCTGACCAAGGCAGAATAGAGTGGTATTATGACTTCCCTTGATTTGGACATACTTATCTTGATGCAGCCTAGGGTAGTGTTAGGCTTTTCTGCTGCTGCATGACACTGTCAACTCGTGTTAAGCTTGTGGTCCACCAAGGTCCCTAGATCCTTTTCACATGTCAGCCAGGTGTCCCCCATCTTATATTTATGCATCTGGCTCTTCCTGCCTACTAAGTACAGAACCGTACATGTGTCCCTATTAAGATCCGTTTTGTTAGTTTGGGCCCAGTTCTCCAATCTGTTAATGTCATGTTGATTCCTGATTCTGTCTTCTGCGGCATTAGCTACCCCTCCCAGTTTGGTGCCATCTGCAAATTGGATGTGCATCCCCTCAATTCCTTCATCCAAGTCGCTGAACAACAAGGGGCCCAGGAGAACTCTGCAGCACCCCATGTGTCACTTTCCCCCAGGATGACTAGGAACCATTAATGAGTACTTTGGGTTTGGTCTGCCAACCAGCTACAAATCTAACAGTTGCCTCATTCAACCCACATTTTACCAAGTTCCTCACAAGAATATCATGGGGGACTTTGTCAAAAGCCTTACTGAAATCAAGATACACTATGTCCACAACATTCCCCTGATCCACCAAGCTTGTAACTCCATCAAAATGTAATGAGATTCGTCAGAATGACTTATTTTTGAGAAACCCACGATGGGTCTTAGTAATCAGAGGCTGGCAAAGCATGAAAGACAGACATTGCATGGAGGATTCCCCATTGCAGAGATCATGAGAGGTGAAACAGTATTTCTGAAGTTTCGTGGAGGAATTATAGAAAAATTAGCTGAAGGCAGATGTGCAGAAGAGGGACTGATTGAGGAAAAGAGAGGGAGGGGCTAAGAAGGGTGGCTGGAAGAAAAAGAACCCAAGAGACCACAAGTAAGTAAAAGGGAGAATGGGGCAAGGAAGTTGCATCAAAGGGAGTTTATACCAGTTTGTTTTTTAATTGAAATGTAGTCTGGTGTGTGTGTGTTTTTTAATTGTATTATACCAAATTTTTGGGATTTTAAAATTTACTCATAGGTTTGATAAATGTATTATAAGCAAGGACAACAAACAGCATCACGTTTAGTAAGCAGACAAATGTTTTGTGAAAAAAATGTAGCATATACTCATTAATGATTAAATAGCCTATAGTGTAGCTTGATTCAAAGGTCGTGTTTTATCACCAAACTTTGCTAGGTCAGCATGATACTAACAATCAGCTCACTTTGGGAAGCTCAACTATTCTAAGATAAATCCAGTATTTTTTCAAGATTGCCTATGAATGTAACAACAGTACTTGGATATTATAGCTCCATCTACATGTATGACAGCTTGGAAGATAAACAGATATTTTACTCAGTTCATGGTCAATTTATTTATATACCACATTTCCCACAAATATGTATGTGCTGAAAGCAGTTCACATAAAAATGTTTTAAGTACATTATTGAGATGTAATAAAAAATATAATCTCATTACAAAAGAATCCAGCATTAGCATTCATTAAAATTTAAGTGAACGTGCGCTCCCGTTGTTCGGTCCCAGCGCCTGCCAACCTAGCAGTTCGAAAGCACCCCCGGGTGCAAGTAAATAAATAGGGACCGCTTACTAGCGGGAAGGTAAACGGCGTTCCGTGTGCTGCGCTGGCTCGCCAGATGCAGCTTTGTCACGCTGGCCACGTGACCCGGAAGTGTCTCCGGACAGCGCTGGCCCCCGGCCTCTTGAGTGAGATGGGCGCACAACCCTAGAGTCTGTCAAGACTGGCCCGTACGGGCAGGGGTACCTTTAAAAGTTCACCAATATTAAAAGCAAGGCTTTCCAATAACTTCCTATCCAAAAGTAGCCCAAAAGCTGATGATGCTAGTACCTGGCACCCCTCGACCTATGCCTCAAACCAAAAGCCCAGAAAGCCCATGGGCGTAGCCAGGATTTATTTTAGGGTGGGCAGGCATTTTGGGGGGGGGGTGCAGAATGAGTTATATGCGACGCAGTCAGATAGTTAAGTATTTTTATTTATTTACTTGATGGGTGGATAGCTGCCCCCCCCCCCCCGCCCTCCCCGGCTACAGAATTCTTCTGGGAGGCTCTCAGGCCTGGAGCGTGGGGCAAGGCAGACAAAAGCAGTCATTGCCAAATGACACACAGAGTCTTTCTCTCCTCACAGTTCTGGAAGCAGGTCCCTCATGAAGGCTCATTGTAGAAACACAAGTGCAATGTGCTTGACTTTTTTTTTTTTAAAGTTTTAAGTCCTCAACTTACACAGGGCTTACATTCTGGGGATCACACCTAAAGCTAAAATTGGTCATGGTAAATGGCGAGTGGGATTGCCAAAGTCTTTTCCCCCAGATGCCCATCCATTTCTGTCCTCTTTAAAGAATAAAAATTTAAAAATAAAATTTTGCCAAGGGCATAAAACTGAATGCACACAAGTTAAATGTGCATTAGTTGCAGGTTTACTGTACACCACTTAGAAAATCTGAATATTAAAAAGTATATAAAGACCTAGATAAACAAATGAGCAAGCCAGCTGCTAGAATCCCTGAATACAGAGACCCAGAGCTCCTTATGAGTACACACTGCTCTTTTCAGCCCCAAAATACAAGGGGAAGAAAAGGGGAATCTTCCAAATAGCTCCCGTGGCTGGAAGCCTGCAGATAAAATGTGGAGAAAAAGCTGAAAGAGCTCAGGTCATCACAGCTAGTCATGTGGTGAGCTTCTCCATAGTCTATGTGATGGTGGATGTGATGAAAGTCCTGTCCTTTTGAACTACTGGAGTGCACAGAGAGAGACAGAAATGAGTAATGATCAGCAGTTGTGACACATTGCTCCTGGACCTGTATGCATTGTGTCTGTTCCTAAATGTCTGTAAATACCAATTGCGCTCAGGCTCAGGCTCTGTGGCCCCAAAACTATAATACTGTCTATTGATATAAAAAAAATATCAAGGCTATGTATGCACAGTTAAATAACAAAGGATCTATTTTCATTATTTGGAACAGAATAGCTTACAACAGTTAATATTGGACAAGAAGGAAAATGAAATATGGCTTCATGTTTCAGAGAACAGAGAGAAGAGAAGTCCATTTTGAGGGTCAGTTAGAAAGTAAAACTAGCCTCTCCCAGAGGCAAGCTGAACTATGTAATAAACTTGTCTTTTATCATAGCATCCACAAGAAGGCAGCAGTACAAACAAGATTTTTTTGAATACTATCCTGAAGTAACCCCTAGCAGCATTATATCTTACAGCGGCAGCCTGTGTCAGAAAAGCAACTGCTACAGAGGAAAGAAGATGGAAATCATTTTGGCTCTCCTGTTTACAGTGGTTCTAGGTTTTGTTGTCAAGCATATTTTCTTTCCATTCAGAAACGTCAATGAGCCGCCTTGTATCCGTGGCTGCATCCCTTGGTTCGGAGCTGCCTTCAAATTTGGGAAAGCTCCTCTGGAATTCATCAAACAAGCCAGACTCAAGGTAATAACTGTGGGAGCCAGGGATGGGGAGGGAGAATGAATGAATGAAACCATTTTGTACAGTCACGGACCAGAGATTGGGGAGGGAGAGGATGAAAAGGCTTGAGCTTGAGCTGAACAAGCCAGGTTTCTAACTTACCGTATTTTTTGCTCTATAAGACTCACTTTTTCCCTCCTAAAAAGTAAGGGGAAATGTGTGTGCATCTTATGGAGCGAATGCAGGCTGCGCAGCTATCCCAGAAGCCAGAACGTGAAGAGGGATTGCTGCTTTCACTGCGCAGCTATCCCTTTTGCTGTTCTGGCTTCTGAGATTCAGAATTTTTCCCCTCTTGTTTTCCTCCTCCAAAAACTAGGTGCTTCTTGTGATCTGGTGCGTCTTATAGAGTGAAAAATACGGTACTTTGCTTTTTACAATTTAATATGCTTTGTGTTAGCTGACTGTTATCAAACAATTTATATAGTCTGAATTACTATGATAGAATAACATGCTGAGAGAAATGCTAAAACACGTATTTGCTCTCTCTCTCTCTCTAGCTTTAGGGCGCTGTTCAGAACAATGTGGCTGTTCTTGTCTAACAGGACAGTTCCCCTTGAACAAGCCAAGTGTTAGGTTACTAAAGTTCATGTGTGCTTTTCAAGCTGTCCTGAAAGCTACTCAGTGTTGAAAGAATGCATTAAAATAGAATTCTACGAGAGTCTTATAAAATGAGTATTTTCAAGCACTATGTATACAAATGTGTTTTTTATAATAAATTTTGCAACTTCATTGTAATGCAGTCTGCTTTTTTCCCCTTTCACAACAGTATTGCTAAGAGATTTTAGATAATACTGTTTTCTGCATTTTCAATGCAGCCTTCAGTGCTGATGGCATAAGTAGGCAGAATAACACCGGACATGTAAAAGTGGGAGGTCTCTCTCTTTCTCTCTGTACTCAGGTGATCCCCAAATTAGCAAAAAATGAAACCTAATAGGGAAAGTTAGAACTGTGCATATGTTCCCACATGCAGGAAAGAGGTAGAAACAGAGTATAAGCCACATTCATAGAGTGGGAAAGATTGTGCATAAGGAGGAAGGAGGAGTAGCAGAAACGCAGAGTGAAACTGGGTAGGAGAGGCAAGCAAGGACAGAGACCAGAGAGGAATTGAGGTTTGTGTGGACCACAAAGCGCTTTTAAATCAGAGCCATGTAGGGGAAAGGCGGTGTGCTCGCAGCCCAGCAAGGAATGAATGGCTGTGGCTGCCAGTTTGTCTTGCTCTATTTCATCACAACAACCACACTTAGCATTTTGTTTTTTGTATATCTCCCACCCCAACTATTATCCTGCTGATCTTCAGAAATGGGTAACAGGGTGGAGATACCTTATGGGTGCATTACCTCCCCCTTGTTCAAAATCCATTCCCTAGAACAATGTTTCTCAACCTGTGTGCCGTGGTATGTTGGGGTGCCTTGAATGATAGTCAGGTGTACTGCAGGCAACACTGGCCTCTGTCCCTGTTTCCTCCCCTCCCTCCTCTGATGCCCTCTTGTGTGTCTGCCTCCCAAAGGCTTGTGTGGCTGTTTGTTGCAGCAGCCCTGGCTATAAGCTCCCCAGGCGAATGATGCCTCTGGGGCTGGCCAGGAGGTGCTGGTTGCCAGGAACTGAGGCAGCCTTGGAGTAAGCAAGCAAGCAATTGGGTGAGGCAGCCCAGCCAGCCGGTCTACCAGCCCTTGCTGTTGGGAATAGATGGAAAAGTGGAAGGCTGGGCATGTAGGCAGGTGCCATGATTGCTTTTCTTGTGCTTGCTGTGTGCAATGTCTGCCTGGGAGCTGAGTTTCTGGTGCCGAAGGGGAGCCTTAATGTAGTTGTATTAAACTACTTAACTTTTTTATTATAAAAATTACATACCGGTATTCTTATATGTAAAAGATTACATATAATCACATTACGTAGCATCGTACCCTCTTATTTTATCTCTTTGGCTCAACTGAGCCTAAGGACTTCCCTCCCTCCCGTCTGGTGGTTTACAAAATTAAACTTTACATCTTTACATTTCGCTTTGTTTCCTATCCTTGTTGTATCAGTACCTAAAATATTATATTACTCAACCTGCATAGGTAGCAATTTCTATGCCGGCCGAGAGGCCAAAAGTGCCAAGAAAGGCCAATCATGGCGTCCGGCACACTTCCATTGCGCAGCTTGCTAACTATCCGTGCCACTCCAAAAGTCCTTCTGCCTCTTCAGCCGGTAGCAGAGCAATCGCAGCAGTTAGAAGCAAAGTGCAGCGTGTGGGTAATAAACTCAGAACAGACACAAGGCTTTCCTTATCTTCTTAGCCTTTAATCATGTAGAATAACAGCATAAATCAGACCTGGCGAAAGCTCGCCCATCCTCCCTCTCGCATAGCGTACCAGAGGCAGACTGAGACACTCAGAGCAAACCACTCCCGTAAGTGTCTGTGACCACGCCTCATGATGCAAGGCGTCACACAGAACCTCTTAACCCTGTAGGTTCTGATTCTCCCACACCCCCTCTCGCATTGCATCTTGAGGGGACCTGTGCACACCTCTTTACGGACCTCTTTGGGTTCAAAACCTTCCCCATTGCCTTTCGCCCCTTCCTGGCATCTTTCCCAGGCACCTGTTGAATCCCTTCCACACTCCCAGAATCACACTGTGCGAAACCAACCCACGCACTGGTGACCTGAAACCTCTCAGGTGGAACACCCTTTGTGGCCCGAGATGAACGCCTGGGCACAAACTGGGGTGCTTCATCTGAACTTCCCTCTGACCCACTGGGGCCAGCAGGTGTGTCTTCTCCATCAGACTCTTCCCCCTCTGACTTGACGACCCGTCTGTGAGCTTTCTCCATTATGCTAACAGGAGATGAAGGCTCGCTCTTGGACACTCCTTTCACAACTCTTGGAGACGCCCAAACCTGCCCTGAACCCTGATCCTGGACTTGGTCCCCATCACCGGATTCAGCCTCTGCCTCCCCTTCCTCCTCAGAATCAGACAGACATTCTGAGAGAAAATCAGGACCATCCCTAGGCCGTGACCAACCACCCTGCTCACAGAACTCAGCATGCTTGCTGACCAGCAGTTTGGTCTGATCACCCTCTGGGTATGCAAACTTCCACCCATTGCTTGCAGGTTCATACCCACAGAAGATCATGTCCTGGTACCTTGGACCACCCTCCTTCCGTTGTGCTTTTGGTATTGGCACTGAAGCCCTTGAACCAAACGAACGGAAGAAATGCACCTGTGGCTTTTGCTTGTGCAACAGAAAAAACGGTGTGTCACCTACAGCGTGATTGTAGGACCTGTTAAAAACAAAGCTGGCAAATTTCCAAGCTTCACTCCAAAAGCTCTGAGGCAGCCCAGAGTCACACAGCAAAACCCTGACAGCTTCAGCCAGTGTTTCACTCCTGTGCTCTGCCACGCCTCTCTCTTGAGGAGACTTTGCACCCGTCACCTGGTGATGTATTCCCTTTTGCTTGAAAAACTCCTTCAGAGCAGACCCAGTAAACTCTGACCCTCGGTCGCTCTTGAACCCTTGCACCTTGGTGGAGAACCTTAGTTCCACCTCCGCAACCCAATCCTGGATCAGTTGTGCCGCCTCCCCCTGCGATTTGAGAGAGAAACGCCATGAATTCTGAGAAAAATCATCTGTCACCGTCAGCAGAAACCTGGCCCCACCCAGACTCTCACACTTCATGGGTCCTGCAAGGTCTGTGTGAACCAGCTCAAAAGGTTTTGTGGTTACCCTCTTTATCCCGGGAAAACTGCACCTTTGAACCTTTCTGCATGCCCTGCACTCTAGGGATCCCTCACACGGTGTGATTTTACAACCTTTGGTGCAGCTGGGCAACCTCTTAACATCTTCCAAACAAGCATGAGACATTCTCTTGTGCCATACATGAACACATGTATCATGACTGGGAACACTAGCACACTGCGCCTGTGCTCTTTCGGTATTCCCCCCACCCTCCAGAGGTGATTCCAGAACAAAGAGATTGTTCTTGCTTTCCATGTTGACAAGTTGTCTCCCCCCTCTGAAAATGGAACAGGTATCATTTTCAAAGCAAACTTTGTACCCCTGCTTCACAAGAGCAGGTACAGATAACAGGCAACAATGCATTTCCGGCACAACGTAGACCTCTAGCTCCGCCTGTAAAAAGGAAAGATACATTTTAGCAACAGCAGAAACTGGCTTTTGTGTCCCATCAGCGAACGTAACAGTCATTCCAGCTGAAACAGCCCTGCAATTCCACAGCCCTCCAGCAGGTGGCGCTCTAATCAGGTGATGACTGGCTCCGGAATCCACCACCCACTGCACAGCTGTGTCCCTGCTGGAGTTGTTTTTCAAAGCCGCCAGAGAAGCCGTGAGATGATAACAGTCTCCCTTCTCTGAGTCACGTCCTTCCTTTGCGTTCCCACGCTGGCCTCCTCTCCGAGACTGGTTCCCATGGGAAACGACCTTGGGACCTTCCTGCCCAGCTGCCTTCGCTCTCTGTGGGCAGCAGCGACGTACGTGGTCAGCTGACTTGCAAATGTAGCAACGACGCGTGGAAATATACTGGGGTGAGCTCTCAGCTAGCATAGCTTCCGGACCAGCTCCGCCCCCTCTCAAATGGCACTCCTCCACGACACACACAGTGGAAACCTTTCCAAAATGGCTTTTGGGCTTCTCTGCCCCCCCGATGCTTCCAACAGCACTTCGTGAGGCTGCATCAACAGGGCCTCCGGCTGCGCACTCGGCTTCTTTCTCCTGCTCCTGGCCCCCTGCTGAGCTATTGCACAAACTTTTCAGCACTTGCCAGGCCTCACACGCAGATTCAATGCCTTCCAGGTGATGCTGTAACTTAGCATGTACACCTGCCCTCAACATGCAGATCTCAGCTCTCACAGCTTTCTCTCTCTGCATTTTCTCCTCCAGAGAAACAGATTGCAGCGTCTCTGCATCTCTGTCCACCAGTTCTACATTTCCAGTAGGCACTGGTTCTCTCTGGGATATGTCCCAAATTTCCGTGGCTAAAAACCACGCTCTCACCCTCCTGGCCCAGGTATTCCACGACTGGGCGGTGAGCTCTTGAAGCCTTTCAAACGGAGCTTCAAACACCTCCTGGCCATCTGCCATCTTCCCCCGGGGCCCCCAGCGTACTCACAACAGCGTCCAGCTCCCGGTACAGCAGACCAGCCTCCGGCAGATTAGATCTCCTTCTCCCAGCGAGCTGCGTTCAACTTCAAAGAACAGCACGGCCCTAGCTGGCACCAGCTTCTTCCCAGTCGGCCCCCCACACATGGGACGTCTCCTGCAACAGCTTCAAAGCTTTGGCAAAGACCCATAACCTATGCCGGCCAAGAGGCCAAAAGTGCCAAGAAAGTTTGATCATGGCGTCCGGCACACTTCCATTGCGCAGCTTGCTAACTATCCGTGCCACTCCAAAAGTCCTTCTGCCTCTTCAGCCGGTAGCAGAGCAATCGCAGCAGTTAGAAGCAAAGTGCAGCGTGTGGGTAATAAACTCAGAACAGACACAAGGCTTTCCTTATCTTCTTAGCCTTTAATCAATGTAGAATAACAGCATAAATCAGACCTGGCGAAAGCTCGCCCATCCTCCCTCTCGCATAGCGTACCAGAGGCAGACTGTGACACTCAGAGCAAACCACTCCCGTAAGTGTCTGTGACCACGCCTCATGATGCAAGGCGTCACACAGAACCTCTTAACCCTGTAGGTTCTGATTCTCCCACAATTTCATCTTACAGAACTTCAGATAATCCTGCTAATGATGTTAATTGCTTACAGTTGTCTTTCAAATATAATATAAATTTGTTCCAGTCCTTTTGGAATGCTTGGTCTCGCTGGTTCCGGATTCTTTCTGTCAGTTCGCCAGTTCAAAGTCCATCCGCTTCATCTGCCGCTCTTCTTTTGTTGGTAACTCCTGTTGTTTCCATCTTTGGACTAACAAAATTCTTGCTGCAGTTGTTGCATAGTCTATTCTTCCTGCTGTTTGTTATATATATATATGTGTGTGTGTGTGTGTGTATAAAATAACTTTTTTAACACTATATTTTTCAGTATGGACCAGTATTCACAGTGTATATGCTGGGAAAACGATACACATTTGTAACTGATGAAGAAGGTTTTCAAGCATTTTGTACATCTAAAGATGTGGATTTTGAGCAGGCAGTGCAACAGTCTGTCCAGCATACAGGTAGGTAAATGATATTTAATTTCAGTGGGGAAATGATTTCTTTCTATTTTAGTTGATAAAGGGTTGAAACATGTGAAGTGGGATATCTTTTTACTTTAATGTAGCTTTGGGGACTCCAGTTTTGACTGGAGCAATGTGCTGAGGGAGCAAGTATTTCTCTCTCTCTCACACACACACTCATTTTTTTAAAAAAATTATTTAATCATTTTTTCAATATAAACAGCAACCACAAAAAAACACATACAACAAAAACCACAATAACACTAATAACACAATTTAACAATTCAGGTTTGGATACACTGATATACCTATGACTACACCTTTTTAACAATATTTCCCCACCTCTCCTCCCCCTACTTCCCACCACTGTCCGCCTTACCGCTTAAGTATTCCTTCCAGATTTCTTCATATTCATCCATTCTTAATTTGTGTCAATATGCAATTTGTTCGTATGTCGCTAGTCTGTCCATATTGTCAATCCATGTGCTCAATGGAATCTTTTTGCGGCTCTTCCAATTCATCAAAACAAGGTTTTTTTGCTTCTAATATGGCACGATACATCCATTTTTTTGACCCCTTGTAATCTCCCATGTTTCCGGTATATAATTTAGAATTAAATTCAAATCCCCTAAATAACAATTTATTTGTATTACTCTTGCTATATATATCCTCACCTCACACCAAAATGATCTTATCATCGGGCAGTTAATCATCATATGTACTAAGTTCGCATTTTTACTTCCACATCTCCAGCAATTGTCTGCATTTGTTATTTTCTTCTGGTAAAGTTTTGCTGGAGTCCAGTGGACTCTGAATATTATTTTCTGCTGAATGTCTTAGTCTTAGATCCATAGAGGCTATTTCTGTTGATTTTATACTTGACTCCCATTTATCATTTGTTATCTGTACCCCAACTCTTCACTTCATTTTTGTCTATCATATTCTAAATCATATTTCTTTCTGTTGAGTAGGGTTTTATATAGTGCAAGTGTAGAGTTCTTTGTTTTTGTTGCCGAAATTAAATCTTGTAGCAACATGGGTGTTTCCGATGCTGCTATAGCGTCAGGACCAAACTGCCTTTCCAACATATGTTTCAATTGGACGTATTGCCATTGTGTTTCACTGGTTAATCCATACTTTACTCGCAAGGTCTTATATTCCACAAATTTGTAATTTTCATCAATTAATTGATTCAATGTCAAAATACCTTTTTTCATCCAATTTTGCCAAATTATTACTTGATTTCCAATTTTTAATTTTGGGTTGGCCCATATTGTTAATTTCTCATGCTGAAAGGGGTCATCCTTATTATTTTTATTTATATTCATCCAAATTTTTATAGGTGCTTTAATAGTCTCCAGGGTAATAGGATATTTCATAAAATTGGAGCCCAGTTTAGTCCACCCTACAAGAGGTTCAAAGAAACTATATTCGAGAGTAGCCCAACTGGGATTCCTGCTAGCTCTCCAATCATTAGTCTTACTCAGCAGGTCGGCCTGGTGATACAGTTCCAGATTTGGGAGACCAAAGCCGCCTTCCTTAGTTGGAAGTTGCATTTTATGTAGTAATATTTTTGGTAGCTTTGTACCCCACAGGCACAATCTATTCTTGTAAAGAAGCTGGTAAAATGCGGTCTTGACTATGCTACCACTCAGTGGATTTGTAACTGGCTGACTGACCGAACCCAAAGGGTGCTCATCAATGGTTCCTCTTCATCCTGGAGAAGAGTGACTAGTGGGGTGCCACAGGGTTCTGTCTTGGGCCCGGTCTTATTCAACATCTTTATCAATGACTTGGATGATGGACTCAAGGGCATCCTGATCAAATTTGCAGATGACACCAAACTGGGAGGGGTGGCTAACACCCCAGAGGACAGGATCACACTTCAAAACGACCTTGACAGATTAGAGAACTGGGCAAAAACAAACAAGATGAATTTTAACAGGGAGAAATGTAAAGTATTGCACTTGGGCAAAAAAAATGAGAGGCACAAATACAAGATGGGTGACACCTGGCTTGAGAGCAGTACATGTGAAAAGGATCTAGGAGTCTTGGTTGACCACAAACTTGACATGAGCCAACAGTGTGACGCGGCAGCTAAAAAAGCCAATGCAATTCTGGGCTGCATCAATAGGAGTATAGCATCTAGATCAAGGGAAGTAATAGTGCCACTGTATTCTGCTCTGGTCAGACCTCACCTGGAGTACTGTGTCCAGTTCTGGGCACCACAGTTCAAGAAGGACACTGACAAACTGGAACGTGTCCAGAGGAGGGCAACCAAAATGGTCAAAGGACTGGAAACGATGCCTTATGAGGAACGGCCCTAAGGAAGCCAGACTATCCTCCGTCACTTTTTCAGTGATGGCTCCGACCTGGTGGAATGCTCTGTCCCACGAGACTAGGGCCCTGCAGGACTTGAGCTCCTTTCGCAGGGCCTGTAAAACAGAGCTATTCCACCTGGCCTTCAATTTGAATTAGCCTGAACCTCTATTCCATTTTCTCTTTCCTCTTCTATGAAGAAACCCTTTCTGGGACCCCACATTTAAATTCTTCCCTGGTCTCCTTGCTGGCCCTTGTAGGACCAACTTGGCCAGTTAACCCTGGTGATCATTTGATGTCTACTGACCGGGTTCCCCCCCAAAAAAATGACTCCTGAATTTTTGAATTTTATTGATACTGATGCTGTATTTTATGTTGTATTTTATGCTGTTTTAAAGTCGCATTTTAATCAATGTTTTATATTTGCTGTTAGCTGCCCTGAGCCCGGAGTCCTGAGTCCGGAGTCCTGAGTCCGGAGTCCTGAGTCCGGAGCCAGGAAATGGGGGGTATAAATAGAATTATTATTATTATTATTATTATTATTATTATTATTATTGGCCCAGCTCTCACTTCCATACATCACTACTGGGAACTAACTAACTCACTGGGAACTACTTACCTAACTCCCACATGCCGCCTAACCCTGCGGAAAGCAGGATTTAACCCCCACCTATCAACTGATCACTATCTTCCCCACCCCAATGTAAAGGAAACATGCTGAACATGCCATTAATTACTTATTGTTTGTGGACTTAACACACACTCCACAATAATGAATTCTGATCCTATTCACTTTACTGGTTCTAGAACACAGATTAATATGCAAACTACAGCAATATGCACTTCCATGTACACTTCCGTGACATACAGGTACCTGTATTTTTCCACTGGGGGGGGGCATGAAATTTAGATGGAAGAAACAGTGTGGGAGTGCCATGGCATCAGACTCGGAGGAGTCTGCCATTCCTATATATGCCATTAAGAAATTCTCAGTTGCTTATTCACGCTATAATGAAGACATATTTAGTGAAGACAAGGAGGCACCCAACTTTACCAGGGAACATTATGTCAAGATTCTGTATCTACATATTTTTTATGTCTAATCAGAAAGAATTGCCTATTTTGAAAGACAACACAACATGAAATATAGGAACAAAACTGTTCATGATGCCTGCACAGATTCTAGGGTATTTTAAGTAAAACTTTACAGCTTATTCTGACTGATGTTATTTTTCCCACTTGGATTTTGAAGCTTCAATTCCTGAAGAAATATTTTACAAGAATAGGAGCAGGTTATATATCATGATGAAGGGAAGACTGAGTACATCTAATCTGCAGCATATGCCTAGGAGTCTCTGTCAGGAACTTCAGAAACACATGGAGGACTTGGGTCACGAGGGGACTGAGGAGCTCAGAGATCTTGTAAGGTAGGTGATTTTGCAAACCAGCCAGAATGGCACAGGCCTCCATTCTTTTCATTAAATAAAATTAATATCTAGAATAAGCCATAAATGTTGTATTTTAGAATAAAATAAAATATAGTTTAAACACTACAAGAGAAAGCAGAAGGGTAGGGCACTGGTGGAGTTGCCATAAACCCATTTTACTATTGGATAGGATATTCTTGTGAAGCCAACAGTAGCACCATCCTTGGTATGTAATAGCAAGGGAGTGTGATAAATATACTCTTTGAGGCTAATTTCATAGAATCATTGAATAGAGCTGGAAGGGACCCAAGGAGCATCCCGTTCAACACCCTGCAATGCAGGAATATGCAGCTGGCCATACAGGGATCAAACCATAATACATACTTGTACATTGGAACAATTTGACTTTGGATCGGCTTTGGATCCATTCCAGTCTAGTTTTTGCTCTGGTCATGGGACCGAGACGGCTCTGGTCGCCATAACAGATGACTTCCGTAGGCAGCTGGATTGAGGCGGGTCGGGGCTGTTGATTCTTTTAGATCTGTCAGCAGCCGTTGACATGGTTGACCACAAACTTCTAGACCACCACCTCACCTACGAGGGGATTCAGGGTGCAGTCCTTCAAAGGCTGCACTCAATTCTCTCTGGTCGGGGACAGAGGGTGGCACTGGGGGGGAAGGAGTTGTCGTCACGCTACTCCTTTGTGTTTGGAGTACTGCAGGGTGCAATTCTCTCCCCGATGCTTTTTAACATCTATATGCGCCTCCTTGCCCAGCTTGTCTGGAATTTTGGTTTGGGAGAATTGGATTCTAACATTACAGTGGTACCTCGGGTTACATACGCTTCAGGTTACATACGCTTCAGGTTACACACTCCGCTAACCCAGAAATAGTGCTTCAGGTTAAGAACTTTGCTTCAGGATGAGAACAGAAATCGTGTTTTGGCGGCGCGGCGGCAGCAGGAGGCCCCATTAGCTAAAGTGGTGCTTCAGGTTAAGAACAGTTTCAGGTTAAGTACGGACCTCTGGAACGACTTAAGTACTTAACCCGAGGTACCACTGTATTAGAATGACATATCCTGATGACACCCAGCTTTATCTGTTGATGGACGGCCACCCTGACTCAGCCCTAGACACACTGTTCAGATGTCTGGAAGCCGTGGCTGGATGGCTACGTGGGAGCTTGGTAAAGGGAAATCCTTCGAAGACAGAGGTCCTTTGAGTGGGTCGAGACGATATGGGGTTGTGGGGCCAACTCCCATCCCTTGCAGGGGCGCAACTAGTGCCAGCACCTTCCGTCAAGAGTTTTGGTGTAATTTTCGACACCTCCCTTTTTAGGGAGGCACAGGTTACAGCTACAACAAAGGCAGCATTTTTTCATCTCCACTGAGCTAAGCAGTTGGTCCCTTACCTCTCTCACCTTGACCTCACCACTGTGATCCATGTGATGGTCACCTCCAGGCTTGATTATTGTAACTCACTCTATGTGGGGCTGCCCTTGAAACTGATCCAGCAACTCCAGCGGGTGCTTGGCAGGGGGTTGGACTCGATGGCCCTTGTGGTCTCTTCCAACTCTATGATTCTATGATTCTATGATTCTATGAATGCCTCAGCGAGACTCCTTACGGGATCTTTGCTGTGGGATCACATTTACCCAGTGCTATACTAGCTGCATTGGCCCCTGGTGGAGTACAGGATCAGGTTTAAGGTGCTGGTTTTAACCTTTAAAGCCCTATACAGCAGAAGTTTATCCACTACAATCTATTTCACCTATTTTTACTTTACTTTTTACTTTACTATTTTTACTTTAGTTGTATGAAACCAGTATAGCCAACAGCTGACCATTCCAAGTGGATTCTAACATTATTTTCCTCCAGTCCACAACTATACCTTTTCTCCCATTGCAGGCACATCATGTTCCCATCAACAGTGAACACCCTGTTTGGAAAAGACATATTTTTGACCACCAGGGATAATGTCAAGGAGTTTGAGGAGCACTATCAGAACTTTGATGATGATTTTGAATATGCTACCCAACTTCCAAAATATTTTTTGAAGTAAGGGAGTAGTGTTTCTGTTTGACAATATAAATTTATCCAGAAATTCATGTTCTAGCTTAGACTGTCCTCAGATTCCTGTTGCTTATGTCTACAATATTATGGGTGTAATCCATAGACAACGTACCGTATATGATGGCATGCTTTCCCTCCAACTGGCATACTCCTATAGTCATTGGATCCAAGACTGCTTGCAGTAGCTAGTTGGGGAGCCTAACTAGTATGCGCAAAGTTCACTTTTGATTTGCTAGATTTACACTACAACAAAGAGGGGACCCTGCATTCTGTGAAGAGATGTGAGCACAGAGTCAGCTTAGTGTGATGTTATGGAACAGGGGCAGTGCATCCTGTTTTACCCCCGGAGGAGAAACGTAAATGTGCCACCTTGCTGCCCCACCTCTGATTATGCTCCTCTCCCCCGCCACTGCTGAAGCCTGCCTTACCCGCATTGCACAGCGGCACTCACAAAGCACCAGCAGTTGTGCTGGCTTCTGGCGAGATCTCGCTGAAATCTCACAAGTTCTCATGTGCTATGTGAGATCTTTGCAGAAACCATTGCTGCTCTGGGTGCCGCTACTCCAGAGGTGGCAGGACTCCATGGGGCACTGCCTGGTGGGCTTCTGTCGCTCAAGGCGAGCTTGCCTCATGGCCCTGCTATGGAACCTGCTTGAATGGGAGCAAATTTAGGCCAAGTGCAGTTTTGGCTATCTGGAAACAGATGCTAAACTTTTTTCAAAAAATAATTGTGGTCATTTAATCCTCACCTCAATGAAAATAGAGATAGGTAGTAAGGGAAATCCTGGTTAACCTTAACTGCATCATGAGTTGACAAACTGCCTGAGCAGAGTGGAAGGATGTTCCAAAGATGGCTCTTTCTTTTCTGGGAGTTAGCTGTGAGCCAGTCTGCAGTAGCTCACCATGTATTTAGAACAAAAAAAAAATCCTTCCAGTAGCACCTTAAAGACCAACTAAGTTAGAAGTGCTTTTGTATGCCTAAGAAATCCTTTAGATCCTGGCCTGCAACAAGCCCTTATTGGATCTTCCCCCTTCTTGTAAGGTGTTATATATTTAGTGGTCTGTGTTTGCCTGAGCTTGAGTCTGGACTAAGGATTCTGAGCTCCTGTATTCTGATTCGATACATGATGTTCAATCACAGAACATTTCAGGATTTGGGCCTCTGCCATTGGCCCTTGAACTCTGAGTCACAATTCGCAGTTTGGAAGTTTAGACATCCAATCACGTTGAGAGTGGGAGTGGCCCAGGCTTTCAGGAATGTATATAAGCAGTTTCTTTGCCCCTGTTTCCCAGTTATGTAGTTCAATAAAGGTTCTTGCTGTTATCACTGAATCTTGCCTTGTGGGCACCCACCTACACTTCATAAGGCTCTTCTGAGAAATCCTGCAGGGCTTCTCATAAAAGTGAAAGTACTTGCCCTGCGATCAGAGTTGGGATTAGAAGTGGTTCTGCCTCAAGCAGAAAGCCTTCCCTGATTCTGCTGGCAATTCTCCAGTAGTGACAAAAGGGGCAGTGGTAGTACTATTCCTTCTTTTTCAACGCACCCTGTTCAGGAAGGCCAGCATGGCAGGTCCTTTCAATCTTACTGACCAGCATGAACTGGGAGCTTCTTTCTTTCTCCTCCTGTGGGGTGTAATGGCTCCATTCATTATTGTGAGGAAAGGGAAAACCCCAGTGGGAATGAAAGAGAGTAGGGGGGGAAGAGAGGTGTATTTCTTTTTCCTTTACATATCATGAAAACATTTAAGTGGTTTACAACAACAGTATCTATATACAATAAAACCACATAAAAATTAAAATTGAGAGACTACCCTCTGAGTTTGTCCCACTAGAGTTTTATTCCTTATATTCACTGACAGGATATCACCACTCTTTCTTCTGGCAGCACGCTCTCTTTATGCCAGCCAGTTAGGAGAAGAACCATTCTTCCTAGCCAGAATAAACAGAAAGCAGCACCTTAATGTGGTGCCTTGAACTGTGAGCAGATTTGGTTGCTCAAGGGCTCATCCACACTTACCTTTTGCCATGCTCTTTCCAGGCAGAGGTCCAGACTTTAAAGTTCCATGCCTGAGTGTTGGATTTTTTGCCCCAGAGCTTTCCCCACAAAACCGCACTGTTTAGTGCTTAATCTGAGCAAATGTCACTTTGGGTTTTCCACCGGTTGCCGTTTGCTCCAATTGAACTTTGAAGAGCAGGTTTTGCCTGGAAAGGCTCCAGAGCCAAAAATATTGACATGGGGCTTTAAAGCGTGGGATGAGCCTGGAAAGAACAGAGCAAAGGTCAGGGTTGCTGAGCCTTATTGCTCAAAAGCAGGGCAAGCACCTGACACTGCGTTCTGCTGAACTTCTGCAACTGAGCATTACTTGAAAGTTTAAAAAATTATGGGAAAATTGTTTAGAATTATTTCCTGAGTACAGATAATCATATATATTTCATAAGGGTTTGTTTTCCTTTTTGCTTCCTAGAAAATGGTCTAAATCAAAGAAGTGGCTCCTAAAAAGTTTTGAAAAAGTTGTCTTGCATGCAGAGGAAACTAATCCTTCAGATGACAGTTCTAAGGTAAACCTTCCATAAGGCTTTTCATGTTAATATTATTATTTATAAAATACTAAGCCAGGTGCTGCGCAAGCCAATGAAGAGTGAGGAGTGAGGCGTTGCTTTGACGCCAGAGAGGGAAAGAGAGCCTGTGGTCCTCCAGCTGGAGTCCAACAAAATCCCTCCTCATTGCCTAACAGTCTGTAAGGGGGGGGGGCAGTCCTATGGGCCACCTGTCATCTACAACCTGAGGCGTCTTCCTAGACTACAAAATGGCAACAGGGGTGCTTTTCTTCCTTTTTTTCTATTGGCTCTTCTGTGAGTTTATCTATAATAGCCTGTAAAAAATAAGCTGGTGAAGGCTATGCTCGTGTGTGTGTGTGTGTGTGTAAGACTAAACTTGAGCACAGTAGGATTTCCTTCTAAGTATACCTATAGAAGAGATATGAACATGTGTTATTAGCAATTGTACCAATGTTTTAGGGTTCCAGAAGTTTCACTTAAACAGCTATCTGATGTAGGAGCAAGGGGTCCATCTGATGTTACCTTCCTTGCCTCTGCCCCACCAGTCCTAATGGGAAGCAGGCACCACGACTTGGGCATCAGACAAGCTGATAATTAGGCAACCTATAATTAGTAACTCCCCAAGTTACTATTAGTTGGGCAACTAAATAACACTGTGGCTATATGTAAAAGAAGCATATACCATGTACTGTATAGCTAAACTAGCTAGGAGCCTGACCCTGCTATCTGTAACCCACAAAGTTCCCCAGCTGTGGTTATATATGAAAAGCAACAGCTGAGGTGATGCCAGTTGGAACTCAGAGCACTGACATCAGGATGAAAGCACCCTTGTGATCTCAAAGGCAGGCCTTACTTCTGAAGGTATAATCCTGCTCTTCCTATTGGCAGCAGCCTGCAAGGCAACTTGCAAGCATGAAATAAAAACCACAGTCAATATCTAATTCTGGTGACCTCGCTGTAGCTTGGTGGTTACCTCTAATGCCAAAGCAAAAGGAAACTTGGGAATTGCAGGAGCAGAGATGGAGTTTGCTCTTCATAGGGTCAGCCTTATGTGGAGACTACTGGAATCAAGGTCGACCAAACATTTAATAATAATAATAATAAATAATAATTAAATAAGATAATTTCATTTATACAGTGGAAAAAAAGGAGGAAAGAAAAAAGTGAGAGAGAATATTAAAAAATACTGTTATATTACTATACATATACCATGCAGATATGTATATTCTTATTATCCTAATACACATATATTCGTCAATAACCTAATATATTCTGTGCAAAGTTGCAAACTCATTCGAAATATCACTGTATCTATTCAAAAAAAGTCTGCGTCTATAAGCTGTCTGTTCATATTTTGCCATGTTGTCAAGCCATTGATTAAGGAGGATCGTATCTGTATTCTTCCAATTCATAAGTATCAGTCTAGCTCAACCAACCGTGGGAGCAGCTGACTGTAAGCCTAGTTTATCAGGAGCAACTGGCTGAAGGCTTCTCTTTTCTGGCTGCTCTGCCCACCAAACAATGCTCTGGGCATCAGCAGGCTGTCACTATTTCGGCAGAATGCCAGATAGGCCACTAGCCATTCTGCTAACAGAGATACGTTGGTGGAGCAAATGAAGGGGTTGAGCTGTGGGCAGCATGTGGGTGAGAAATATGGGGAGGAACACATTTGAATCTAATGCTACCCCCTCATTCCATTGCCACATACCCCATCAATTGCAGAACATTACACAAGCTCCAGAGCTGCCATAAGACATTTTCCTCACATGGTTTTTGTATGTTCTGGTTGTGTATTTCCCCATTCCAAGACTCAGCATGTACTGGATCAAGGGTTCTTTCTAGCAATGTCGCAGTGGTGTTTCTTTAGTTTTGGCATAACGAGAGCACAGATTTACCGTACTTTTCCATGTATTAGACGAGGGTTTTTTACTCCAAAATAGTGTTTAAAAACAGAGCTCGTCTAATACACGGGCAGTACATTGGGGGACCGGGTGATTGGTTGCAGCCACAAGCTGCAGCTTGTAAATGGCGATTTGGTGAGTGATTGGTTGCTGCGTCAAGGCCTGCCTTGGATTGGCTGCCGCTGCGGCAATTGGGTGTTTGGTTTCCAGCTTGTGTTTGCAAACGGGCAGGTGCTTGTCGGCTTCTGCGACGTGAGCAATTCTGAGCTCTTGTCTTTAGGGTTAGTGATTTTCTGTACACCCCCCCCCATGGGCAATCCCCCCCAAAAGCCCAACAACTCTGCACAATCCTTCCCAAAAGCAATCCCCCCCCAAAGACGCAGCAACTGTAGGCAATCCTCCCCCCCAAAAAAGCTCAGCAACTCTGGTAATATAGCCACCTCCCCCCATTTTCTTAAATTATAGCACCCCAAAATAGGGGGCGTCGTATACATGGGGGCATCCTATAGACGGAAAAGTACGGTACTCTGTCTGGCAATTAAAAGCAGCTAGCAGCAATAAAGCATACAATGACAATAAACAAGGGCCTGTGGGGGGGTGGAGACATTTCTTCCCTACTGTCACCTTGAAGATGTAAAATGTACCTATTTCCATTTAACAATATTTAGAAGCATGGAATCATTAAAAATAACTCTTGTGCTTGGGCTTCTTTGTGGTCTGACCATCAGTGCCTATCTCTCCCACCTAGGTGGCAGTTAGGGATGAAAGAATAGGTCAGTTTCTGAATCAGTTCCGAAACAGTTCAGTTCAGAATCATTTTGCTTAAGGAAAAAAGTCCTCATGGAAAACAGCCAAGCTTTTAGTGCAAATTTGTTCAAATACATACATGCATGCGATTTTGCCCACTCTAAACATTTTCCCCCAAGAGATCCATAATAATAATAATAATAATAATAATAATAATAATAGTCAATGCATTTTAGTACAATAATATTTTATATGTTATTTTCACTAATATATGCATTTTTATGCACCCCTTCCCTTAATATACACATTTCTGTACACATTATTTGACTGGAGAACTGCGTCACACAATTCAGAGAATTTTTACAAAATTTGAAGGTTAACTGTGTTTCGGCTTGGCTCTTGTTTCTTCAAGTGTGGATCAGGCAGGGCTCACATTAAAATCCAAATGAAATTGGTGATGAGCAGAGCACGGGGAAATACCAGCTAGCATGAGGCAACAGATTTGACACTTTTGTCTCTTTCCCCATCATCTGTACCTGAAGGAAGTGTGGTCACTTGGGCATTCTAGAAAATGGTGTAAGGAAGAAAGCTTGTGTGTGTGCAGCGCCTCACACCTCTGCAAGAGAAGGCAGGGCCACCTCTTCCATAGTAAAACTTGCAGTGTATGGGGAAACAGCCACACACACATGTTCCTCCTCATCCCCTGCCCCATGAAATTTCTCTCACCTTCCCAGCAAAAGAGGCATTAAAATAGCCTCTTTCACAAGGAGGAAATTTGTTAGAGCATGGTGCACCATGATAACAGGTTCGATCCCTGTATGGGACAGCTGCATATTCCTGCATTGCAGGGAGTTGGACTAGATGATCCTCAGGGTCCCTTCCAACTCCATGATTCTACAATTCTACAAAATTTAAAATAAAAAGCACTTGATAGCCAGTGGCCGGTGTAAGTCAGCTTGTTATAGAAATAGCTTGGGTTCAAAGTAAAATATGGCTGCTCTGTGAGAATGACTTGTTACCCCATTAGTGTATGCTATTTTTATTTGGTCTGTGTTCTTCTGATTTTAACAGACACTTTGGCAACATGTCCTAGACACTTTGCAAGGAAAGACCTTCAGTGCTAATTATGGCCTCTTACTCCTTTGGGCATCTCAAGCTAATGCAATTCCTGTAAGTATGAGACAGAAAGTATGCTTCCTTCAGTGAGTAAAGTGAATCAAGGAGCCACTGGCAGGCAATTTTCTGAGCCTTCAGTTTCTTAGAAAAGTACCGTATTTTTTGCCCTATAGGACGCACTTTTTCCCCTCCAAAAACAAAGGGGAAATGTGTGTGCGTCCTATGGGGCGAATGCAGGCTTTCGCTGAAGCCTGGAGAGCGAGAGGGGTCGGTGCGCACCGACCCCTCTCGCTCTCCAGGCTTCAGGAAGCTATCCGCAAGCCTTGGGAGCCCGCGGGAGTTCCCGCCGGGCTCCCCTGGCTTGCGCAGAGCTGCCTGCACCCCAAAGCCCGGCGCGCTGAGCAGTCGCGCCGGGGCTTCGGGTAGCTCTGCGCAAGCCGCGGGAGGACTCCCCCGGCTTGCGCAGAGCTGCCTCTTATCCCGAAGCCCTGTCGCACTGAGCGGTCGCGACAGGGCTTCGGGTAGTTCTGCGCAAGCCGCGGGAGGGCTCCCACGGCTTGCGGAGAGCAGCCTGTTCTGGGGGCTGGGGTCGGGGGAAGCTCGGGCTTCCCCCGCCCCAGCCTCGTGCCTGGGGGGGAATAATTTTTTCCCCTTTATTTCCCCCCAAAAAAACTAGGTGCGCCTTATGGGCCGGTGCGCCCTATGGGGCAAAATATACGGTAAGTCTCTAGCTGTGCTGGTCCTGGGGGGAAGGTTACTGTTACCGTAGTCAAAGTTCAGTCCTGAGTCACTAGCCTGGAAATAGTTCACAAGGTGCGAGGCGAGGTCCGAAGCAGGGAGCCGGGCGGGGACAGGAACACTGAGCTAGCAGGGCAGCAGTTGAAGAAGGAGCAAAAAGGGTTTTCTTGTGTGTGTCTTTGTGGCTGATTAGCTGTTCTCCCTGTGCAAAGGTTAGAGGGGGCAGGGCTTCTGTTGAGGCAGGTGATTAGCTGTGGGAGGAGCTTATCAGAGCTAGCAGGGCAGCGGCGCGCGCAGTTTGACCCATCTTTTAGATTTAGGGGAGCTAGTCTCAAACGTTTGTTGGGGGAGACCTAGGGTTTTTTTTTGTGTGTGGGGAGTTATTTGTCCTGTCTTCACACTTTTTATGATGGAGGACCGCTGTAGCCACCCCCAACGACACGTACTCAAGATGGAGGAGGAGGGAACAGCTGCAGTCGCCTGCGGTTCCTGCGCAATGTTTGCCATCTTGCCAAAGATTGCAGGCAGCTTTACCTGCAGCAATTGCATGTTGATTGCTCTCTTAAAAGACAAAGTCCAGCAACTGGAGGAACGTGTAGCTACGCTCCAAAGAATTAGAGAGCTGGAGCTCTTCTTGGAAGCAACAGAGCACACCGTCTCCACCAAGGAGGAGACAGGGGACTCCCCTGTGAAGGAGGCTAGCTCACCAACACAGGAGCCAGATATATGGAGAAACGTGACTCAAAGAAGTAGGAGGCCCAGGGTTCGCTCTGATTGTTTAGAAATACGCAATCGCTTTGAGGTCCTCTCCCCTAGCATGGAAGACGAAGAGCACACTCCATTTGAGGATCTCTCCCTCATTACAGTCGATCAGGTATATGAAGACGACCAGCAAAGTCAGTCCTCAGGGAATGTGCAGGCGACCTTGGAACGGACAGCTCACGGAAGAACCCCGACCAAACCTAAGAGGAGGCGTGTAGTGGTGATAGGGGATTCCCTACTGAGGGGAACAGAAGCAGTGATCTGTGGGCCTGACAAGATGTCTCGGGAAGTGTGCTGTCTCCCCGGGGCTAAGATCCAAGATGTAACTGAACGACTGCAAGGAATCATAAAACCCACTGACAAATACCCCTTCCTCTTGGTTCATGTGGGAACCAATGACACTGCAAGCAATAGCCTCCAGAAGATCAAAAGAGACTACGAGGCTCTCGGCAGGAAATTGAAGCAACTAAATGCACAAATTGTCATCTCATCTGTCCTCCCAGTTGAACGACGTGGCCCAGGGAGAGAGGGAAAAATAGTGGAAGTGAACAGCTGGCTTCGCAAATGGTGTAAACAGGAACGGTTTGGATTCTTAGATCACGGACTGCAGTTTCTTGAAGATGGACTTCTGGCAAGCGATGGGCTGCACCTCACAACGGTTGGGAGGAATGTTTTTGCCAAAAATCTCAGAAACCTCATCAGGGGGGGCTTTAAACTGACTAATGTGGGGGAGGGAGACAATGCTCCTGAAGGTAGGAATCTATCAATTGATGAAGATGATCATCCAAATGTCATAGACCAAATGGAGCAAACAGCATGCAGACCTAGTGGTGGGAGGAAAAAATCCTTAAATAAGAGACACGGGGGAATGATTAATGGACTTCAATGTCTGTACACTAATGCGCAAAGCATGGGAAATAAACAAGATGAGCTTGAGCTCTTGGTACAGCAAACTAAATATGACATAATAGGCATCACTGAAACCTGGTGGGATAAGTCCCATGATTGGAATGTAATAATGGAGGGATACAATCTATTTAAGAGAAACAGACCAGACAAGAAAGGGGGAGGAGTGGCGTTATATGTCAGGGATGTGTATACCTGTGAAGAGATCCAAGATTTAGAACCTCAAAGCCAAAGTGAGAGCATTTGGGTCAAAATTAAGGGAGAGAAGAATAACAGAGACCTCATTGTGGGAGTTTACTATAGATCCCCAAGCCAAACGGAGGACATAGATGATGCCTTCCTGGAACAGATGGCCAAGCATGCAAAAGGAAGGGAGATAGTAGTAATGGGGGACTTCAATTACCCAGATATTTGTTGGATGTCAAACTCAGCCAAGAGCATAAGGTCAAACAGATTCCTCACTGGCCTTGCAGACAACTTCATTGTCCAGAAAGTGGGAGAAGCAACAAGAGGAACAGCCATTTTAGATCTCGTCCTAACCAATGTTGATGACCTGGTTAGTGGGGTAGAAGTGGAAGGATCATTAGGCGCGAGTGATCATGCTCTTCTGAAGTTTACTATACAGCGGAAAGGAGCAGCCAAGCATACTAGGACTCAATTTCTTGACTTTAAGAAAGCCGACTTCATAAAACTTAGGGAAGTGCTGGGTGAAATCCCATGGACAGTAATACTAAAAGGAAAGGGAGTTCATGATGGCTGGGAGTTTGTTAAGAGGGAGATAGTAAAAGCACAACGTCAGGCAATACCAATGAGACGGAAACATGGAAGGTGCCTAAAGAAGCCAGGGTGGCTATCTAAAGAACTTTTAACTGAGTTAAGATTAAAAAAGGATGTGTACAAAAAATGGAAAAGGGGGGAAACCACCAAAGAGGAATTCAAACAAATAGCCAGCACGTGTAGACACAAAGTCAGGAAAGCTAAAGCACAGAATGAACTCAGGCTTGCTAGAGAGGTTAAAAGCAACAAAAAAGGCTTTTATGGGTATGTCCGTAGCAAAAGGAAGAACAAAGAAACAGTGGGGTCACTCAGAGGAGAAGATGGTGAAATGCAAACAGGGGACACAGAAAGGGCTGAACTCCTCAATGCCTTCTTTGCCTCAGTCTTCTCCGATAAAGAAAACAATGCCCAACCTGAAGAATTTGGAGCAAATGATTCAGCAAAGGAAACACAGCCCAGAATAACTAAGGAGATAGTACAAGAATACTTGGCTAGTTTAGATGTATTCAAGTCTCCAGGGCCAGATGAACTGCATCCAAGAGTATTAAAAGAACTGGCAGATGTGATCTCAGAACCACTGGCAGTCATCTTTAAGAATTCCTGGAGAACAGGCGAAGTCCCGGCAGATTGGAGGAGGGCAAATGTTGTCCCTATTTTCAAAAAGGGGAAAAGAGAGGACCCAAATAATTACCGCCCAGTCAGTCTGACATCAATACCAGGGAAGATTCTGGAGCAGATCATTAAGCAAACAGTCTGTGAGCACCTAGAAAGGAATGCTGTGATCACCAATAGTCAGCATGGATTTCTGAAAAATAAGTCATGTCAGACTAACCTGATCTCGTTTTTTGACAGAATTACAAGCCTGGTAGATGAAGGGAACGCAGTGGATGTAGCCTACCTTGATTTCAGCAAGGCATTTGACAAGGTGCCCCATGATATTCTTGTAAAGAAGCTGGTAAAATGCGGTCTTGACTATGCTACCACTCAGTGGATTTGTAACTGGCTGACTGACAGAACCCAAAGGGTGCTCATCAATGGTTCCTCTTCATCCTGGAGAAGAGTGACTAGTGGGGTGCCACAGGGTTCTGTCTTGGGCCCGGTCTTATTCAACATCTTTATCAACGACTTGGATGATGGACTCAAGGGCATCCTGATCAAATTTGCAGATGACACCAAACTGGGAGGGGTGGCAAACACCCCAGAGGACAGGATCACACTTCAAAACGACCTTGACAGTTTAGAGAACTGGGCAAAAACAAACAAGATGAATTTTAACAGGGAGAAATGTAAAGTATTGCACTTGGGCAAAAAAAATGAGAGGCACAAATACAAAATGGGGGACACCTGGCTTGAGAGCAGTACATGTGAAAAGGATCTAGGAGTCTTGGTTGACCACAAACTTGACATGAGCCAACAGTGTGACGCGGCAGCTAAAAAAGCCAATGCAATTCTAGGCTGCATCAATAGGAGTATAGCATCTAGATCAAGGGAAGTAATAGTGCCACTGTATTCTGCTCTGGTCAGACCTCACCTGGAGTACTGTGTCCAGTTCTGGGCACCACAATTCAAGAAGGACACTGACAAACTGGAACGTGTCCAGAGGAGGGCAACCAAAATGATCAAAGGCCTGGAAACGATGCCTTATGAGGAACGGCTAAGGGAGCTGGGCATGTTTAGCCTGGAGAAGAGGAGGTTAAGGGGTGATATGATAGCCATGTTCAAATATATAAAGGGATGTCACATAGAGGAGGGAGAAAGGTTGTTTTCTGCTGCTCCAGAGAAGCGGACACGGAGCAATGGATCCAAACTACAAGAAAGAAGATTCCACCTAAACATTAGGAAGAACTTCCTGACAGTAAGAGCTGTTTGAC